ACTAATTAGAAAAACCAATCCAACTATCTTGGATAACGTAGCACATTTATAGAAAATTATGGTCCAATGGCATGTTGCACAACTTTGTGCAATGTTTTTCAAACGGATTTTTCTCTGTGGGCACTTTATTTTAAAGATTGTATAACATTTGACAAAGAACTTAAAACTTCAGCCCGTGACTAAAAACCTGTTGCTAACTTCTGCCCATGACTAAAAGGCTATAAAGCCACAATTTTTCAATGCGTATTTAAAAGATCATTTAGTGTCATGGAAACATGTACGATAATTAAACGATATTTTCTATTTTTAGTTATGATGTATGGTTTTTAATATGATGTATTGTTTTTAGTATACGATTCGTATAATTATTAATAATAAATATCTATATTTGTTTTTAATTTACAAAATTTCTTTCTCGATAATATATACTATAAATCTTAAATACTTTTAATGGTTATATTCTTATTCTAAGATAAATAAACCTACTTAACATAGAACGAGGTGTTTTACAAAAAACGAAAGTTTTCGATTATTATTTTTTTATTTAAAATTTAAATTTAACCGTATACATGAATAAAAATAACGCAAAATGCATGAGTAGGTGGGTCAATTTTAAAATGTAAGTAAAATTTAAATAATAATATATAGCATGTACGCATATTCTCCATAAAATTCTTATACATGCCTGGTTGGTTTTATTTTGATATAAATTGTAATTTACCATAATGATATATGTAGCAAGACTATTCTTGTAAATAAGCATATTTTCTCTTTTGCTACTTAATCACTGTATTTTTATGTAGTTAGTTTTGGAGATGACCTACTACTATACTACCACTACTACCCAATATTTAATAAAATATTAAATCTAATTTATATATTTAAATAAAGTTTGCAGTAAATAAGTATAATAGTTCACATATAATATTATTATGCATATCTTTCATATAACTGTATTAATCAAGCCGAACATATTATTTAAAAAAATTACAAAGTTGATGCGAGCCGCTCAACATTTATGAAAGAAAATGTGTCAACAAAACGGAAAACGTATTTAAGTCATGTGTAAGCTAATTTATTCGCATGTGAATGAAAAATTCATAATAAATAATACACTAAACAATGGCCATGGTTCAGCCTTCTTTATCTCATGTCATATTCAAATTTATTTTGTTAACATTAGACACATTAGGACAAAATATTTGTACAGCCAATCCCAACACATGGCCATAGGAAATTCTTTAAATCGCTGGGATGCATTGTTGTTATTATAATATGTAAAATATTTGGTCGACTGGTCCACTTCATTGTGGCTGTCAATTTTTGTTTCTGTCATTATTTATCATTTCAAGTTATGTTTTCCCTCTCTGATTATGCCGAAATGATGATTATTTATGGGGAGTATGGGCGCAATGCTAGGGAGGCAGCACAAGTTTTTCCCAGCGCTTTCCCTGGACTGTCCATTGCCATTTAGGTAGAAATACCGAAACTTCGGTAGGTGCGACAACACCACCCTTGCGGCCTTGAGTTCACGGTTTATTCACCGTGAATTCACTGTGAATTCACCGTGAATTCACCGTGAATAAACCGTCTGTGACATTTGTAAACGGTAGTTAGACGCACTTTTCATAGTATTTTAATTGTTAATCCACCGTATTTTTTTAATATCAAAAAATATTTAATTTATACGTAAAAATCTAATCCCTGCTTAAAATACCCCATAGAGACCTATACAAAATAATCTATCGGGCGCTACCGGATTCAATATGTGCATTTTCCATGGTTTTTTCCGGATACAGCCCGATAGAAAATGTATAGGAAATTACCTATAGGCACACCATAACTTTTACATTTTCCCTATTGAGACCGATAGAAAATAACTCAATAAAGGATATATAGGGATATCCCTATAGAGCAACCATAAAACATTTGACAAAATTTTATTAAAACCTATGGGGTCCTCTAGGGAAAAAACTAATTTCTACATTTATGTGTATTTTCCCCATTGAAACCGATAGCAAATAAATCAATGGTGGATATCCCTATAGAACAACCATAAATCTCAACTATGGGTCCTATACAAACCGATACACCCTATAGAAACACCATACATCCCGATACAAATATCTATCGGTTTGAACAGGGTCTCTATGGGGTATTTTAAGCAGGGATATTTTTAATTTTTTAAAATAATCCTAAATTTACGGTACTTTCACAGTGAATTTGCGGTGATTTTGCAAACTTGAGTTCACCGTGAATTTACCGTGAAATCACCGTTAATTTATCGCAAAAACAGCGTGAGTTCACCGTTTAATTACCGTCTACAAATGTCACAAATGGACGGTATTCACTGCACATAAACGGTGTATTCACGGTGAATTCACGTAAACGGTGAATTCACGGTGAATTCACCGTAAACTCAAGGCCGCAAGGGCATCGGAAAAGCAGTCACACGGTGTGACTCACACCCAAAGATAATTGTCTTTGGTCCCACCTCTTTAAAAGAGGTGCGACTGCTTTTCCGATGGAGGCGCTAGTGGGCCGTCGAAAAAGCCTTAAAAATAATACACACACATACAGTGTGTCCGTAAAGTCCCGGAACATGAGATTATTTTAAAAACAGTAATTTTTTTTTAAAAACGCTGAAACACGTCAACTTTGTTATTTTTCTAGCAATATTTTGGCATGTGTAGTTGTTCCAAATTCTGCCGGGTGGCGGCGCCACAATCAAAGTCAGTTTTTTTTAAATTGCAACCCTTTATTTTTGTTGCATTTTCGGATAGCTACCGTTGTCCTGATTACATTGATGTGCCACATCTAGAGGGTTACATAAGAAAATTTTTGAGAAAAGCAGGTTTTTGCCGCCGAATGAGATTTTGGTATTTTGTCAAACTTAAACACAATCTATGCGTTGCTTAATGTTTTTTGGAAAGCCAATCAGAGCAGTTGCACAAAGTGTCCACCGTAAACTATTTGGCAGTGGGCCAGTCTGTCCACAAACGAGCGTTGTACGTTTGCCAGTACCGCTGGAGTGATCATCTGGATTACGGCTTGAATGCGGTGTCTTCGGTCGTCCAAATTTTAAGGCCTGTTTACATAGACGCGGTTTTTAAGATGTCCCCATAAAAATAAGTCTAAAGGGTTCAAATCGGGCGATCGCGTGGCCACTCAATTGGACCCCTTCGACCTATTCAGCGATTGGATAAGATCTGATTTAAATAATCCCTTACTAGCAATTCATAGTGTGGTGGTGCCCCGTAACAGCGAATAAGTTCGTCAAAACCAAAATCTCAATCGGCGGCAAAAACCTACTTTTCTCAAAAATTTATTTATTTAACCCTCCACATGTAGCATATTAATGTACTCAGGACAACGGTAGCTATCCAAAAATGCAACAAAAATAAAGGGTTGTAATTTAAAAAAAACCTTACTTCGATTGGGGCGCCGCCACGCGGCAGATTTTGGAACAATAACATAGGCTAACATATTGCTAGAAAAATAACAAAGTTGACGTGTTTCAGCGATTTTTTAAAAAAATTACCGTTTTCAAAATAATCACATGTTCCGGGACTTTACGGACACACTGTATATCGACATATGAAAAAGTTGTAAAACCCGAAACGTTTTGGGTTTTTAATCAAGAAAAACACATCAAATTAGTATCATGCTCAGATATTAGTATTTTAAATCATTACCACCATAAAGACGTTACTTTTACTAAATATTATTACACAAATTAATTAATCTGTAAGGTATAATAACACTGTAACAGGTAAAAAAATAAAAATATCACAGCTAAACGGTCGGACAAGTAAACTTAATTTTTGGTCGTAGATTACAAATCCATGCTTGGTTTAGCTGTATCAGGTCAAAATTCAAACATATTGGAAACACCCTGTATAAATTTAAACACCCTGAATAAATTAAAAAAAAAATTCAATTTGGCTGGAACCACACATAAGTTTCAAATTAAACAAAAACAAAGTCTTGCAAAATTTGAAGTAAATTGATCAAAAGGAACACGTGTCCCTGAGGGTTTTTCTTAGATAATTTAGGAAATTCAAAATGTTTTTTTGTTGATTTTTTTTATTGAGCATAATTGAGGATATTATATTAAACAAAATAAAAAGCATGGGAATGTTGGCACAAGAGGTGAAATATATTATTTTAAAAATTATTATATTATTATATTAGTATACAACTTTTTTAGATCTGATACAGCTAAATCGAGCACGGATTTGGAATCTTGACCAAAAATTATGTTTACGTGTCCGAGCGTTTAGCTGTGATATTTCAATAGTTAATAAATCAATTACATGATTTTTCGTTTCGGGTGTTACAGTGGCAAAGTAAGAAGAAAACACCCTTATAAGGTGATAATTATCAATTTTTTCAGGACTGTGACGCAATCCACCAATACTACGATAAATAATCTCAAATCACAACGTGGCAAAATGGATGGCACAATGGTCATTCAGCCAGTTCACTTGAGTACTGATTTTGAAAAATAATTAACTAAAAAATTACGCGTTTCTTCTAGTTTTTTTGTCGCACATTTTAATTTTGAATGTTTTCTTTCAAAATTCATCAGATTTAATGCGAAAAGAACATATTTATTTTTTCACCCTTATACTATAGTATCGTTTGTCATTAAATTTTTATTTTAAATGCAAAATTAAATTGTCATTATGTATAATAAAATTAATATTTTTCTAAAATATTTTGTCATCCCACCGTATCATAAATGGAGTTTTGCATTTATTAAAAGCGATGGGAAATAAGACAGAGAATGCATAATAAAAAAGAAGATTCATCATCATATTTTTATAATAATTTCATTGTTCTAAAAGTAGAACGAGCGGTCTGTAATTTAGACATTCTTTCAACTAAAACAAAAGACAATATCTTTTTGTACCAAATGGCCATAATGATTCCGGTGATAGCAAAAGTGAACAAGTCAAAAAAGAGCTTTTAAAAGCATAATTTATAAAAACACAGAATATTGTTATTCATAACAATTTATTAACACTGAATATATAAAAATAAATCTTGTGGGTAAATAAAATTAAGTACAAATAAAATACGTTTAGTCATAGCGTTGTATCGTCCAGTCCCTTGTTCCGTAATAAATAATTAAAAATTGAAAATTTGTACAAATGTTTTCGAAATAATTTAAATTTACAATGAGTTGATATAGCGCCGAAGTTCCTCTTGGGTATCGAATATCATTACTGGGAATGGGGAACCTGGAACCAGTTCGCCAGCCCATTTTACTTCCACCCTGTAGTCACCTGGTTCAGTGGGATCATACTGAAATAACAGAAACAAATTATAAACATTGCATTTATGTTTAAAAAAAAAAAGTTTTACCTTGCACAAAATGGTTCTATCCTTTTGACTCTCCCTTTGCATTTCAACCCTAAAAGCCCCCTTCGGTCCCCTAACTCTTACTGTTAGTTGACCAGCACCTGCACCTCTTGTATCGCAGATGAATCTGGACTGGAAGGTGGCCAAAACTCCATGCTCGATACCAGGACCATAGACTCGTACCTTAAAAAGTAATTTATATATCAATATTTAACAATCTCCTAGCATCAATGCAAGCATTAATTCCACGAGGCATGCTTTCTATTAAGTTATGAATTTAATCTTGGGAAACATTTCCTTGCCCCTCTAAAACTACTTTTATTAGCTTATCTGTATTGCCAGGGCTATTTTGACGAGCCATAATCCTTTTTTTAACCTCATTACCCAAGTTCTCAATTCGATTAAGATCCGGTGAACAAGAAGGCCACTCTAAAATAGTCACACCTTCCATTTCCAAATAATTTTTGACAACTGCTGGTAAATGGAGGTGCATTATCCTGTATAAACCTTTTCAGAGCCTTACTACTAGTTGTAAAATTAAATCCACATACCTAGGACCTCTTAAAGATTGTGAGAATCAAAGAAATGTTTTCATCAATTATAGAGCCACACCAAAACATTATACTTCCTCCTTTGTCTTGAGGGATCGCTCGTCCATCAGAGTCTAGCTTGTCTTAGGCCAATTCTGGATTTATACGAAAATAAGACATTTCTCTAATCTTCAATTGTCCAGTTTTAATGCTTCAAATACTAATTTAAACGGCCAACTCTATTTTGAATTAATATTATTGGAACCCTTAACTGTGTTCTGCGATTTTTTTAATTTATGCCGGATAATGCACTACCGCTGATAAGCAGAGTTGTTAAAACTGTTGAGAAATGGAAGTGTGACTGTTTTACAGTGGCCTTATTGTTCATCGGATCTTAATCCAATTGATAACTTAAGGTTAAAACAAGGAGTAGAGCCCGTTAAAACAACCCGGCAACGCAGAGCAACTAGTAGAAGTAGTTTTAAAGGGGTGGGAAATTTCAACAAAAATAAATAATAAAAAGCAGCTCGTAGAATTCGTGCTTGCATTGAGGCTAGAGGTGGAATCACTGATTATTAAATTTACAATAACCTATTATTTCTTCCTAAATTCTAATTTAATGTAAAGTTTTTTCTCAGAGAAATTCACATTTTTTGTAATTTGTTTTCTAGAAAATTTGTTTTAATAAATTTTTCTTTATTTTTGTAATAAAATTGGTTCACATAAAGTACTGTAATGGGAACGATATATGGGGCAATTAATTTTCAACATTTGATTATGAGATTAAATTTTAAATATTTTTTTTTAATAGTTTTAAGTGTTAGGTATAAGTTTTCCACTTTAGAATTCTATACACTCTTTATTTTGTTTATTATGTTATAGTAATTTCACAGCAAACGGAAAATTATAGAGGTGTATAGGATGACGCCACGTTTGAATATCGTTTTCTAAATCTCCCTACGGTATAGAGTTGTATTCGTCAGTCGAGCGTTTCAATACTCTCCACAGTATAGAGGTCGTAATTTCACTTTTGAACTAGTATTAATATAAAAATTATTTTATGCTTAAAAAAAACTATATACGACATGATTGTGATTTTTTTCATTTTATTAATTAATTAAGCTGTGTTGAATATTTTTCCTAAAGGAATAATTGCCAATGGGCCATTAATTCATTTGTTCGTAGATGCTACAATAACCTGCACTGGTGTGTACTTTTTCATCAACCAGATTTAAATATTACAAAACTAACATATACCAGTGGAGATAGTGCAGGGTCTACCAACAGACCTAATTACTAAATTATTAAAGTTTAATAGCATATCGATCATTTTTTCAACATATATGTTATAACCTCTGAAATTTTTAATACAAATATATATATTATATAAAGTACCTATAGGTACTTTATATAATACATAAATATACTTAACATCATATCCTCTGTGCTTTACATACCTAAGTTGTTACGGTAAATAAAAATCAGACAAAGGAACCAAAGAAAGGAACTATTTTCAACAAAATCATATGCAGAAATGAGAAAATTCAAACTAACTTGCATCCATCAAAAGATAAAAACTTCTTGCAATATTACACCCTCTTTTTATACTCTCAGAAATATTGACTAGAACATTATTAGAGAGACTCCAGTTTCTATAACTTGGTAGAGTAAAGAGAAGTCGAAACCGTTGCGATATTGCATTGCGCTGTTTTTGTATAATTCTCGGGGACATTAACGAAAATCATTGCCAGTAAAATTCGAAAAGCTTGAGTTTCTATGTCTCTGAGGAGAATAGGAATCCGAAGTTGCTGCACCATTGGACTGAACCCTTTTTTAATAATTTCTAGAGACATAAATGACTGCACCATTCGACAGGGTCGAGTTTCTACTCCTCTGTTGAATATAGAAAATCAAAATAATGTATCTTGTAAGACACCATTGAGTTTGACTTTAAATATAGTCGTGCATAGGTATAGAGCCGAAAAATATAAAAACAAAGCACGATTCAATACAGTTATGATAAAACTTTAAGATTTGATATTCAAACGCGGAGTCATCCTATACACTTCTATAATTTTTCGTTTGCTGTGTTATGATTCTCATCTGGCCGACCTCTCACCCCTTAAGAGAAAATTTTTTTCATGTCGCCATAATGTGTTTTTTAAGATGGCATCCATTTCTTATCTAAACATTTATATACCTAATATATTTTCATAAATATTTTTCTAAAATATAAAAAGGAAAGTTTTAGTTATTAAAAAATGATTAAGGTTTTAAGTTTTGTTGAATTTTTACTCAAGCAATAATTTTTCTTAAAACCGTAAAATATTTAAAGTACATATAATTTTTAAGATGTATCGTGCCTATTTTTATCAATAAAATAATGTGCGTTTGAGTTTTAATGCAAAATATTATTAGTTTTGACAATTTGAGTCATATATTTTCCTCTACGGTGGCCTTTATTACTTTGTAAGTACCATTTTGTAAGATATAAATTAAAAGAACAAAGAAATTACGAATGTCAATGTTTTAGAAAGATAGAGCAAACAGTTAGTAATTATAGCGTTATTTTTACGTAAATTTGTGGTATTTATATTATTACGTTATTCTCTTAGTAGATCAAAAAGGTTATTATGTAGGTAAAATAACGAAATAAACCATTCCCCAAATTTGGTAATTTTTCGTATCTATACCGTTATAAAACCGTTTTGGTTAACCGTAAAAATACTTTAAAGTTGACTTTGTAGTTATTTAAACTTAAAATGCTGCTATAGCAATAATATTAACTCTTGTATTATTTGCTTTTATGAATAAACTTCGTTACAGTACTTATTATTTACAAATCACTTTTTTTAGTGTAATAATGTTTCTCGTAATAACTGGGTGATTCCATTTAAGTAATTAAAAAAAAACTTACTTTGCTTGCATCTGGTGCCCCAGCTACTCTAAGAGTAAACGGTGATCCCTGCACGTGTTGTCCAGCGTATTTAATGGTCAAAGCGTGTTTTCCAGGTTCCTGAGGCTTCACGTTCAACGTAAAAGTTGCATCACCGTGATCATAAAGTTCACAGTAAGCAACCTTACGGGGTCCTGTACAATGTGCTGTCAACTCGCCAGGTCCGGCCCTTCTAGTGTCGATCCACGAGCGAATTTCCCTGCCGACCACACCTTGGCGTAACCCCTCCCCGGAGCAGAGCACCTTGGAGGCATCGGCCCCGCCTTTGGCTTCCACCATCAGAGGGCAGCCTTTGACAGGCCGACCCGCCCAAAGAACCGACAGAAGATAGTTTCCGGGGGTATTTATGGTGTAGGTGGCTCGCCATATTTTCTCTCCAGCCAGACTTATCATAACAGGTATGGGAATGTTGGTTTCGGCTGCGTGAAGAGTCACCTCTGGGTTACCAGAGTTGGCCTTTGACCCGTCAATAGTGAATACCGAAGGTTCTCCGCATTGGGCATGCGCTAAACCTTTACCCGTCAGCACCACTTGATCTCCCAATGACACAACAGTACTTGGTGCATCGGGCAGAGGAATGTTAGCGAACCTAACATCGAATTCATGCTCGCCAGAGTTGAGTCCTTCCCCGGATATCTCGAATCTAACTTTATTACCGTTCTTGTCGGCGTTAACCTTCCTCCCTGATATTTTGCAATCCAAAGTACCAGGACCTGCGTTTGAAATGTCAAAGGCAAGTTTTGTGGGCAGTTTGATTCTACCAGAATCATCCAAGTACTGATTCCAACCTCCTATTAGCCTCACTGCAGATGGATCCACGATTGTTGGTCTAAATGGTGACCCAGGCAGCTACAAAAAAAATTATTTTTTTACATCCCATTAAAAATTTCAACATTTAAAAATAGACTATTTTTCTAAAATATTTTAAACAAAATGCCACGTCAACTTTGTTATTTCAAAATTTTAAATTCTACATAAAATTCTGAGTAAAATTACTGTACCACGTCCTATACCTAAAGAGAATAGTTTTCTAGATGTTTGCTATTAGGTTTACGGATAGGGGGTAAAATTTTTGGAATCTTAAAACATTGTTTAAATTATTCCATTACAATTCTTTAACATTTTTTAAGAAATTACCAAATAACAAAGTTGATGTCACTTCCGGTCAAACCGGACGTGGCATTTTGTTCAAAATATTTAAAAAAATATTAAGTGGTGTGTTTTAGGTTGTGATACCACTATAGATTCTAAACCAATGTATAATCGTCAAACTAAAATATCAAGATTTGTTTCCAACATATAAGATAAATACAAACAAAAAATTAAAACCAAAAATATTTTTTTTACTTAAAAAAAAAGGTAAAATTATTATTTTCTTTAAGTATAATTTTTGTATTATGTAAAAACATAAAATGTTTAAAGAAAAAAATGATTTATAACAAAATAGAGAATTAAAAATCTGTATAGGTTAAAATAATAAGAATAGCTGTATAAAAAATTTAAATGACGTGATTTAAATTTAAAAATTTTAAAAATAAAGGTTAAGAAAACGTACCGTTCCAGGAATTCCTTTATGTTTAAAATCTGTTAAAATTTTTCAAGGGAGGAGAATATATTTTAAGAAGCCTAAAACACTTACGTCATTAGGTCCAATGCTGATAATAATATCGTAAGTCCCAACCCACTTGGGAGTATACGAAACAATATACTCCCCTGTCTTCGGGCTTTGAATATGAACATCAATATTTCCTTCAACAGTTTCCACTTGTACCCTGGGTTGCACCACGCTGCTTACAGTAAACGAGGTCCTTTCTCCCACGCGTCCCAATTCAAGACCTTTTCCTACAGCCCTAGGTGGTGGCGAAGGTCCCACAGGACCAACACCGAGAGCCAATGGAGAACCCTTGACTGGAACACCACCGTATGCCACGGCAACTTGATATAAACCAGCTGATGTGGGCATGAACGAAATTTGGGTGAGATTTTCGTCGATTTTAGTTTTGTGGACCGCAAGCGACTGGCTGATTGGGTTTGTGGCTTGTATATCCAACTCGGCGTCTCCACAGTTCTTGGTGGATACTGAAATATGTTGTAAATTGTCAGGACAGGACAGGGAGTTTTATTAATACTTTTGGTGGTATGAAATAATACTGATGCATGTAGCATATTTAGAATACTAGGTAACTCTTTTAGTATAATAAAAATATTTGCCATTTGTAAATTTCCAGAGAGCCAAGGTTTAGAAAAGAAATTAGTCAACTTTTTCCCAACTAAGTTTGTTGTATACGATATTTAACATTTATTGGGCTTCATTTGGACATATAAATTGTATTTTCATCAAGTTTGACCAAAAATTGACATATTTTATGACAATCATTCCCCAACGCTATAGCACAAAAACTGCATGAAAATATATACTTCAGTAGAGTTATTTTTGGCGAACTTCGTTTGTAACGAAGTTTGGCAATAGCGAGTTCTATACGTTGCGTCGCGGCGTAAAAAGTAAATCAATTTCAAGACCTTTTTTTCTACAAAAATACGTCGAAAAGTGCTTGTGTAAAAGTTATTTCAAAATATTATAATCATCCGTCCACTAACTAAAGTTTTAAACAGCTTTAAATTTTGAGTAAGTAATTAAGGTTATTTTTTCAAGTTTTTCAATTATTCGAAGATTGTTATTTCGCCGTTAATTTTACATTAAATTACGTTAAATTTACATTGGTAGTTCTATAGTATGTACTTGTTCATTGTTATAAATTTTCATCTCGTTGCAGTGGAGAAAAAAAACCGTCTTTTTCTGGGTAAAAAGTGTTTATGAGTACCTACAATGCATACTACAAGCGGTATAATTTAGAAATAAATTTCTATTGGGTTTAAAGATCTATTGGCTCTCTTGGTATTAACAAGATTTGAATGAAAAATTATTACCGTTAAAGACAACTTTTTCTCCAACATTCCCTTGAGTCGGAGGAATGTCCACTATCCTTACGTTATCAGCATCAAAGGCATTACAAATAAAGGGACTTCCGTTGACAGGTTTGGCCTGATGTAGCACCTCGACTTTGTGAGGTCCAATTTCTCTCGATGTGAATTCCGCCTGCAATTTTCCTGTTTTCGTTTGATAACAACGTACGGGAACCGCCGAACCTGTGGGTCCGCTCACCACTACATCAAACTCCCTAGCCGATCTTCCTAGGGTGTCGATATGGAAGGAGGTCACTTTGCCCACTTTTGCTTGATACAAGCCTGAACAAATAAAAGAATGATGTTTAGAACATTAAATTGACACACAAATGACTACATTACCTAGTCCCCCAGCCCAAGGTTCGTTCCCAGGGCCCTTAACCGGTACTTCAAGCACTCCAAATTTGGGGACATTGTTGTACAACAAGGATATTTTATGTGGGGCAGCGTGGATTGGGTGGAACACCACCTCCCACATGTTCTGATTGGTCGGACTCTGGCGCACACTGTGTGCGACATCCTTATTCGCCACTTTAACGTTTGCTGTCAATTTGCCGGGGCCCACTTTATGCATATTGATACCAATCACTGACGGTCTGTGCGCGACGGCTTCGGGTGCATTAACTATATCGATTTTGGATGTATCGAAGACGTGGATTGTGCGCGTGGCATACAATTCGTGCCCTTTGAAGACTTGTACTCTGTAGGTGCCTGTTTGGGTGAGATTGAATTCTGCTTTATAGTTTTTGACGGCGTATTTAACGTGGTGGTTGTTCGGATCGCTGATCTCCAATCGGTGATTATCGCTCGGCAAGTCTATGTAATTCGTTGATCCAATTTGCACGTACTGAGTAGCTTCAATGACGGAACAGTGGAAGGGGCTGCCGACTACTGTCATATCATTGAAGGTTATGTTAACAAAGTGATCTTCAGCCGATAAAGGTACGAATGTTACATCATATAAGCCCCTGGCGCAAGCCACGACTTCGGCTTTAATCGTTGTATGTTGAGTTGAAACCACCAGCTCCAAAGTACCTTCGCCCGCTTGTGCGGCATCCACGCTGAATGTGACAGGTTTACCAACCTCGGCAGGATTGTCGCGCAAAGATAAATCGCTCATACTTCCACCTTTACGTCCGGGTAACCCGGAAACATTAACCTTGTTGACATCGTACACGTTGCAGCTGAATGGCGAACCAATAACGTGTTGGTCGTTTATTAAAATCGCCACGGAGTGTCTGCCAACCATTTCCGGCACGAATTTACCGGTGTAGGTGTCACCACTGATGAGCAATTTAGTGGGCAAAACTTTTCCGGTGGGTGCTGTTACGATAACCTGCGGTTCTCCACCGGTCACCCCGTCAATTTTGATCTCCGCAGCATGTCCGACAGCGGCAAGTTCGATGCCAGATCCAGAAACAGGCACTCTAGGCTGCGTGTTGCCGGAGCTAACCTTACAGTTAAAAGGCGATCCCGGGACGGGTTGTCCGTTAAACCTGACGCTCAATGTATGGGTGGCAGCCTCTGTAGGTTTAAAGTTAACCTTAAACCTAGCGTTACCTTCGCTCTGCACGAAGTTCGGTACGTTTCTCCCCGCAACCGCTACAATGATTTCGAGATTGCCTGCGCCGGCTTGAGAAGCGTTTATGCTGAACGACACCGGTTTCCCCACAGTACCGTCGGTTATATCGGTTACTGTAACTCTGCTGGCGTCGTAGGCTTTTACCAAGAAGGGACTTCCTTCGATGTGACCTCCAGGAAGGCGCACCTCCACGCTGTGATCTCCCACGTCCAAAGGAGTGAAAGAGACCGTGAATTTATTCGCCACACCATCTTGAGGAGTTATCTAGAAGAGAGAAAAGTGGACTTTAAAATTGCTTTTAGTTCAAGCAGCAACACACTTCAGAAACTTTTGGGCAACCCCACAGGTAAGATTCCTAAAATTGAAAAGTCCACAGCAAACGGAAAATTCTAGAAGTGTATAGGATGACGCCACATTTGAATACAGTTTTCTAAATCTTGCCACGGTATAGATTTGTATTTGTCAGTCGAGCGTTTCAATACTCTCCACAGTATAGAGGACGTAATTTGACTTTTGAACTAGTATTAATATGAAAATTATTTTATGCTTGAAAAATTAAATACGACATGGTTGTGATTTTTTCATTTTATTAATTAATTAAGCTGTGTTGAATATTTTTCCTATAGGAATAATTGCCCATGGCATTGGCATTGCATATGTTCGTAAATGCTACAATAACCTGCACTGGTGTGTACTTTTTGATCAACCAGATTTAAATATTGCTGTACTAACATATACCAGTGGAGATAGTGCAGGATCTACCAACAGACCTCATTACTAAAATTAAACTTTAATTATTAAAGTTGAATAGCATATCGTTTTCTCAACATAACCTCTGAAAGTTTTAATACAAATAAAAGTACTTTATATAGGTAATACATAAATATACTTTACATCATATCCTCTGTGCTATACATACCTGAGTTGTTACGGTAAACAAAAATCAGAGAAAGGAACTGTTTTTAACAAAATCACATGCAGAAATGAGAATATTTAAAATACTTGCATCCATCAAAAGATCAAAACTTCTTGCTGAAGTACACCCTCTTTTTATGCTCTCAGAAATATTGACTAGAACAGTATTAGAAAAACTTGTATTATGAAAGAGAACTCGAAACAGTTGCGATATTGCATTGCGCTGTTTTTTTATAAAGGACATTAAAGAAAATCATTGCCAGTGAAATTCAAAAAGCTTAAGTTTCTATATCTCTGAAGAGAATAAGAATCCGAAGTTGCTGCACCATTGGACTGCCCTCTTTTTCAATAACTTCTAGAGACATAAATGACTACACCATTCAACAGGGTCGAGTTTCTACCTCCATGTTGAATATAGAAAATCAAAGTAATGTATCTTGTAAGACACCATTGAGTTTGACTTTAACTATAGTCGTGCATAGGTATAGAGGCGAAAAATATAAAAACAAAGCATGATTGAATACAGTTCTGATAAAATTTTACACCACTTTGTGTTTTGTTTTGGTGTTGGAAAATATTTCTAAATTTGTTAAAAGTTTAGTTATTTTATTTAAAAACTTTTGTGGACTTACTTGAGTTGGCAAGGATCTCCTAGCAGGTCCCAAAACTTCTACAATGGGTGGAGTAGCACTTTCAACGGAAAAACTGCAAGGTTTTCCAACGGAAACTTTGTCCAACGTTTCGGGAGTGACGATTTTGGCGGCTGGCGACACATTACACTTAAAAGGACTTCCAGGAACATCCTGACCATTGAATCTCAAATCCACTGAATGAATAGTAGCCTCACGCGGTGTAAAAGATATAGCGTAGGTGTGGGGGCCTTGTGCTTGAGCCGATGTAGGTACTAAACCTCCATTCACTGTCACTTCAAGATTACCTGGACCTGCCTGGCTGGTTTCCACTAAAATTGAATTTAGAATTATAATGGGATTTAGGTACAAAAAAGATATATGCTATCCAAAGAACCATGGTTTTGGAAAGAAATTAGTCAGCTTTTAGATATTTTTGGCCAACTTCGTTTGAAATGAAGTTTGGTCGAAACTTGGCAAATAATTGATCAGCATGGAAAAAGAATCAGTTTGCTATGCGCAATAGCGAGTTATAGGTAGGTCGTAAAAAGTGAATTAATATTTCAAGACCTTCTCTACGAAAAGGCGTAAAAAAGTGCTTGTGTGAAAGTTATTACAAAAAATATAATCATCCGCGGCACTAACTAAACGTGTGTTAACTTTTAAACGGCTTTAAATTTTAAGTAAGTTTTTTAATAAATAATTCAATTATACAATTTCTTACTTGTTATTCCCTCGTTATTTTGAAGTAATATAAATTTAGTAGTTCTATATTATGTACCTACCTACTTATTTTTTAACCTGATATAGCTCTTTGGGTCTTTCGTTTCAAGGCTTATTTTGTAACTTACCAAGGAAAGTAACTGCTTTTCCTACAACTCCAGATGATGCTTCTTTAACTTTAATGGCTTGCACATCGTAGACTTTGGCAGCATATGGGCTTCCAGCTGTTGGAACTTCACTAACGCTTACGTTAATTCTATGCTCTCCCACAACTCTTGGTACAAATTCAGCTCTAAATTGTCCGTTGCCCAAAGTTTGGACTTGCGTTGGAACGGCTTGGCCTCCAGGTCCTTTTTAGTGTCAAAAGTCGTGTCATATTAAGGAAATTCAAGGGTAAAGGACTTTTTCTATCTGTGACTAAGATTTTTGTTATATTACATTAAAGCATTTGTTACGTATTAATATGGCGACTGTACTGCATGGAATGTTTTTCCTTTTTAGAGTAAAATATTAATACTGTTAATTTTGTTTAATACTATCGGTTATTTCTAATTTAAAGCAGCACTCCTTGTTTAATTTAATTTTAAATATTTGTAGTCAATTAAGGTTTAATTAAGTAGCCTGATTTCATACCTGTCTCATAATGATTAATAACTACATTTTTAGCATTTTTTTCACTGCACTTACAAAAGCATTTTTTTAAATTCAACATTAATGGATCTTATCTGTTATCAAAAATATTTAAACTGATAAACATTGTTCCTATCAAATTAATTATTAAGTAGGTAATTAAAAAATTATTATCTATACTACCACTACTACTGCATAATGGAGATAATAAATTAAAATCTCAATTTACAAAATGTATATATGAAAGCAGATTAAACGCAATATTTTATGTACCCAATGTATGTAAAAAAAGAGGAAACATGCAATGTTAAACACACAAAACACAGAATGAATAAAGCATTAGATCACATGGTTTTAATACAAAGTGCAAACGACATACTGATCCCTTTTAAATGATTAAAAAAAAATGTGTAAGAATATAAATTAATAGAAGAAAGTTAACTACACTACACAAGTGTTGCAGCAAGGCCACAAATAATAGACAAGACAATGAGAAACTAATTAGTTTAAAAGCATGAAATGTCAAATCAATAAATGCAATATTTTACACTTTCTATAGAATATACTTAGATATATTGTATCCTAAAAATTAGACTAGATTTTTTTGTTCATTTATTTATCGGCACTTTATATATTATGTTAGAAATATAGAAAAACATTCCAGGTTCATAACAGTTTGTCTTATTTTTAAGTTAGAAAACAATTAGGGACAGGGGTAGGGTATTGTTAGTATGAGATAAACACACACACACAATAAATTTTCCATTAAATAAAATAAATAATGTTTAAAAATTATAAAACAAATGTTGTTTTCATAACTTAAACATCATCTATATTAATTATTTATTAAAAAATATTATTGTATGGATGGATATGTTAGAAAAAAGTGTCAAGATGTTTAATAGACGTAACGACGGTGGCCTGAAAAATGAAAAATCGTGCAAATAGTGGAAAATCACAGAGGAAAAACAAAAAACGAAAAGTTTGATGGAAGCATGCTTTATATATTTTTACATACATCGGTACATTAACAATAAATAATATTCGTTTACATTGTTATTAACAAATGCTTTACATAAACATAAAATCACAGATAAAAACATCAGCATCATATTCTACATATATTAGTAGAATTAAATCACAATAAAACAGAGACTACATGCAACCTTAAAATTAAAGATTTATAAGGTACTTAAGCAAATAAATACATAAAACAGATTAAGTTTGAATAAATAAAGGTGGTTTTAGATAAATGTACTCTTTAAATAATAAAGTTTCATCCTACATTCACCCACAGTGTGGGTCCCACACACAAATAACTGTTGGTACAATTAACATGAAAGTCAAGGTAACAAAACATAATATGATTTTAATTAATTTACATAAACACTGATTTTGTAAACTTATTTTCAAAACATTTATTAGTTGAAAAGACAAAACAGTTATATTAACTTCTAATAAATTCAACAAAAGTTGTGGACCAACCAGACAAAAGCAGGTAAATCCAGTTTTGTTGAAAAATGAGTTAGGTATGAAAACTAGCAAATCAAGCAAAAGGAGATAAATCCAAATTAGTACAATTTAAATTCTTGTTTCAATAAAAATAAGCAAATGAAGATAAATCCTGTCGATTCAAGCAACACTAGATAAATCCATTTTGTTTTTAATAAAAACTTTTTATACTATAACACATGATGCAGGTGGACAAAAAATAAAAAAATAGTTTTTCTAGCGTGCCCAAATTAACACTTATCCGCACCCATTTGCATGCGCAAAGTTGCACTTTTTCGCGAAATTGAAATGAACACTTTGGAAGAAGAGCTACCATATGACATCCTGGAGGCAGCAAATACTGTAAATGAGAATTTATTACCAGCGACCAACCCAATATGAGAAACAATTTAAACGTTTTGAAAACTGGTGCAACAACAAAGGGACAAAAAGTTTTAAGGAAGAAGTGTTTCTGGCTTATTTTAAGGATTGAAGAAAATCATATCAGCCAAATACTTTGTGGAATAAGTGTCCGAAAAGTTAATACAAATTTGGATTTGAGTCTATATTATAAATTAACATCATATATAAAAAAGAAAAATGTGGGATACCGACCAAAAAAGTCTAAAATTTTTTAGAAAGATGACATTTCAAGATTAATTAAAGAAGCACCAGATGAAATTTACCTTTTAATAAAAATTACTTAACACTATGTTTGGGTTGGCTGGTGCTTGTAGGCGAGAAGACCTCTCAAAGATAATGATTGATGAATGTAATCGTGAAAATTTCAGACAGTAATTATACATCAAAAATATTTGTGATATCTCATAAAATCAATAATGACCATTACTTACAAATTTGCGAAAACCAAATATAAAAGAAAAGCATGCACTACGGTAGTGCCACTATAGTGGGTATACCCAATGTGTAGGAATTAATATATTTGGTAAAATGCCTGCACAAATAGCTGCATAAAGTACACAGGTCATAGTTTTCGTAGATCCTCCGCTACCATATCAGCCGATTCTGGGGAAGGAATATCCAATGTTAAGCGACTTGGAGGCTGGGAATCAACGGCTGTTCACGAGAGCTACATGGAAGTATCCATGACCCAAAAAAAAATTATCAAATAAAATATTAGACTTAAAAACGGCTCTTCTGAGTTAAGCCAAACTTTATTAAATAGTACAAGTCACCCGTTGATTGAATTAACCTGTTCTACAATTAATTTTTGTAAATGTTGCAGAACGAAAAATATTAGTTTTCTTACTACCTCGACTGAAAATACGTTGTTTCGTCCCCGATTCCACGGCAGGAAGTTTACGTTTCTTGCATTGGTCAAGCTTATAAGCGCACACTCTATAATAGCGGGAGTAAAAATTTTTTAGTCGTGTGTTCAACATATGCAACTCTGATTACGACACTAATATAACCTCAAAATTTGGGCAGGCATCAATATGTTTCGATATACAGATTTAAGTATTTTCGGCCGAGGTAGTAAGAAAAATAGTATACACTACACGGGCAGAAAGTGTGTTTCTGCCCTTGTAGTGTAATATACTATTTTCGCTGATAACTCAAAACTGCTTAAAACAGATTTATCTGCTTTTGTCCGATTGCTTCACAGTTAGAAGGAGTTTTCCCCCAGTAGCCCCTATTTCGGATGCCTATGATCATTTATCCGATTTGACACCACTAGATGATTTCTTACCTAAGAATTATACCTATTTGCTATTTTGCTTGGCTATTTTATATATATTTTTTTTAATTTGAATTTCACTATTAATTTTAATATTTTGAAGCATTTTTTGCTGCGTTTTCTTGTTATAAAAATAATTTAACAGACTTTATTTTAAAAATATTCATTTTTTTTTTAAATACCAACTCTTCTTATTATATATTATATAGGGTAAAGGATGTAACATTTAATTTTATTTATTCAAACTCTTTCTGGCAAAAGCATCACACTACAAATAACCCAAACCGTCTGCAACCCCTGAAATCAAAACCAAACGTGTTCTCACCCTCGACATTAACTTCGATATCTTCGAGACGTCCTGGATGATTAATGAGAAGCGTGCTGGGCCTGTGTACCGGCCCCGGTCCTGGCAAAGTGACACTCGGGCCTGTTCCACTGCCACCCACGCTAACAATAAGTGGGCAACCGACTACAGGGCGTTTGTTGAAGGCCACGTTAACCACATGATCGCAGGCTTCAGCTGGTACGAAGGAGACGGCGAATTTGGCGTTCCCTTGCGGGTGAACCTGTGTAGGTATGTTTAATCCTCTAGCGGATATTGTGATCTCTAAGTTCCCTTCACCAGCTTCGCTGGCGTCCACAGAGAACGTTACAGGGCGCCCTACAGTACCTCTAGCGACGGTACCGACTGTTACTTTGTTGGAATCGAAGGCCTTCGCTATGAAGGGGGTTCCCTGCACAGGTCTCCCGTTATAGTCGACGGTGATCTGGTGCGCACCCACTTGCGCTGGGGTGAATTCAGCGGTAAACCCCGAATGTATATCCCCTGTAACTTTCACGGGCAACTCCCCGACAGGACCTCTAACAGCCACCGCCAACTCCGCCGCGCCCCCACCGGCCACTCCCATGTGGAAGGAGTTGGGTTGGTTGACGGGTATCAGTTCCAGGTGGCTCAAACTTAGTGTCACTCGGCTCGTGTCAGCTACGGTGCAGACGAAAGGGCAACCGCGCACCGTTTCGCCGTTGAATTTGATGTCGATTAGGTGGGGTTTTGCCTGGTCCGGGGTGAACGAGACGAGGCATCTTCCACCGCCTACTACTTGCACGTGGTTCGGGACTTCCCCTTCGTTGATCGAGATCTCCAGTTGGCCTTCGCCGGCCTGGCTGGCGTCAACTAAAAAAAAATGTTGGTCAATGGATATTGATAAATATGTTTATATACCCAAATCATAAAAGAAAAATATTTTGCTACACTGTTATAAAAATCAAATTTGTAGTTTGGAAATTATTTTGTTATTGTTTAAAAAATTTATTCGTTGAAAAATTACACGTAATTTCAAGCAGTCAATCAAAACATTTCCCACTGGCAATACGCATCAACAAGTTTAACTGACTTCAGCGTCTGCAACTTATGTTTCAGCTTACTTTATTCTAATTCGTAACGTGTTCGTAACAACTGACCATAGTGTTTATAATATATTACCGGAAATCTGTTAGTATAGTTATTAAGATTCCTTATACCTATTTAACGAGTGTGCTCTCTTAAAATGAAATAGTCAAAATTCTACTCTTTGAATTATTACCAGCATTGTTTACTAATAAATAGTCGTTTTCACTTTTAAATAGTTATTTTTTACTACTTAGGTAAATAGGTAAAGTTTGACTAATTTTTGATAAGTCACCATCTATGACTATTTCTGAGGGTTAAAAGTAACTAACTATTTTCTTTAATCGTTTGCGGCCTCTAACAAATTATTGTTTGACTTAAATGCATATAGGCTCCATGGTTAAATGGCCAATAAAAACAAACAAAGATGCAAAAAGTTTAGCACAAAACAGCAACAGAAAAAATATATTCAACTTTAATATTATTATGAACAATATTTATAGACAAATAAAATTGATTTTTTTTTAAAGTGACTGATAGCGCATTGGTTATGACATACGCTTGACAATCGACAGACCCGAGTTTAAACCCCGGCTGGGTCCCAACTTTTTTTTAAATTTAAATCTACTAATTTCATTCAGTAGAATTTGACTAATTATTAGTGACAGCTTTTTTGCTATTATATGACAATTAGTCAAATATGACATAGATATTTTTGACTAATTTATTTTAAGAGATTGTATTTGTAAACTGTTTTCATTTAATTTTAATTATAAAAAGCGTTTTATTTACCCAATAATCAAATACTAAAAAAATTAATAGATTTTAATGTAAACGAGAAAAAGCTTTAAATTTTGTTTAGTAATAAGTATTCTTTTAAATATAATAATAATATTTGTAAATACTCTAGACTTGTTCAAATATTTTCCAATATTATGGTTTTGGTCAATTTTTCAAATGCCTAATATTTGCCAAATAAACATCAAATTAGATAAAAATGTAGATAAATGTGTATGTTTACATGTAAAACTAACTTTCAAAATTCCCAAGACCAATTTTTGGTTTTTAGTTTTTCAAATATTTTGAAAACCGCTGACTATTTTCTAATTTATAAATGCCATTTTAAGAGGCTTGTATAACGCAATTTTTTTTAATTAGCTCTTGAACAAAGAAAAATTAACCTTAAAAGTATAAACTTAGGACACTTGGTACACCCTGTATAGTTTTTCATTGTTAGAAATTATAGAAAGTCCCAATTAAAAAATTATAAAAATATAAATGGTTATAATAATTTTTATGGTGTAGGTAACTAAATTATAACCATTGGTTGTGCTTTTTATTGATACATCTGTTGAAATTATTAATTAATTTAATGAGAAAGCAAAAATATTACCCATATCTTCTATAAGGAATTTAAAGAATTTCCAGACATTATTTATTGGTACTTTGTATCTATAAAATAAAACCTGATTTAAGTATTAAATATACAAAACGAAATAGAATATACCCATTGGGTATAATGTGTAACTTCTTGGAATTATTTTTTACACTTGTTTTCATTTATTTTTGTAACATAACATTGTATTTCCAAACTCGTTTGGACCATTTAATTAACATATTGCAAAATCCTTCCAGCAACATTAAATTAACCAAACAATCAATCTATTAAATTCTTTGCAACTTTCGTAAGTGATTGTTACTTAGGGCAAAACCAACCTTCAATTAATGACCTTTTAAATTATATTTACATTTTAGACTTTAAAACGTTTACGATATTTACCAAAAATCAACACAAGATTCATGAATTAAATCTTTGAAAAGAAAGTAGGATATTCTTCAAATACTGGGTTATTGCATATATTAGTTTTTATAAAATAAAGAATCTTTCAAATGCCAAAGGCATTTTAATTAACTTTTTATGGCCGTGATATAAATTTCAAAGCATATGACACATTAATAGAAAATAGCTAAATAATAAAAAGTTCACTATTGCGAAATTATAAATAAATTTTGTTAAACTTTACTGAATTAACAAATTAGAAAACCTGTTAATTAAAAAATTAATTTAAACAAGGCTAATTTACTTTAAATTTGCATAAGAGTTATGCAATATTGTATTAAACTGCTCTAGTTACTATAATTTACTCAACTTTTGTCTATTTATATTAATTATTTTATGCGTAATTTAAACTATTAGTAATTGCACCGGCAAAAGTATGAAACAAATTTGTTAAAAAATATGTCTTTTTTTATGTAAAATTTTTATATTTGCCGCCATTTTTGTAGAAGCTATGTCGTCATCTTCCGTTTTTTTAAATTGTACTCCAGATTCGAATAGATTATAAAATTCTGAATTTAGCAATATGCACTTTTGGGATGATAGTTTTAGGTATTATTTTATTTAAAAGTTCGTGATTTAAAAATTTTTAGTTCCAAAAAAATATTTTTTATCTTTAAAAATTATATTGAAAATGCTTTTAATCGATAAATTAACCAATTAAATGTTCGAATTGCTCCCCGTTGGTTTCTTGACAGTAAGCAAGCTTATCCGAAAATTATCTGAGAACGTTTTGGATGACTTCCGCACTAATAAAGCGACATTCTTTACGAATTTGATCTTTCAAGTCTTCTAAAGTTTATAGTCTATTGATGTAGACCTTTTATTTAAGGAATCCCCATAAGAAATAATCAACAGGGGTGAGATCTGGATATCTCGCTGGCCACTCTATCGGCCCTCGTCTGCCAATCCACCTCTCGGGAAAACATGTGTCCAAAAAAGTACGGACTATGCGCGTCCTGTTAAAAACAAATATTATCACTTGCAAGTGATCTATAGATCACTTGCATGGTATACCATGGTAGATCGGGACGTCCATTCTCATTGGAAAACATTTCTGCTAATGTGGGAAGAAGAGAGTTTTGCAAAAATTTTAAATACGTTTGTCCTGTCATATTCTCGTCAAAGAGGAAAGAATCTATGATTCGATTTTCCACTATTCTTGCCTAAAAATTTACTTTTTGCCGTTATTGGAAATTTGCCTTAACTACCCAATGAGGATTTTCTCTGCTCCAGTATCTACACTTTTGACGGTTAACTGTACCATTCAAAGAAAAGGTAGCTTCGTCCGAAAAAAGTATTTTACGGGGAAAGTGTGGATTGTTACATAAATTTATCATAGTTATACAAAACTGTAGCCTACGGTCCGTTATCTTTGTTAACACGTTCACTACCGCCGTGTTACAGCTGGTCGCTTGTAATAAACCAACTTCGACATCTTTTGAACCCATAAACTGGCGTAGGAAATAAACCTGAGTCACTGTAAATAAAGCCACAAAAGTGAACCAGAGGCCACTTAACTGGCCGTGCGCGCGTTATAGACCGAAGACAACATACAAGTCACCACTTGTGACCCAGCTAAATTTATATTGCACCTAAGTAAGATTAAATTTGAGGCCAGTATAGTGGCCGCGGTTCATGGTGAGCCAACCGATTGGCCACTATAGTGGTCGCCGGTAGTGAACGTGTTAAGTTCCTGCACTAGTCTAATTTTGTGTCTTCACTAATACCAGATTTTGGAATATCTTTGACATGTCTAGTCTCTGAATTTCTTTACTTTGCATTAAATAAATTCCAAACTTCTTGTTTAGTAGAGGATCCCAAGTAAGGTCGACCTTCACCCATCTGCTTACCAGATGAAAATTATATTTTATCAAATAAAATATGTTTCTGAACATAAACCAATAGGGTTGCCATAAAAAATATGATCAAGGCTAGCTATAATAAATAAAAAATTAAAAAAAAAATAATTAATTTTTTAAATTTCACCGACTTGCTTGCCAAATGAACGAAATTCTAATGGAAAGCATACAACATACAGAATATGTAACAGCTAGGTTGCCTACCTTTTTCTGGTCCCTATTACCTGGTTGCTTTGTACAGGGTGATCCCCTATAATGTCGCCCCCCTTTAACTTTTTTATTTTAAGTGTCCCAAAAAATTTAAAAGTTTGGTTATGTAGGTACTAAAAAATACTTTTTTTCTACGTATAAAGAAAATTGGAAAATTGATCAGTATACAGGGAAAAACAAAAAGTTTATTTTTTTCAATGGATCACCCTATATATGAATTTATTTTTCGATTCCTTGTAAAATTCTGAGCATAATTTATATAACAAACCATATACCTAAATTCAACCGTTTCTGAAATATTCGCATTCGAAATGTCATCATTAAATGTTTTTTTAAACTGTTAGAAATCAAGAAGCCTCAGTATACCAAAATTTTTATTGAAAATAAATTACTATAGTGACATTATGTCAATAAGTGTTGTTAAATAAGTAAAAATGGCGTACTCAGACAGAGAAAAACAAACTATTTCAACTTATTATCTTAAAAATAATTTAAATATTTCAGAAACGGTTGAATTTAGGTATATGGTATGATATATGAAATATGCTTAGAATTTTACAAGGAATCGAAAAATAAATTCATATATAGGGTGATCCATTGAAAAAAATAAACTTTTTGTTTTCCCTGTATACTTATCAATTTTCCAATTTTCTTTATACGTAGAAAAAAAGTATTTTTTAGTTCCTACATAACCACACTTTTAAATTTTTTGGGACACTTAAAATAAAAAAGTTAAAGGGGGGCGACATTATAGGGGATCACCCTGTACAAAGCAACCAGGTAATAGGGACCAGAAAAAGGTAGGCAACCTAGCTGTTACATATTCTGTATGTTGTATGCTTTCCATTGGAATTTCGTTCATTTGGCAAGCAAGTCGGTGAAATTTAAAAAATTAATTATTTTTTTTTTAATTTTTTATTTATTATAGCTAGCCTTGATCATATTTTTTATGGCAACCCTATTGGTTTATGTTCAGAAACATATTTTATTTGATAAAATATAATTTTCATCTGGTAAGCAGATGGGTGAAGGTCGACCTTACTTGGGATCTTAGACTAGTTGTGTTCTAGTTTTTTTTTGCCCTTCCTATAAGAATTAAAACTTCAATTCTCTGTACATCCGTTAAATAACTCATATTTAAATACTTCGAAATATTTGGAGATACAGATACTTGAACGCTCAACTAAAAGTTTTTACATCTAGTAGTGAATATTTGTTTTAAATTATATGCCAAAAAAGAAATATACATAGACACTTGCTATTTGTAAAATAACATAAAACAATAATATAGAAAAACTGACCTTGAAATGAAATATTTTGAGAAAGTTTATAAACATTTCTTCTATAAACACTTTTTAATTTTAATAAAACCCCATTAAAAAGTCTATAATAAAAAGTATAAAACATCAAAACATTATTAAAAACTATAAATTTTCCAATTTTAATAATTAATATCTCCAAAACTATCAGCCCAAAAGGTATAAATGTGCATGTTGCTGAAATCACAATTTCATAATTTATTCGAATCTCCAAAAAAAGGATGTACAATTTACGATTACGTCAGAGATTCTACAAAAATGGCGGAAAATATGAAAATTTTACATCAAATTGGGCGCAATTGAAAAACAAAATAAAGGATTTTTTTCAGAAAAAACCGAATTTTTCAATGACTATTTTACTGTTGTCGGTCACTGTATGAAGTGTGCTTGATAACAACTAATACTTGGGAATTTAAAATAATTAAACCTTCAACTCGCCAGTTTTTGTTTTGAGTGCGTTCCACCAACTTCAAATAAGGACAGACAGCTGTTTCGACCTATATTGGGTCTCATCAGTGTCGGGCAACTTGGTGTAGTGGAACACGCCCAAAACAAAAGACTACCTGAGGTTATATACTGCCCACGTAAGCCAACCGAGGCGAGATGTACGAACATTAATAATTTAAATTCAGTAAAGGGTCAAGTAAGTTTCTTGAAGAAATACCTTTAGCGTTCCAAAGGAAGAACGGCTTAGGATATTGCAAAAAGTTTGATTTTTGTTTGAAAGCAAAATATTTTTCTTTTACTTTTAGTCATTTTTATAGTAATAAAAGATCATGCACTTACCTCTGAATTGCACGGGCTGCCCAACAACCCCCCCGCTCACGTCCGCCACCTGGATCAAACCGGCATCGTAGATCTTCGCGATCAGCGGCCCCGACGGGAGTTTCTCCCCGTTCACGGCCACCTCGACGATGTGCGTGCCCACCTCGGTGGGCACGAACTCGAGGCTCTGCACGCCGGTTCGATTGCCGGGCAGGACGCGCGCCTGCACGCTGCGCTTGCTGGGCGAGATCACGTGCACGGTAAAATCGTCGGGGGCGGTGTTCGAGTTGGTTATTATTTCGAAGACGGCGGGGGAGTTTGCCGGCACCAGCCGGGTCGACTCTCCGATCACGGAGAGGTTCGCGTTGCTGCCGCTCATGACGTTTACATGCCAAGGACTACCTTAAAAGCAAGGAAAATATCGTTTTTGACGACCACTAACTTGGTTTTTGTTTCGTGTGAGGGACATTCTGGTCTGGAAAGTTAAGTTAACGCTATTTTTGCAACTTTTTTTTCAAATGCATCCTTACGATCAAAAAGTAGTCAAGAAACGATTTAAAAACAAACAATATTTAGTGAGTAGAAATTTGCCAACTGTGCCCATGATTTTCGACATTGTCATGAAAATTAAAAATAAATAATAATTACACAGAGAAAAATAAGTTTGAAGAACATTGCACAAAGTTGTGCAACATGCCATTGGAGCATAATTTTCTATAAATGTGCTACGTTATCCAAGATAGTTGGATTGTTTTTTCTAATTAGTTTGTTTAAGTCAATTTTCTATAATTTGTTGGAAAAATTAAGATTTTATATTTAACCATTTGCACATTTAACAAGTGGTATGATTATCATCGATGACGAGTGAAATGTACTGCTTCCGTTTCAATGAGTAAAAATATTATCGAAAAGCGACACAATTTTATTGCACGTTATAAGCGACACTATTATAATAGACATTTTTAATACCATTACACTGATTTTTCATTTATAGGTTTGTAGCAATAATAGTTATTTATGTCATTAGGTTAGGTTAGGTTAGTAAGGCTTTTTGTGCTAAGCTTAAAGTTTGAAGGCCGACGCGTAGCGAATGGCATACAACATTTTATCTTTAAAGCACTTTATATAGGTCAATTTAATTCAACATGAAAGCGGCCTAACCTCACTTTTTAGAATCTCATTTATTTATTAGCTAAAGATTACATTAAATGTACAATAATTATTATTCCTTTTAGAAGCTGTAATAGTTTGACAATACCTAGCTACATGATTTAAGTAGAAATAGATTTTTGTAAGAAAATGGTTTACTTACCCTCTTGCTATTACATTGAATTCAATTAAGTAATTGTTTAATAAATAGGTATCTAATTTCAATTTGTTTGCATTTTTATTAAAAAAATAGGTAGTTTGGAATGTTTACGCTGTGTTTAACATTTAAATTCACTGAAAACTTAAAGCAAATTAAAACTTAAAGATAATTTAAATCGTAGAAAAAGAAAACCCAACTGTGAAATTCACAGAAACGTCAAATTGCAATGTCCTAACCTCACTTTTTGTTTTATTATTCATATTTAATTTTACAATTATTTAATGAAAAATAATAAACATTAACAGTAAAACAAACAAATTAGTGCTTATTATAAATAAATTAAACCAGTTTAGTACGTTAATTTCTTAGAAAAGGATTAATAATTAAATTATTTATCAAAACAATACCCCTAGCGAGAAAAAACCGAACTAATTACTTGCCTCATAAAAATTTTTATCGGCCTAGGCCATAACAAGTTATTTCTTTATCGAATGTTGACAACAATAAAGTTTAAATTATAGACCGCGTGGAGATAAAAGGTATTTTATATTGTTACCAAAACGTGCCCCAACGATCTCTCTAGAATATTATATTTTGCATCAGTTATTGATTATAAACTTTTTAAGGTTTCAAATAATAATGACATTGGTTTATAACATTTTTTAAGTTCCTCCAATTTAGTCGATAAAAAATTGACATAATTTGATATTTCAGCTTTAAATAAAATTGCATTTTATTTTAGAAATTATTTTACTAGCTTAACTTTTTACTATCAGAAATATATGTAACTCAAGCATTTGGTGAAAAATACTAATTTTTTTAAAGTAATAAATCTATTTTATTGTTTTTTATTTTGATTCCATGTCCTGAGTCTTGTAAAAATAAAACATTGGCAATTGTTATTTTAAACTTTTATGTTAAATATGAACGATATTTGAGTAAATAAACGGAAAGATGCGTCTGTTAGTTAACTGGCGCAAAAAATATTTAAAAAAATATTATTTATCTTTGGTCCAAAAAAAAATAGCAGGTTAATGAAAATTTTATTAGTAATTGCATTTATTTTTTACTATTCACACAAATTTTTATTAATTTTTTATAAACAGTTTACAAGAAAATAATTTTTAAATCAAATGCTACATTTTTTTTAATCAAACATTGTAAATAAACAAAAAAATGTATGTTGTAACATTCTTATACTTAGTAGATTATGATTTATTGCTTATTTTTAATTTTCATTGCAACGTCGAAAATCATGGGCTCACTTGCCAAATTTCTACTCTAACAATTATTATAATTACCAAGGAAATGGATAAAATGATTAGATAATATCTAATCATATTATGCGAACAAGCCATTTTTTTGTGCATATAATATTATGACCAATAGTCGCACACAATATTTTATTTAACTACTGCAAGAAATATACATATCAATGTAAAAACAAATTATGAATAATTAAAGAAAGGAAACAAATTATCAACAATTTATCTGACATTTAACATGTAAGACTCGTAATTACTCAATTTTTCTCTAATATAACCGATATTGTAGCTTCAAATAAAAAAGAAACTCATATATACATAGGATACTTGGAGGATACGGTGTTAAAAGGAAAAAAAATATTCCTTGATGAGTTTTCTGCCTGTTTTAGAACAAATGAAACACGTTTTAAAAATCTGAGAAAATTTCTTTAAAATTGGGCCTTTTGAAAAATATATTCTTATGATTTTTTCTAATTTTTGTTAAAACCCCAAAACACTACTTAAAGTCAAATATTAAGTAATTAATCTCTCATAACCAGAGATATTTAAAAAGTGTTTCCTCTTTTTAACTCGATCCGTAGAAGTTTTTCTTCCATTGTATAGACTTTTAGTCCTTCCCTCGTAATAATATGAATCGTTCTAGGGATTATGTAGAACTTATACCACATTCCAAATAATTAGATAGCTTAATCTTTTAGAGACTATTAAGTTATATAAAACCTTGTAGTAGGCGTGTTTTATTTTTTATCATTGTCATGGTATAACCTCTTCTACTAAACTATATTTTCAAAAAACTGCAACCCTGTTTTTCACAAAAATATTACAAAAAAACATATAAATTAGCTTTTTAGACCAGAATACCTTTAAAAATAAATGCCTATTAGTCATAATATTGGTGCTTAAATCCATAAAAACTCTTTATCCTCGTTATAAATATTCATTTGAATGGCTAATTAAAACTTCACATAAGACATTGAATAACAATAATGAACGTTAACTAAACAATAAACAAACCTTATTTGCCACAAGAGACTCTTATTAAGAATATCACCTATAGAATATAGTAATCATGTATTTTAAAGAGACCAGATTAAAATTATATCTCATACAGATGTTAAACTTTCTCTTTAATAATCTTCTTTATTAATTTTGTGATTTTTTTTGTTTGTTTTTCGAGAAAGTATGATCTTGATGAGCAAAACGATAAATTAGTAACATAATGATTGGAATTTCTGACGTTTCTTGTAAAAGGGTTCGTCGGCTTGCAACTGTTGGAGTCTCCGAAGAACTAATGTGCATAAAGCCTTGAACACATCCTGTTAATAATAATTACCGACATTTTATATTGTTTTCTTGCAAAATTTAAGCACCAATTTACGAGTCAAAAGCACCTATTACATCTTCCCTTTAAATCTACAGATATAATAGACCATGGAATTTTACCTGGGTTTCTTGGATTGCACTAAACCAAATCACGGTTTTCTCAACGAGAAAACCTTTATCCGAACGAGCAAAAGCACTTATAACTCACGGTTTAATTATAAAACCAAAACGTATGTTTCCTAAACGAATAAGTAAATAGTTAAAGAACGCGACTTGCCAGCATTACTTGGCTCACTGACTAGCAATCAAGTAGGCGAGGTGAGAGGCGAGAGCGGCATTCCTACGGGCAACAGGTAATACCATAGACGTTCAAGAAATAGACAGCGACACTTGTTATGTCATTATCAAAGGCATAATGCTTTAGGAAAGATAGAGAAACTAACTCTTAATGTTTTATTGATATTTTTGGTAATTATTTTTTATGATTATTACGTTTGAACATTTATTAAATAATTTTTTAAATTAAAATTTTTTTGGTTAAAATTTTCCTACAATACCTATTATGTCCAATCAATTATTAAAAATAGTTTCCTAAGTATAATTTATTTTGGCAGAATTTTGTAAATCTTAAATTAATATGTTATAAAATTATTTAGATTAAATTGGTAAAGTTAAATTTTTTTAGTATTTATAAATAGTGTCGAGACATTTAAAATAAAAACACAAATAAAACTTTTTCCACCAAAATAGTTTAAATATAAAATGCAAATGTAAAAGTTTAAGTTTATAATATGGGTTTTAAAAAATTGTACTATTAATATTTTATTCTACAAAATTATTGGTTTAAATCTGTGAAGTCATTTAAAGTCGATAAATTTGTAATATAAAAATTTTGACATTACTTTTAAATGTTAGTTTTAAATTTTAAAGTTGTAATTTTTGGATTTAAAATCATTTAAATGAGTCTTGAGAAATTTAAGCCAATAACTTTTATTTAAAGAAAATTAAATTAATATATTTTTAACACAAAATATTCACATGAATCCACAAAGTGTAAACGCTGCTGTATATATAGCTTTATATATTAGCTGACTGCATATGCTAGAGACAGCATACGCAAGTTACGTTTCCACTTTGCTAATTAAAAGTTATCGACTTACTTTTAAATGTAAAGTTAAAAACTTTGTATTAAAAATGAATCAATTTAAAATTGATGATACATTTTTAATCCAAAAATTATCACTTTAAAATTTAAAACTTACATATAAATGTAATGTGAGATTTTTTAATTAAAAAATTATCATTTATCATTTAAATGACTCTGCAAATTCAAACCGATAATTTTGTATAATAAAATATTGGAACTAAAATTTTTAAAAATTAATATTTTTAAGCTTAAATATATTTTGACTATCAGTTGTTTTGAGTTTAAAAAAAATTAACTTTGTAAATTTTTGCTAAAACATCATTAAAGTGCTAAACTTTAATCTTCAAATAATAATAAAGAATAATGCATTTTTCACTAGATGAAACATGAATTCCTTATAAAACCATTGTAATATAATTAAGATAAACCTCTTATTTTTAAGTTTCAAAAATATTCCAAAAGTTAAATATTTACTAAATTTGAAGAATAAGCATATTAACAAAAAATATTAAAATATCTTTAAAACAAAATAAAAATCTGTGCCTGTCTATTTCTTTAAATGTCGATGGTGCAATTACTGCAAATGCACTAGCGCTTGACCTGTACCACGTTCGGGCCGTAAAAACCGACAACGACCGAAGCTAGCGTTGAAGGGAACAACAAAAACGTCATTGAAATGGTTCGGTACCATTTCTTCTGGAGCACCCATCGCAAGATGCCGATGGACGGTTCGAATGGTTAAATAATTTTAAGCATTCGTCAATTCGAACACTTTGTATGTTAGTGTGTCGTCGAGTGATATTTGCTTATACGCCAAGTCTTGGTACGTTGACCTGGACTGAGCGGAAGAAGGGAAAGCAGAAAATATTTATGGGTGCTTAGAGTAAACTAGAATGACTTAATTTATGACACCGAATAAAAGTCTTCTGAATTCTCCATGTCATAAAAAAATATCTGAGTAACGATCATAATACAACTTGAGATTGCCAAAGAATGTTCGCTGATATGTTAGGAGTGCCCATCTGAACAATAAAATGTCGATATTGCATAACCGTGGCGTCTAATTAATTCTAATAAGTACTGTTTATAACTGTTAATAACATTTTAATATAGCATAATATCGGTATTATTGTCTACACACTTAGTATTATACAAACAAAGTGTCATATTCACCTTTGGTGTCTTGTATGGGAAATACCCTATAATTTGCATTTATAACATTTTTGTTTATAGCTCTAAAATTTTATTTATATATATTATTCCCAAGTACCTAGAACAATTAGTTAAATTAACGTTAATTTAAAATACTTTTAAACATAAAATAATATTATGTTTTAATATTGGTTGGTTTAAATTACCTACCTTATTTTTGGAATAAAATAAATTATTAAAATTAATGGCATTTCCTTTTTTTAGAATGGACAGCAAACAATATGGCGATTATATGATGCTTTAACTTATTGGTTATATTATATAACTTATATAACCAATACAAATTAACTCTTATAACTCTTTGCTTTTGGTTTAAATTCGGTTAACACATTATAGTTAATAATTACCAAATTTATTTAACTTGTTATTTTAAAAATAACTATAGTTATAACCTAAAAAAATTCCCGCCGATCTTACGTTCTGATTTTAGTTGCAGGCCTATAAAACGCATCTGATCTGTGATAAAACCTATAGATGCTTACCAAATTAATTAAATGTGAGGGGACTGTTTTAAGATTTGTAGATAAATAATTATTTACTACTTTATTAACTCTATAGTAAGTATATATTTTTTTAAATTATTTCTTTTATGCTCCATTTTCACACAAAATTCACAAAATATAGGTTTATAGATAAAGCTGTATTAAGACTAAATTTTCTATGCAGGTAACAATGAAAACTGCAAACCCATCACTGTTTTAACCAGTTTATTAATTAACATTAATTTACCATCGAGTTGAAATTTATTTTGTAAAATATAACTTGTTGGTTAAAAAAATATATCCAAATTAACCAAAGCTATGTTTAATGTACCAAAAAGTTATATCAAAAATATAACTTCTAAAATAACCTACTTTTTAACTTATGAGTAATATTTTTGATTAATTTACTTAGAATGCTAGTTATTTTACGATTTGTGCTACTTGGGTAATACATGTAGATGAGTAGATATTAAATTTATGTTAATACCCACACTTTAAATTATTATATTAATATGCCTTAACCTTCAGTAGATAATAGTTACATTCATACTGAGGAAGTCAACAACAACAACATTTAAATTGGCGATAGTATACATAAATCCGTTTTTGTGTATGGGAAATTCTACGTGAATTCGACACGAAAAAAACCCTGGCCATTTAGAAATTCCTAAAAAATGTTTACCCTTATATATTATTAAAACCTTTATTTATAGGAAGTAAAAATAATATAACATATTCACATTACACGTGAATTCGAGAAGAAAAAAACCCTAGCCATTTCAAAATTCCTTGGCAATTTTTCCATGGGTTGGGTTGGGTAATAATAATAATAATAAATAAAAATTCAATTTTAATTTTAGTACGGTTTATCAATAGTTTTTGGAGATATGATTTTTTAAATTTTCATAATTGTAACGCCAATGTCAGATTTTTCTTTGAGTTTTTTATCTATATTAGATCGTGGCCATCGAAATATTAATAATTTTTTTGGAATGTTAAATTTAAATAATTTTGATTTTTTCCACTTTCGAAAATGATTTTTTTATTTAATCTTTTTATATTTAGCCATTTAACCATAAAATTTGTTCAAAAATTAATATAATCTTTAATTTTTTTAAAACAATTTAAAAGGGCTAAATAAAAAAAATCATTTTTGATATTACAAAACGTCCGAAAGTGGAAAAAATCGAAGTTATTAAAAATTTAAAATTCAGAAAAAAATATTAATTTATCGATAGCCACGATCTAATATAGAGAGAAAAACGTGTATTCGCTTAAAAAATAAAAACAAAAAAATTAAAATGAAAAAATATATATAAAAACAGTGTAGAAAATGGATTTTTAGTTTTCGAAGAAAAAAATCATTGTGTGCCGATATGCCACAGCATCAAAAATATTTATTTATTATTTATTGGTCGTTCAATTGGAACCAAAGTTATGATCGATGACATTTGGCAAAATCGTTATATCCATGAAAATTTAAAAAATCATATCTCCAAAAAACAATTGATAAACCGTGCTAAAACTAAAATTGAATTTATATTTTAAGTCAGGGAAACCATGGAAAAATTGCTAAGGAATTTTGAAATGGAAAGGGTTTTTTTCGTCTCAAATTGACGTGGAATTCCCCATATGTTATATTATTTTTACTTCATATAAATAAAGTGTTTAATAATGTATTAGGGTAAACATTTTTTAGACATTTTGCACAAAAATATTTTATAAAATTAGTTGAGAGGGAGAAATGTTTTCTACCAAATCTTTTTGATTTCAAGGGCTTGAATTGGTATCTACTTATATTAATTAATTACCTGGACATATTCACACAAAAACTTAAATTGTAACCTTAAATTTTCTATAAGTACTATAAAAACGTTATACTTATTATGATAGGTGTAGCTATATACTGACTACATTTTGGTGTGATTTAATTAAGTGCTGGCTAACTGTGCATCATTGAATTCTGTACTTAAAATAGCCTTTTATATTTTTAATTCCTTAACAATTGACCTCCACAATGTTAAAACAATGGCAGCTAATTATTGTGGAAAATACAATTGCCATCAATTGTATGTTGGGGTCAGTACACAAAATTTGTGTATTTAATACACCAAATCATACAATTTATAATCTAATCTAATTACTAATGGGAATTTATTGATATTATCTCAAGTTGTATAGATAGTTAACCCAGATGATTCAGAAATAAAAAAATCACTTACCTGGTACGGTCTCTCCATTAAACTTGATGTCAACTCTATGGGGTAACGCTTGGTGTGGGGTGAAAGCAGCCTTAAACCTTTGACCACCTAGGCTTCTGACACTCGATGTAACCCTTCCGCCTTCCACCAAAATTTCCAAATCACCCGAACCTGCCCCACTACCATCAACTGCAAAAATAGAGTTACATCTCACTGCTGTGTTGTTCATAGTTTTGTATATAAACCAACAGAAGATTATTAACTATAAGTAGCTGATATAAACCTGGTTATATTCAGTGTTATCTTACTTTCAAACTCCACAGGTTGTCCTAAGACGCCATCGGGAACAGGTTGCACTTTGACTGAGCTGGCGCCGCCTGCTTTGGTTACTTTGTAGATGGGAGACTGTCTTCCGTATCCTTTTTCGTCGTAGGAGTTCAGGCTGGAGTTGTATTTTTGGGAGTAACTTTGATTATGGGAGTAATTTTGCTCGTTCGTCAAGTATCGTGTGTGCTCTTCTGCTTTCTGTCTTCTGATGTCTGAGTCCAGCTGCGATTCGGTTAGGTTTGCTAGGGATTCTAGGCTTCTATCGGATAAAATGTTTCTGTAAAAAGAGTTATTGAGTAATGGAATATTTCTTAGATAATTTCCAAAAAATAGCCCAGAGAACCATGGTTTAAAAAAGAACGTGAAAGAACAAAAACTGCATGAAAATAAAGACTTATGTAGAGTTATTTTTGGCCAACTTCGTTTGTAATGAAGTTTGTTTGAAAATTGGCCAAGCGTTTGTAATGCAGGTTGATCGAAACTTGGCAAATAATTGATCAGCATGGAAAAAGAATCAGTTTACTATGCGCAATAGCGAGTAATAGGTACTTTGCAGTAAATTAATATTTAAAGACACACAAAGGCGTAAAAAAGTGCTTGTGTGAAATTTTGAGTAAGTAATTAAGGTTAAGTTTTCAAGTTTTTTAATAAATAATTCAATTCAAAATTATACAATTTCTTACTTACTAGATTTTTATTCCTTCGTTAATTTTGAAGTAATATAGATTTACATTGGTAGTTCTATATTATTTACTTATTTTTTGTTCATAGTTACAGAATTTCATCTTGTTGCATGAAGTTGCAGTGAAGAAAAAGAACTGCCTTGTTCTAGGTAAATAGTGTTTATACGTAGAAGTCTTTTACTACAAGCAGGACATATTAAAAATAAATGTTCTACCTATACGTCACAGAGGAAAAAGAGGATTTATTGTGTTTAAAGATCTATAGTGCCTAAAGTGAGCAAGGTAATTGTAAGTTTTCTATTGAATTTTAATATTGATTTATTTTTGTATTTTAGAAGTTCTTCATAACATATAAAGTTACCAATCACAAACAATTTTACAATAAGTTCTAAATTTTTAATAAAACATGATTCTTGATACTTATCGTAATTATATTTGTCTCATGTATTTTAACACGTATTAAGGTATTTTTCTAGAGAGTTTACAGGAACACGAGAGATTTTCTCCTCCTAGGGTTGTAGAGTTTCAGAGGTCCTTTGACGTGACCTTGAACAATGCCAAGCAACGTGCCAGAAATGAAAGAAAAGCTTTTCTTAGGATTCTTCATAAAAAAATATATTTTTTCAAATTTTATTATTTAAAATATTTTTTAATTATAATTTTGTTTTTTTTAACAATTTTTATTTTTTTATTATAATTTTTTTAATTGTTTTCTGTGCCTGTATTTATAAATACTCTGTATTTGTTCAAATATTTACCAATATTATGTCATTGGTAAATTTTTCAAAAGCCTAATATTAATATTTGCCCAAATAAACATAAAAAAATTGTCATCGTTTTTCCTTGCCCAAACATTCCCAAAATTATACCAACGGTAATCTACTTAACTTAATCCAAACTGCTTTTGCATATTATTGGGCACATTTGATCATTTATTGTTGGCCATCACGATTGCACAAAAATCATAGAAATATTAATATTTTAAGTCCTATATTGCAAATTTTTTGGCAAAACTTTTCCAAAGGTGAAAGGGGAATTCTTGGTCAAATTTTAATCTGATATGGCTCTCTGGAAACATCAATCAATTTGGAATTTGGAAAATCAATGTAAATAAAGATATATCACCTGTTTTTTTAAACTTCCTGGACTGACATCATTTAAAAATTGTTTATTTACACGACGTTTCAATTGCTAGTAGATCTGCAATCGTTATTAAGTGAATAATTATTATCATTATTCATTACTTCGATTGATAACGATTGCAGATCTACTAGCAATTAAAACGTCGTGTTAATAAACAATTTTTAGATGATGTCAGTCCAGGAAGTTTCAAAAAATATGTCTACACATTTCAAACATATATCACCTGGTCTTATTGATAGCATCCCAAGAATCCTTCCTGGCAGAAGCATGATCCCCCATGGAGTTAACCTTAATTATCGGACTAGAATCAACCCCTCCAAAGGAATCGTAGCTCCTGCTTTCCGTAACTCTCTTGTCGAACCTCGACGTAGACGTGGAGGTATAACCGACATCGGGACTGGCCCTGGGACTCTCGGAAACCCTCATCGAAGACATTTTATTCGTGTAATCGTAATCGGAGGATTTTTTCGCGAAACTGGGACTGGACGTGTCGAACCGCTTTTCGTTTAATCGTTTGCTCGTTATGTAGTCGGGACTGTCACGACCGTAACTGGGACTCTTGGTTCTGTAGATGGGACTGCTGGTGCGGTGGGCGTAGCTGGGACTCGCCGTTCGATGCATGTAACTGGGACTGCTTCTGTCGAATGTTGGCGAACTGGTTTGGAATCTTGCATCGGTCATTCTATTTTCCGACATTCTGTGATAATCTTTCGCGTATTTGTGGGTCTCTTCCAGAACTGGGCTCGCGTTCTGCCTGTAGCTGTTAAGCGTGGTGTTTCTGTTTAGAATGCTGGAGCTTACAGGGCTAGAGCTTGTATAGCGGTTGGTAGGACTGGATCTGTAGCCAGTTGGGCTACTGTTTGATTTTGATCGTTTCTGGGTTCCCACTCTCATCATAAACGGAGATCCCTTAACATCGTAACCATTGAAGTAAACATACACCTAAAATATATACAAAAATAATGTTTGTGATTGAAGTAGAATAAGAAATCGTACTCTATGTTTGCCAGCATCCATGGGTACAAAGTGGACTTTGTAGTGGAAACCCATTTCATCGACCTTCTCCACCCTGCAATGTACAGATCTTTTATCATGTACAATATCGGCGAATACTTCTCCAGGTACACCGACTCCTCTACAATCCAAATCAATACTATGAGGTACCAATGGTAGAGCGCCTTCCAGGTTGGATACGTGAACACCATCTGGGTCGAAGACTGAGCAAGTAAAGGGTCCACCCTGAAAATAAATACACATTACCATATATTTGGATAAATTATTGAGATGGTTTACCTGGATTTGTTTCCCTTGGTAGGTTATTTCTATTCTCCATTCTCCGGCTTCATCTGGTTTAAAGGTGGCACTGTTGGTACCGTCGATGGTAGTTAATGGGCAGTTTAATGGCCTTCCACTTGGACTGTAGGCAGTTACTAGGATGTCTTCACGTTTGGGAGCTCCTAAATTAAAGGAGTGTTATTTATGAGCAAAACCATTCAGGGTAACCTTTCGTTATACCCAGTTGTACTATTTAAGTTCAGCTTACAAATCGATTTAAACTATAAAAATATTGAAATTAAACTGTAGCTAAACTCGAATTGTACAAAGTTGGTTTGTGCGTCTCATTAAATTTATTAACCCTTACCTTGATAAATATGTGATTTAAAAAAATGTTATTCAAAATGAATTACTTACATCAATGCCTAATACTAGTGATAATTAAACTAAGATGTATAAGTGTAATCTTACTACAGTGTTACTTGGATAAAAAAACATAATTTATTTGCTCGTATTATTCCAGTTCTTGTTTTAACCTGTGCTCCTTATAACCTGTGCTCGTACAACCAGTGCTTGTTTAAACCATGCTGTGTCATGATACTTGTATTTTAATATAATATGATTTGGTATATTTACAAGTTTTAGTTTTAAAAAAATTAATAGAAATTTTTGCTCATCACTATTGAATATTTATTTTTTAGGTAAAAAATATGTAGACATAGGGTGGCTCAAAATATTCAAATTTAAATTAAAAATATTATTAAAAAAAATATATTTGTGGTATTTTGTTTTTTCATTTTTACTACTAGATATTTTTACGCCACCCTGAAGAAAAGACACATGTTAACTTACATACATAAATATATGTATTAATTGTTTTAATTGTGTATACATTTATTGTGAAATCTGATAAAATGATTAAATACCTAAACATTTTTCAAAAAATGCCAATTTCTCGAGTATGACTCCTGGTAGATTTCCTGCCACAGTGATTATTTTGCACACTAAGGATATTTAAAATAGTTACTAAGTATACTTACATAACATACAAAACTAATCTAAACTATACCTATGTATATATTTTTTTAAATCAAATAAATTAATTTTAAAATTGTTTATAATCCATTTATGTCTATCTAAAATATTTTGAACAAAATTCCACTTCCGGTTTAACCGGAAGTGACATCAACTTTGTTATTTCAAATAGAACCCTATATAATTATAAATTCCAGATAAAATTACAAGTAAAATTACTATACCTATACCTAAAGTAAATAGTTTTCGAGTTATTAATTTTTTCGTTAAAATTTTATAAATGCGCGTCAATATAAATAAAAATAGTCTTTAACTTTTTTGTTATTAGGTTTCAAATATGGGAAATTTTTGGAAAACATTGTTTAAAGATTTCTTGTCAATTCTTTGACATTCTTCAACAAATTACCTGAGAAAACCCAGGTCAAATTAGGCTACCCCAGATAACATTCGTGAATGCACATTAAACTCACACCGGGCGCACGCCGTGAATCTTTAAAAATGAATTCATCGTGAATTCACTGTGAGTTCCCAGATAATATTCTTAATGCACATATAATTCATGCCGGGCGCACGCCCTGAATCTTTCAAAATGAATGCATTGTGAATCCACTGTGAGTTTCCAAATTACATTCCTGAATGCACATTAAACTCCTACCGGGCGCACGCCGTGAATCTTCAAAATTGAATGCATCGTGAATTCACCGTGAGTTCACAGATAACATTTGTAATGCACATTTAATTCACATAGGGCGCACGCCGTGAATCTTTAAAAATTAATTAATAGTGAATCCACTGTTAGTTTCCAAATTACATTCGTAATGCACATTAAATTCACACCGGGCGCACGCCATGAATCTTTAAAATTAAGTGCATCGTGAATTCACCGTAAGTTCACAGATAAGGGGTCATCCATTAATTACGTGAGGCAATTTTGGCGATTTTTCGACTCCCCCCTCCCCTTGGGAAAATGCATTGTTTTAATGTAAATAAGTTAATCTGTGATTGATTCCATTAGATTTATTAAAAAAAACAATTGTTATAATTGTTTACTTAATTTAACCCAGTTTTCTCGCCATTTTACATTGTTTCATTTTTTTCAAAAATTACGTGATATTTGCCGAGACCACCCTCCCCCCACGTGAGATTGGGTGGGGTTTGGCTCGACCCCCTCCCCCCCTAAACAACTCACGTAATTAATGGATGCCCCTAACATTTCTTATGCACATTTAATTCACACCGGACGCACGCCGTGAATCTCCAAGATTTTATACAGATCTGTTAGCACGTTTAATTAAAGATTTTTAAATTTATTTTGATAGGTTAGCTATACCTCTGTTTGATGGGGAAGGTATACCTACCCTATCAAAATAAATTTGAAGACCGAATTCGAAATAAGAAAAAGAAAACATAACATTAAAGGAATATTAATTAAAGATTTTTATTAAATATTAAACGGAAAATAAAAAAGTACATTTTTTAATTAATATCAGTTATTAATATTTAATATACCTATAATAATAATAATAATTATATATAATAATTGCAAAACCAAATACGCGGGCACTCGTGCGCATGCGCCTATGGCCGTCACATTTCAACTAAATGCAGGGTTGCCGCTTGCAGGTATTTGACCCGAAAATCGCGTATTTCATCATGCTTGCAAGTAAAATATTGAAGCAGGTATGTTATAAATTTTACTTTTCAAAGAAATTTTCAGTAAATAATATTGTATAACTACTAACTAAACATAATTCTTTAATTATATCCTTTTATTTTTCTCTTAATTTATTCAAAATTTAATTCACTTTTCCAAATTGAGCAAATGTACTAGAAATTTTTACTCGTGTAGGTAATTTCTAGTATTTTGTAATTTTTGGTGGGGAACTTTCACGAAAATCATCCGGCAACACTGCAGCGTTAGTGTGCGTACGCAGCCACGAGGTTTTCTATAGAATACCATATATGGTAAACATCTAGCTAGATATCCTGTATACCGGTAAATCGTTCAGTTCATATCCTTTTTCTATGGTTCAGAGATAAACGTTCAGTTTCAAGGTGTATGTATCTTGGTTCAGTTTTTCAGTTTTATAATATATACCTAGGTATTCAGTTCAATAAATACTTAAGTTGCTAGCCAGGAATTCCAAAGGTAAGTTTGACATTTTTATATTTTAGCATGATCAAATTTAAGATACGAATTTTATTGTATATATACTATAGTAGATCAGTGCACTGATAATAATTGTTACAATTATTGCAAAAAGAACAAAAACAATGAATAACCATGGTTATAACGCTTTATTGTGGTTATATTTTTTTATAAAGTTTTTATTCATTGTGTTTGTTTTTGAGTCAGATCACGTAAAGTGGACCCCCCATTTTCCACTTGGTAATAGAATTTAAATTTTAATACCTACATCAATCGTTAGTAGTCATTAGTAACAATATTTCCTTAAAATATATTTTTTTTATTTTAATTTTAACAGTTTTTTTTAACAAAGATTTTTCTCTCTTTTAATTAAAAAATTCATTGTGAAAAAACTGTTAAAAGTTTCGTAGTGAAATTTTCAGGACTTTTTTAAATTTTTTTTATACTTTTTTTGATCATTGAAATATACAATTCAAATTTTTGATAAAGTCTCTATCAAATAATCAAGTTTTTTTCATGGTTGCATGTACTGGATATAAAGGTTTCATATCCTGAAAAAAAAAATTCACTGCCCGGCATTTCTTTAAACATTATTAATTTTTTACTGCAAGGCTCCGCGCCTCATGAGTCGAAGCCGCGCTCGGCTGAATTGGTTTGAATGATTTGTTTTTATTTGAATTCAAAATATGACATCCATTTTAATATTTTTATTAGTAAATATACAGTCGACAAATATTTTAGAATTTTTTAATCAATAAAATAAATGAATTAATTAATTAATACAGAATATTTTTATTAGCTATCGCAAGACTTTTCTTTATACACAAAAACAAATATTTTTTTTTGTTCTAAGCGTTTTTTTAAATAATATTTATTAAATTTTATAAAATGAGTCTTGTAAATAAATGCTTTAATCCAATAATAATGTTATAATTTATATATTTTTTAAGGAACAAAAAGAAATTAAAATAAGGGGAAAAAATGATGAGTTATTTGACTCATTTGATGATGTGTCCAGTGATGAATCAGTAAGTATACTTATCTGTAGATGTAATTTCATATATGTGATACATAATATATATTATAATAAAATATTATACAGTATTATATTCATTTGTATGCATTAATTAGTATTATTGATGTTATAATTCATATTTTTTTTAAGGTTAAAGAGGACATTGAAACCTCTGAGGTTGATTCGGAATAAACTTTACAACATAACACTTTGTGTTTTATTTCAGTATACTATTGTACCTCAAGTTTAATTATACAAAGTTTATACTTCTTAAGAAGTCCCATAAGCCAACTGAATGGCTTGTGCCGGTTAGGGGTAGGAACGGACCGCGGGTTTAAAGTCCCCTTCGAAGGACTAATACACAATAGGACAAACACAAATAAACAGCCATACCCCTGGTGGGATTCGAACCCACGACCTCCGGCTTGTAGTCAGCAGCACTAACCACTAGACCACCGTCGGCGTGGATGGCATAATTGTCTAAAAAAATATTCTCCAATTGGACATAAATCACATCTTTATTTAACATTTTTCATTTGACTTTATTTACAAATATAACAAAATCTGTTATTTTAAAAAATAACACGTTTTATTTTGTGTTCCAATTTAAAATTAAGTGCAAAAAAAATTGAGTATACGCACGAAATTCACCGTAAATACGCACGCGAAGATGCGTCCTCCCCTTGAATTCACCGTAAATGCACAAGTGAAGCTCGAAGTGAGTGCGCATGCATGCTAAAATTCGCGCGAAAAAATTGAAATTATGGTGAATGCATATTTTTTGTTCAGAAAACTTATTTTACTATAGGGGAAAATATGTTTTCTGAACATGCACCCTTATTTCATTTTTTTCGCGCGAATTTAGAACACGCATGCATTTACGGTGAATTTAAGGGACGGAAGCATCTTCACGTGTGCATTCACGGTGAATTCATGTGTGCATTTAAGGGGCGGACGCATCTTCACGTGTGCATTCACGGTGAATTCAATGGGCGGATATATCTTCACGTGTGCATTCACGGTGAATTCCAGGGGCGGACGCATCTTTTAGCAACCGTGAATTCACGCGTGAGGCAATATTTTTCACCGTGCATTCACGGTGAACTCACGAATGTTATCTGGGACTTGAAAAGTAATTAACTTTTTATTTTAAATGTAACACCCGGTATATTTTTACATAAGGGTCTTTCCATCTCAAATCGACCAGGCAAAAAGAAGTAGCTCGATATTTTTTACAGTTTCTCTACCGAAATCGATGAGACCGGTATTTTTTCTTTTTGCTTAAATTTGTTTTGTTCACCCGTAGGAAATTTTTGAAAATGGACAGAAACATCGATTTTTCTTTTCTTACAAGTGACATTTTTTCTTGAAAATGCGATAACTTCAACAAAAATGTTTCGATCGTTAAATTATTGTAGGTAAATGTTTATTACATATAAAAAATTAAGTAAAATCAAACATATTTTTAAATTGTTTTTTAAAAGCAAAAAAAAATTGAGGTCAAAATTTTGACATTGCCACATTTTTTTTACTTCATATTTTTCTCGTTTGAAGTTGATAATATGAACAACTTTCACCAAAAGTCCCGAGTTGGATAAATTCGGAATTATAATATTTTAATGAAAATGCCATTTTCTAGTAAATTCGTGGTTCATCGCAAAAATTTGGTATTTTATCCAGGGTCATGAAACTAGGGTGACCTTTATAAAGTGTAATTTAGAACTTTTTGACATATTTAACATATTTTTGTCACTTCTGGTTTCACCGGAAGTGTTCTTAAGTAAGTAAATTAAATTATTAAAGATTTTAGAGCAAAATTCTTAATGTTTTTACATGTTACTTTTAAAAGATGTTAACTAGTATATCTAAGTTAATTTTGGTTAAAATAATAAGAAGTGCCTAAAAGTATTATATACCCAAAAGTATTAAATCGAATGCCCAAGAAACTTATAAAAACGCGATTTAGAAGAAATGTAGAACACAAACAATTCCGAAAAATGTTGATCTATTAACACATATGAGTGAGGCGGTCGCGAAACTCTATTTGACTGAGGCTCTATCAGAAAGGGAAATAAGTATTAAGCCTAAGAGGTCCAGAAACTAATGCGCATGTTAATTATGTTTAGAAATAAAAAAAATTTATTTGATTTTATATTTTGTTTTTTAATTTATTGCTAGAGATTCCCTACAATGGCCACACTATGGGGCGGTTAGATATAACTTTTTGGTTTTAAAATATTTCATTTTATTTAGTAGATTTATATACAACCAAATAATGTTGAGCAATTACTTACACCCCTTTAATTCTAACCACCTAACTTATTATTTTTATTTTATAAAAAGTTTTGGCGTATGTTTTCATAATAAAATAAAATGTTAATATTCACTTATCAGCAAAACAAACAAACGAACTGTCAAATCTGATACACAAAGGCCTTCTTAATTTATTTACTTGTGTACACACTTAACACAAATCTAATAAACATACAAATTTAATTAAGAGTTTGAAAGCGATATTATTTAAAAAAACACTATTTTTTTTAAAGAACTTCTATTATAGAAGGATAATAGAAGTTCTTTAAAAAAAATAGTTTTGGCAAAAAGTATGGTTTTTAATTTTTGAAAGCTCCTTAAACCAGCATTGCAAAAAAAGAATAAAATTGTATGTATTCAGAATTTTATTTTTAAATCGAAATATGTAAAAATGCGTAGGGTGTTTCATTAAAAAATAAAAAATTAAGACCATTTCCGGTGGAACCGGAAGTGACAAAAATATGTTAAATATGTTAAAACGTTCTAAATTACAGGTCACCCCAGTTTCATGACCCTAGATAAAATACTAAATTTTTGCGATAAACCACGAATTTCCTAAAAAATGGCATTTTCATTAAAAAAAATAATAATTCCGAAACGACGAATTTAGCCAACTCGGGAATTTTGGTAAAAGGTATTCCTATTATTAACTTCAAACGAAAAAAATATGAAGTAAAAAAAAATGTGGCAATGTCAAAATTTTAATTTTTTAATTTTTTTTGCCTTTTTACAAAAAACAATTAAAGAAAATTCACTTAATTTTTTATATATTTTTTGTATGTCATAAACATTTACCTACAATTTAAAAAACTGGAAAAAAAATTCGTTGAATAATAACGACAAGGGGTAGCCTGGTCGATTTAAGATGAAAATGCCCATAATCAAATAGTAAATTAAAAAACCTTAACATTAACTATTCAAAATCAAAATAAGATAAGGAAATCAACATAAAAATTGCAGATTTTTTAGTAAGGGCCAAATTTTAAAAATATTTTTGCCCATTAAAATGTTTCATAGATAAAGAAAGCGTGATTTAAATTGACTGTTATCATAAATTATGCATATTTATTCGCAATGAACTTGAGAAACCCAGAACCGTAAAAACAATCTAAATTACCATGTTTTCGAGGTTATTAACAAATATCTCAATTATAACAACTAAATATAACTTTTTGTAGTTAAAAACATTAAAGCATATATTACCTGTTGCATTGACGAGGACTTGCACCAAACTTCCAAGAGCACAGGGCGCCATTCCTGGAGGGGCGACTTCGACTAAAGGCGGCAAAACTCTGAAGAAATGGCCGGCTAAAACTTCTTCGCTCTCGTACTTTACGACGAGCTCGTGCATACCCACCTTCTGTGGTATAAAAATGCCATGTCCCTTGTTTAAACTTTTGCCCAAATAAGTTTTGTTATCCGGCGCCCTTATATCCACCGATACCTTAGAGTAGGAGAGTTCCGAGTCCAGTAAGGTCACTTGGTAATGCGTCTTAAAAATTAAAATATGGTAAATATTTAATGGGAGTTTTATATTTTGATATATTTTAGTTGCGGTAGGTATTTATTACCTGTTTGTTTGCCACGTTTTTCACGGTTAACTTCCCGACTACGTATGAGCAAACAAAGACAATTATTGTCAATTAATTTACCTTAATTAGTATTCATTACACGCATGTCTATAAAGTGTACATTAAAATTAACTTTGCTCGGTCATAATTAAATCGTTGAAGACTTCAAGTAAAGAATAATAGGATCAAGTGCAAAATTTTAGAAAAATTAGTAAATACAGGATTTAAGGTACCTACAAGTCAAAATAAGAAAATTTTTCTTCTATCATTTTTGCATATGTGTTTAAATTTCACCTTTCACTTTTTACGTCGATTGATGCTCATGTAGCTATTTTTTAAATTTTCCACAAAATCTTAAGAAATGTTTAACTATCCCACCGTTATTATCCACACAAAGACAGCGGCTTAGAAAATTATGATGTGTCGCTCTTGCTATCATATCCGGATGATTTCGAATGTGTCAACTTTGCTCTGGTACACCAAAATGTTCATGTAGCCCCAGAGAAACCACAATAACGTCCGAACTGTCAGTAATCAATGATAACTAAGTACCTACTAAACAATTTTGAATAGGTTTAAAGGTTTGCTTGATTTAACATAATACATGTATATTGTGCGCATTCCTGTTTCTTTTTTGTTTGGTTGAATAATATCATCGTTTTTAGAGGTAAAAACAATGATGGTATATAGGATAGGTCAGTGACATCCATTGGCTCCCTGGTTTTGTCCAAAAAATTTCATAATTTTTTTATTTAATTTGTAAATAAAATAAATAAATTAGAATTAAAACAATCAGGTACCTTTCATCTTTTCAATTCAAAAAATGACGTGCTAACAGGTAGTTATTAATAAACAAAAAATCTTTTTTTTGTAAACAAGTTTTGAACCAGAAATTAAATTTTAACAAATTGATGTGGCGTGTGGTATTGGGTTGTCTAAAATCACCAAAAACTGTATGATGTACTTTAAGCATTTTAACACAATAAACCAAAATCCCTTTAAATAAAACAAACAATAGTTGCAGTCTATTTGGCTTACTTCTTCTCCAACCCTCCCAGATGTAGAATTTAGATGTACATTAATAAGGTCGTGTAGCGGGGGTCTTTCGGGAACCCATTGGAAATGGGCTGCATAAGCCATAACACCCAAGTGTTCCACGTTTTTATCCGCCATGTCCCTGGCCGATAATACTGGATCGACTCCTATAAATAAATTTAATTACCATTATAATAATTATTTTAACTGGTTTCAATTAAGTAATTAAATTAAAAGTAGGTTAAGTAAATGTATAAATGTGTTTACTTTTGCCCATGTTTTGAAATTTGTATTAATTTCTAAATTATTTGTTATTTTTAGTAAAAAGTTGTTTTTATATATTTATATTTTAATAAAGAACTAAGAATTAAAGAGTAAAAAAAATCTATGATTATATTTTTAATTTGATGATTATTAAAATCACTAAACACTAAAATCATTATACACTTAAATCCTGCAACTTTATTAAATTATAAATTTTATATCAGGGGCACCAAGTATATACATATATGTGTATTTTATTTTATTTAAGAGCTACAAGGTCGGTAATTAAAGAAAATTTGCGTAATTACAAGCTTATTGACATAAAATTTAAGAATTGAAAAAAAAGCCAGCGGTTTTCAAAATATTTAAAAAAACTTTCAAAACCAAAGTTCCTGGAAATTTCTTTTCTACACCGAAAAAAATAATGTACACTCTTAGAAAAGACCTGGTATTTGTAACTAACTTATTATCGTTGGAGTAAAACTGTTGCAGAAAATAAAAATTTTTGTTTTTTGTAATCAGTACCTTTATATGTGTAACTGCTTGCATCATTACCTGAAAAGATTTAGTTTTGTTGTTGAGTATTATTTACTGCAAAAAGGCGATTAAGTTATTTTAACTGAAACTTTGTGTTGGCTAGAAGTATTGACAATATTATCTCAAAAAAATCATTTCGGCGGTAAAATGTTTTTGTTGGTCCAAATATTTAAGTAACATTCTCAACTGACTGAAATTAGTCCGTGGAACTAACGGTTCGGTTGTATAAACTATGCGACACTTTTCACACAGCTAAGACACCAGCGGTGTGCAACAAAGTGTCAGTTGGGGATGTTGTCTCTGTAGGTTAATGCAACTGCAAACTTTGTGCATTTCGCGCGCGATTTGTCCAGCCCGGCGCGTGCTTTACTTTTAACCTGTAAACAAACGGTGTTGCACGGCGTCCAGACTTCGGTGGTGTTTGTTCTTTTGTATTTGTGTATCAGCTCGTGTGTAGTGTATATTTTAGGTAAGAAACTAGTTTATTACAATTAGTCATTTGCCCCTGTAAATTCAGTGGCGACATACTTTTTAACTATTCATATATATAAGAATATATTCTTATGTGTTGGTTACTTATAGATATCTCGAACAAATAATATGGATGAGCGGACTGAAGTAGCAGATTTATTAGGAACATGGGGTTTACCTGAATTGGTTCCAGTTTTTAAAGGTTAGGTATTATTATTGCACTCCTTTAATTACACTATTGTAGTTTTGGGGTCCAAAAAAAATCAAAAAATGTGAAAATGCCATTCCGCCTGAAAATGGCCTCCTGAATCCAATGGTGCCCACCAAAAGTCTCCATCACGTCGAAATTTCGAGAATTTTTTGTTTTGTTTTGTTTTGTTACAGCTCAAGTCGCATTTTTGGTATAGGGCCTATACTATAGGCACTCACACTCAAAATTTATCGAATGCTTACCCCTGTTAGGGGCCGTTCATTAATTACGTGAGGCAATTTTGGCGATTTTTTGACCCCCCCCCCTCCCCTTGGTGAGATATCGTGAGATTTTGCTCGACCCCCTCCCCCCTCCCTTAATCTCACGTGAGATTTTTTTAAATGCATGGTTTTAATGTAAATAAGTTAATCTGTGCTTAATTCCATTAGATTTATTTAAAAAAACAATTTGCTTATAATTGTTTACTTAATTTAACCCAGTTTTCTAGCAATTTTAAATTTTTTCTTTTGGAAAAAAGAATTACGTGATATTTGCCGAGACCCCCCCCTCCCCCACACGTGAGATTTGGTGAGGTTTGACTCGACCCCCCTCCCCCCCCCTAAACACCTCACGTAATTAATGAACGGCCCCTTATCATGCAAGTATGTTACGTTGTACCTAAGAATCATTGTTAAGTTGTTAAACAAAGGCTTGCACTTCACGTAAACATCACGGTTTACTGAAGAAGTATAGTCAACTTTCATCTTAATGTACCTATCTGTGTATATTTACCAAAGAATCGTTTTTGTTTTATTGTTAAAATATTTATAAATGTTTTCTTAGAGTAATTATTAATTTTTGTTATAATGTTTAAACCAAAATTTGGTGTTTTCAGTTATATTGTTATTTTTTAATTTATAATAAATATTTATAAAACGAACGGGCATGAATTTCCTTCCTCTATTTTTTATAATATTTACACAAAAAGTGTTATATTTACTAAGCAGGTATGTACTGTGGAATAATACCAATTTGTTGTTGCTACTAATGCAAGCATTTAATATTAAATATAACTTAGTTACAGTAAAAAACAAATTTATATTATATCAACTATTAAATTCTTTAAATGTACCTTTTTTCATGTAATTTCAATAAAAAAATAAATTCCTGCATGATACAATGTTTGTTGCGATAAATAGCAAGTGCAGTTGTTACAACTTAGACGCTGCTAAAATGACAGACTAATGTGATTGCATTAAATATCAATTATTTGTATGAAAAAAAAACTAATTTCGATGCACTTAAACTTGTTGGTTGGAGCTACCAATATTGGCTGTTCCGACAACAAACTGTAAAAACAAATTTGTATTAGTTCCCACAACATATTTTTTTGTTGTGCCTATTTTCACTAATAAAATTGGTTCTGGGAACTAAATTTTCATTGCAAATACCAGGTCTTTTCTAAGAGTGTAGTTGAGTTAACATTTGACTAAATGTCATTTTTAAAAATGTTGTTTCAACAAAAAACCTATTGGATTAATCTATATTTTGGTGTTAAAGCAAAAGTCAGAGTTTGTCAAAGTTTATTTGTTCATTTGACAGTTTAAATATTAATTTAACATAAACTAATATTTTGAATTAAAATGTTTATCGTACTTTGATTTAATAGCTGGAATTTGTTGAATCAACTACTGAAATTTTTAGGATTACCTAAAAAAACTATTAAATTAACGTTTAGTTGCTCTTTAATCCAAAACTTTAAATTTGTTGATTTAACAAATTTAAAATGTTACTTTAAAATTTAAAATGTAAAATTTGCATTCATAAAATTGCCGAGAATGGCGCTTCGAACACTCACGCCACGTCATTAGACAATGACGTTTTCTTACATCTCGCCTTAGTTAGCTTACGATTAGGTGTATATAAGATGAGATATCTGTTTGTTTAAGGTCATCTATGGGTGTGTTCCACAGTAGAACTTTCACTACACCATATTGCCCGACACTGTTAAGACCCTCAATACAGGGCGAAACAGTCTGTCGGTATTTGAAGTAGGTGGAACACATGATACAAAGATGTATCATGGGTGGAACACGCTCAAAACAAAAACTCTGGGCGAGGTGAAGGTTCAATTCTTTCTATTTATATATAATAATATATTATTTCCATAATTTTGTTTTGGATACCAACCTTTAAAGAATTTTACATTTTCAGAATGTTAATTTAAAATTTTATTGGTGTTAAGTGAATATGCTAAAAAGGTTACCTGGACATTTCAAGAAATTTACCTTAACACCCTAAGAATGTTAAATTAACCAAATTAGCAGATTAGAACAAATATTCTTATTTTGTTCATTTGACTGTTATTTGTTGTTCAATTAAACAATACAATTTGACATTTTTAGATGGTTAAGTAAACGTGCAAAAACCATTGCTTGTATTTAAAGTGCATAAAGAGTTGAATTAATATTTTTGTTGTTGTTTCAACAGCTTATTTTTTTCAGTGTATCTTATGTTTTTATAATGGCTGATAAATCGTTGGATACCTTGATTTTTTTTATATCCCACCAGGTAAAATTCCATCATGGGGGCCATGGGAAAAACAAAAGATGGTGGAGGTATCTTAAAAATCACATGTTTACATGTAAATATTTCTTTTTCTAAAAATTCACAGGAATAACGAAGTTATAGCGATTTTTGATTTTGACAGGGTTTTCAGTTTTTTCCATATTATTTAACAAACTGATTTTTTTAATAGTTAAATTTGATTTGATTTGATTTGATTTGATTTGATTTGATTTGATTTGATTTGATTTGATTTGATTTGATTTGATTTGATTTGATTTGATTTGATTTGATTTGATTTGATTTGATTTGATTTGATTTGATTTGATTTGATTTGATTTGATTTGATTTGATTTGATTTGATTTGATTTGATTTGATTTGATTCGATTCGAATCGAATCGAATCGAATCGATTCGATTCGATTCGATTCGATTCGATTCGATTCGATTCGATTCGATTCGATTCGATTTGATTTGATTTGATTTGAATAAATTTAACTATTAAAATGAATATGACGTATTTTCATTTTTGGTGTATACACCTGACGCATCATAGCAGATTAGCACAATTCTGCGCGCTCAATTTCTGGTTCCGAAATATTTATTTTGTTCTCTTTCAGAAATACTCAAAAAATGTTTTGTATTGTCAAATTAACTTTATAATTTCTCTGAAAAAACTCCACTTTGAAAAAAATGTTTTTTTTATTGTTAATAGATAGGTGCAAATTTATATTTAATTAGATACTTAAATTAAGAATGTGGCAACAATTTTTTTTTAATTTAAAAATCCTAATAAACTGTAAAATACTTGTTGTAAAGCACATAATTTTTTATAAATAGGTACCTACTTTAAATATCGTCTTTAAAATAATTATTGTTACATTTTTTATTTATGAATGAATTAATTCATAGAATATGTATTTAAATAATTTTAAATATTTCGCCAAGGTTAACATATGCTAATTAAAATACCCAGATAGCCCACGTCTGCAATAAGGAATATATGTACCTTAAATTCTAACTAATTTGCATAAAAATTTTAGCGAGTTTAATATGTTACAGTACATATCCAAGAATTGTATTTATTTAAAAATTAACCTACCCAATCGTTTTCCCGCATCGATGGCTTGATTTAAATTTGATTCCCAATAAGCAGGATCACTTCTTAGCTTTTCTGGAGCTTTTGCTGAACCTCCAAGGGATCGGATAATTTCACTAATTACTCGTCCATCATTCCATTCACCCTAAAAATATGCTTATATTACACAACAACTCCTTTTAGTAAGACTTCTTGATTTTGAAATTCCGTACTTACAGTAAAATTGTTCACGGGCCTTTCCAGTCGAGAATTGACCCACCTTAAAGTGGCGTGAAAACCTGGCGATCCAGGTTTCATAAAATACGAAAGGTAAGTCATTCCAGAAAGCTCATCCAACCAAGGTGAAGCCAAGTATTCTGGTTCCAATACAGCTGGAATGCCCAGTTCTGATTGGGCTATACCCATGGCACGTCTACAGTTTTCTATTGCATTATGTTTATCTGAAAACAAAAGATTATAAAAAATTGTACATATTGTTAAGTTGTAGTACCTAGTTTTCTCCAATGAGGGAAAAGACCTGGTCTGCAATAATCTATCAGAGCTGACAGGAGCACTCCAGAGTTCCAGTCTGTTGTGAGGTTGCCCACTTTGCATTCTGGAAGGACGGCTTGAAGCCATGCTAACATCAATTTTCTCGGAGGGAATTTGGATCTTCCGATTTGGTAACGAACAATCAAAGACCATATTAACCCCAATATTAACTTTAGGTTTCCATTTACTATATCAACATTTCCTAGAGAAACAATGAATTTAAAATATTTGCATTAGATACCTACATACAAATTAATTTTATATTTTTAAATAAAGTTCATTTTTTTGAAAAATACGGAACCAAAATTGGTTGCATTGATTAAAACAAAGTAAACTATAGTTATAAATGTAAATATAATGTTAATGTGGTTATGTCAAAATGCGTAGTTAAAAATGCATGGTGGTGCGTAGATGAGTAAAATCATATAAAAAGGGAGTTAAATATAGGTGACTACGGCCCAGGAGAGACAAAGTATTCCTACCCTGATAGCACACTTTATTCTAAGAATGTTTTTTAAACCTTCCAGTGAGAATATTCTTAGGATCATGCTATATTTTTTTAAAGAACATGCTTAAAAGAAATATAGCATGATCCTAAGAATATTCTTACTGGCCTATAGGCAGGTTCTTAGAAGGTGCAAAGTTTTAATGGTAAAAATTAGTCTACTCTAAACATACATATGCTTAGAATGTTAATAAAGTAATTGCTATAGAAAGTTCATTTAGGAATATTTCTGTTAAGCATATTTAGTTTAGTTGCCTATATAATAGTAAAATATACCATAAACTATGTATAAATACTTATACCCATACTTAAGTACCTAATTAGTAATAAGTATTACCTAAGTACTAAGTAAAAAACACAATCCAAAATATTTTTTTATAATTATTTGTTAAATTAAAACAATATTCGATAACAAAAATACTTTTACTATGGATATTTTATTTTATGTTAAAAATAAATATTTATTAATTTCTATACCGATTTTTTATTTCTGAATTATTATTTTTATGTATAATAATCCTAACTATCTTTTTATGTATAATAATCCTAACTATCTTCAACTTCAATCAAATCTGACTTATCCCACAAAATTTTCCAATTTTACTTTTTATGAAATAATGTGATACAACTTATGGTTTAGAGGTCAAATTGTTTATTTAATATTTTTTAATAAATATATTAATATGTCGCAAATTTTTTTAAGGGGACGACAAATACATTTCACTGTCATATTATGACAGTGAGGCGTATTTGTCGTCTCCTGAAGAATTTTACGAATGTAGAATACAACATATTAGAACGTGGGTATCTGACATATTTGGGAATATTCTTAAAAGCTTCCTAGAAGCTCCATAAGAAACCTTCCAAAAACGTATTCTTAAAATGTTCTTGGGATGCTTTTTAACAAGCTTTTAAGAATCTAATTGCATCATTAAAAGGGTATCTATTGAATGTTTTAAAAGTCCCTTAGAACATTCTTAGCAATATGGAAGCTTCTAAGAATATTCCATTATTCCGGGTCATATCTTCTTAGAAGATTCTTAAAATCAAATTTTGCTATCAGGGTAGCGGATAATACTTAGATAATACTTCTAAGGGGTAATATAATATCCGCTAATCTTTGCTTTGAAAAGAATTTATAAAAAACAAATTTTATATGAACACACGTGAATGTTGTCCAATCATTGGACTCCAATGGTGATTGGGTATTTTCTTAAAGCCACTGGCTAATATTAATTATATTATAGATATATATTGTCCAGGACTATTAATGATCAGTAACTTGCAAATTAAAAAAAGTTTCGTGATTATTGCTTATCTTTTTCAAACCAAATGGATGCTATTTTCAAAGACAGGAAAATTAACTACTAGATTTTTCACAAAAAGGTTGAACCTAACAGCAAATAATTTTTATTTTTTGTTTTTTATTTCCCCCTTATTTTTTCAAATTTCAAAAAAATTGATTTAAAATTTATAAAACCAAAAACGATACTTTTTTACTCCAAAAATGTCCACCGGCTTAAGGCGATGTACTTTTTCTGTCATTGAAATGAAGTTTTGCCCTTAAAAGTTCTTTTACTTTAGAATCTGATCTGATATAATTTTTGCATAGTTATCTTTATACGAGGTGTGTTCAGAAAATATCGGAAATTTTCGTTTTTTGAAACAAATATTTATTTATTCGTCTTCATTAATGTTGTCGCCTTTAAAATAGTCCCCATTGGATATTATGCACATGTGCCAGCTCTTCTTCCAATACTTCCTTTTTCTATGCTCGAAACACTTCTCGCCTTTAGTTCTTTCAGCGATGCGTTTTTAATGTCATCTATGCTTGCAAAACGACGGCCCTTTAAGGTTCTCTTTATTTTTGGGAATAGGAAAGTCAGAAAGAGGCATGTCTGGCGAATATGGAGGCTGGGGTATCATTACAGTATTGTTTTTGCCCAAAAATTTTGTTCAAAATTTAACAATTATGGAACAAATTTTGCTGCCACGCGTTTCATACCCAAAACATTCGAAAAAATTTCATGGAATGGGATTTCTTCCACTTTTTTTATGTTTTTATCGGTTGTTAATGTGGTTGTGCGTTCGGGGCGTTCGTCATCTTCAACGTCTTCACGGCCATCTTGGAAACTCTTATACCACTTGTAAACTCTTGTTTTACTTATAGCAGACTCACTATAGGCCTTTGTTAACATCACATCACATAATTTATTTCATTTTTTAAGCAAAATTGGATACAAATTCTTTGATCCATTTCTTTCGAACGAACGAAAATCGCCGAGCTCATAAAACACGTCTAACCTTAGCGGCTGCCACAGACAAAGTAAACAATGAAAACAGCTAAAGTTTTTATCATACTTCGGGGGCATGTATACCAACATAATAAAGAAAATTTTATGACAACCGGACTCTTCGAACCCGCGAAATTTAACAATTCCTGTTATTTTCTGAACACATCTCGTATATCGATATTATATATAATAGGTATAATAATTAACAAGTAAATTATCAATAATAAATATAACTGTCAATTTGACAGTGTCAGAGTATTTAATTAAGATCTTCAGCAGAAGTACCTTTTTTAAATACTAAAAATACTAAATCAAACTGGCATAAGCTACCAACTTAATAAAAAAAACACGAGTCCAAATTAAAAAAAAATGAACTGTAGTTTCAAAATATTGTTGTAAGCTAAATAATAAATAAATTTCATTTTGCAATAGATGTGCTACATCCATAACATTATTATTAGGTATAATGTGGGCATAATAACAAACATTCGATTCGTTTTCTATAAATCTATTTTTTTCCATTAACGCTAAACCCACATATTTTTGAAATCGCACACATGTAAACATTTAAACAAAAACAATTCGATTGCATTTAGATACATAATGATTGCACATCGCATAGGTAAATAGGTAAATAATATTGATCGACAAATATGGTTTGTCTAGGAGTAAAATTTGCTTGGTCGTTTTTTTTAATAATATGTGCCATGTGGGATGGCATAAATCTAATTTAATGCCCACATTCGAAATTTGACTTTAATATTATGAGTTAATTAATTGTTGACATTTTTACACGATTATAATAAAATAGTATATTATGTATCAAGTTTGATAAACGCCATTTTATACACGAATTTAATTTAGGTACGAGCGAGCTTGCGAGCGAGTTCTTAAATTAATGAGTGTATAGAAAAGTTTATAAACGAGGTGCATACTATACTTTTTTACGACAAATACTTATTATTATCTTAAAATGATTTAAATCAAATATTTTTATAGAGCGCCATCTATGAAACAATAGGGGAATCTGTGTGTCACCGTCAAATGTCAATTTTTTATAGTTTATAAACACAGATTATAAATCAAAATGTATTTCTTGAAAATGGATAGTTTTTTACAGTGAAAGTAAAGAAAATGTTTTATGAGCACTTTACATTGGAGTCCGTGCCCGAATTTAAGTTATAGTTTACTGCCGGCGAAATTAAAAGGTCAGTACAATGTTCATATACACTTTTCAAATATTGGCGTTGAGAAACTATTTAATACTTTTGTACAGGGGCGTGCTGGGCCGCCGGGACACCGGGAGAAATCCCGGTGGGCCGGTGGTCCGGAGGGCTAAGTGGGTCGGTGTGCCGGAGGGCTATGTAGGCAGCATGCCGCAGCATTTGGTCAATTAAAAACTTTTTTAGTTGAGTTATGTATAAATATCAAAATTATTTTACACATACCATGCATGCCAGCCTGCCAGCTTTGTTTCTTTTTTTGAGATTGTATATTGTTTATAAGTTTCCTGCATGAGCTCATGAGCGATGATAATTTGTATTGGTTGTGTTTGTTGCCTGTTTTTTTTTTCAATAAATTAATTTATACTTTATGTTATTAATTATTAATAAATTTTTGAAAATTTTTTACTGTCACCCCCCATTTACGTGTGTAGTTGGCCGATTTTTCTGAATTTCCCGGGCCGGTCTGATATAGCCAGCACGCCCCTGCTTTTGTATTTTTGTATTGAGATAATAAAATAATTTTCACATTTAGGTAGGTAGTATTATTTTACAAGAGAGGCACTTTATTTTAACGATTGTATGACATTTGACAACTGTCAACTAACTTAAAACTAACTTCAGCCCGTGACTAAAAACCTGTTGCTAACTTCAGCCCGTGACTAAAACGCCGTAAAGCCACAACTTGTCAATGTGTATTTAAAATTTTACCTTAAGGTCACTTAGTGTCATGGAAACATGTACGAATCGTACAGTACCATAATGGTCGTTTTAAATGTGGGAGTAAAAAAACTTAAAGGGTACCCAAGCAGCATTTTTGGTTCCAAAAACCATTGCCGAAGTGGTGATAACTTTAAATTAGTTAAGTATACTAAACAGCTACTTTAATTTTTACTTAAAAGTAATTTTAACTTTTAAATAGCAATATTTTGTAACAGAAACTTAATTTTTCCTTAAATGGTTACTATAAAAATGTTCCATTTTGACATTTGAATAAGGAATGCTGTCAAATAATTGAGGGTATGTATTTTAGATTAACGCCAATTTTTTTTTATTATTATCTTTATAAACCAAAAATAAATATATTGTATTATTTTAATACCTTAAGATTTTAATTAAGGTAGGTACTAAATATCTTCTATAATTAAATATCTAAACATGTTTTTACAGTTTAACAACTGCATTACCTATAGGTAATTATAATTAATTTGATTTATTTTAAAATTTAATTGGCTAAAACAAGGAAGTTCGGCGTAAGGTCACCAGTTCCTGTTAATTTAAATAAATGTATTTCGCATTGTAACGTTTTTAAGTTTATAAAGAATAATCTGTGAAGATGCAGGTTATAAGGCAAAGTATATGCAATTTTATGTATAGTGCGATGGTGGTGTAATGGTCAGCATAGTTGCCTTCCAAGCAGTTGATCCGGGTTCGATTCCCGGCCATCGCATAACTTTTTTATTCTTTTATAATGATTTTTTTTTATTTTCACACATGTAAAACTTTAACTTTTTTCATTTTTTTAATAATATGAGGTTTTTATCTAAATTAAAATTACAAAACATGGATCTTGACTTTTAGTTTTATGTTTATGTTTTCAATGTAGTGAATTAAATTAAAAATATTTAAAGATGACGTAAAATGATAATTATTGTGATGATTCTTAATGTTTGTCCTTAGTTATTCAAGGTTAATAAACTTAATTTCATAATTTTAACAAAATAATTTTTTATACCTATAAACTTATAAGTATAAATACTTATACCTATAGGTATACAATGTAAAGTTGATAGTCAAACTAAATAATTTTAAAAATTCAAAGTGCTGTAACCATTTTTGTCCTATTTTGATGGAATTTACAAAATGTGCCCTAATTTCCTGATAATTATTTCCACAATTATGATTGATTTTTAAAATAATATAATTTTTCTACTCCCACCTTTAAAACGACCATTATCTTACATGTTTCCATGACACTAAGTGACCTTTTAAATACACATTGACAAGTTGTGGCTTTACGGCGTTTTAGTCACGGGCTGAAGTAAACAACAGGTTTTTAGTCACGGGCTGAAGTTAGTTTTAAGTTAGTTGACAGTTGTCAAATCTTATACAATCGTTAAAATAAAGTGCCTTTCTTGTAAAATAATACTAAATGTGAAAATTATTTTATTATCTCAATACAAAAATACAAAAGTATTAAATAGTTTCTCAACGCCAATATTTGAAAAGTTTATATGAACCTTGTACTGACCTTTTAATTTCGCCGGCAGTAAACTATAACTTAAATTTGGGCACGGACTCCACTGTAAAGTGCTCATAAAACATTTTCTTTACTGTAAAAACTGTCTATTTTCAAGAAATACATTTCGATTTATAACCTTTAAAATCTGTGTTAATAAAATAAAAAAAATTGAAATTTGACGGTGACACACAGATTCCCCTATTGTTTCATATATATAATAAGTATTTGTCGTAGAAAAAGTATAGTATGCACCTCGTTTATAAAATTACACTCCTGCCTAAATTAAATTCGTGTATAAAATGGCGTTTATCAAACTTGATACATAATATACTATTTTATTCGAATATGATTTTAATTAAAAAATCCTCTGTGTAACTTAAAGCAAGAACGGAAACATTTTGTTCGAAACTTTGTTTCATATTTACACAACTAAATTAGTAATAAACTCAGTACCTATAGTCACCCTAGCAAAATTGATACTCAATTGAGTCAACTGTAAAGTTGATTTTACGACCTAGAGCTATACAACCAATACATTTTTGTATGTTTTACGTAGTTTGTTTAATTTTTGTTAACAGGATTCTGATATTTAATAATAATAACAATAAAAAATATTTTTTTATTAGAGAATAAAGATTTTAATTAGGAAGATATATATTTCTTCATTATATTTTACACAATGCAATTTATTAAATTATTAATAAGCACCAGTGGGTTCGTCTAACAGTATTTCTTGGAATAAATGGGTAATAAATTTATTGTCGTATGTAAAACTACGTAGTGGAAAATAATGGGTAATTGGTTTAAAAATACTGCACACATACACCATAGAAATTTTAAGATAATTATGCCATAAAAAATTGCACGTTTGCCCATAAAATACTATACAATTTTCTTATGCTGCACTATAAAAACTTTAGTTCTGCTTTATGATATTTAATACATTTATTATGAAATATTTAATATAATTTTTGTTTTCAAAAAATTAAAATTGCTATGGCAATATATTATATAATAAGGTGCCCTTAACTAAAGTAAGTAAACTAAAGTAGTCAACTCTGATAAAAAATTATTAGCGACAAGAAACAATATTTATTGCTTGAAAAAAAGTTCTTAGTGGAAGAAGTATATTTCCCTTGAAAACAAATACAAAATCTCTTAAATGTTTCTTCTTTTAACCAAGTGCAATGTGTTTTTGTTTAAAAGTTATGAAAATTATTTATATTTAGGCAATTCATTCAAGATACACAATTATCCCAATATTATGTCAATTTTCTAACTAAATCTGGTAGCTTCTAATACATGGAAGGGAATGCAAAACGCGCACACCGCGGTGTATGATACGTGTGCCGCAAACGCGTTTGCGGCACACGTATCATATGATGCAATATTGCAACTTGCGTTTGCGGCACACGTATCATATGATGCAATATTGCAACTTGCAATTTTCCATTATCTAGGGGCAGTGATATAATATTATAATTATATCAGGTATTTCTAATATACATTTTGCCGGTTTTGTTGTGTTGTATGAACTTTCACAGTGGAGTTGGAATCATTAAAACTCTTTTTAAATTAATAAAATTTAATTAATTTGTTTAATGTTTTTAAAGGTTATTAAACTATGTAATAAAAATTGTATTTTAAATCATATTTATCTTAGTTTGTTGCAAAAAAACTTTCGCTTTTGTTGATATCAAACAATAAATGTCTTATTTTATTTAAATATTTTTTTTTTGTAAACCTATTTTCTTCTAGTTTTTAACGATCCCAATATTTAGGCTTGAACTCCCCTCACTACGAAGGTCCTTGATTTTAATTGTTAAATGCATGTTTTAATAATTAAAATCAAAAGGCCTATGTGGCGAGGGGAATTTAAGCTTAAATACTAACAACGCTGGTAGTTTCAGTGAAGATCAGAAGCTTTTGAATAAAGCAATACATACTATTGGACCAAGAGATATTTGCTCTAAAATCAAAATAAAATGTGGTTAGGACCTAACCGTTTATTAGAAAGTTCCCAAGCTTTTCAATTAAGAGATGCAGTTTTCTTGTTGAAATCCCATTTTTTGGGCTAAAAAACGTTTTCTATATTCAAAAGAGAAATATCTTCCGAAAAAATATTTTTAGTTCTTGTATTTACTTGCTCTTGCAAGAGCAAGTACAACTTGTACTGTACAAGAACCAAAAATATTTTTTCGGAAGATATTTTATCATGATTTTATCATGCATGATGTAAGCTAAAATTGTAATATCCTTAAACAAATTAATAGATTAATCTCTCTCCTCAAGTACGTAATTTAAAAAAAAAATTATGTAAAGATAGTTTCTGATTTAGATTAAGAAACATATAGCTATATAGCTATATATAGCTTTATACTGCCCAACTATGGAGAAAGGCAGTAACTGCTAAACAAGAAATTTGTGGAAAATTAGCAAAATCTACATTTTTATAAAAAGCAGTAGGTAATTGATTTATTTAACTAATAAAATAGTTTACTGCATTTCTTTGTTGAATTAATTAAAATGTCCATAGCTTTATCATAGCACATGTGCAAGAAAACGCATGTAGATTTTTTTTTGTAGTTACTGCCACACTGGATTGTGGTTACTGCATTTCTCCATAGTAGGGCAGTATAGCTCTTGATCCTATTCAAAAGCGTAAATCTTTTGATTCGAAGTGATTTTCATTTCTTTTAAGAGATTATTTTTTTCAGTGTACTTTATAGAAGTTTAATAATTTTAAGAACCATTATCTAAATTGTTAGTTTTTTTGATTAAAAGAAGTTGTGGGAAGTACCTATTTAATATAAATGAGCTACACTTAAATAAGTATTTCTAAATTAATTTATTGAAATTTTGTTTTGTTCTTGCCAACTACATACTTTTTGTATATAAATTGTTAACTATTAATAAAACAAATCAACCGAAAATATTTTATTTTAAGCAGTTTAATATTTAAAAATTTGAAAAATTTGTGTTTTCTTGAGATTAATTTGTCATAAATTCGATTCCATGATTATTAAATATTTTGTAAACTGTGCACTGAATTAAATTTTCTACAACTTTTTCTTTTAAAATTTTTTGGGAAGACAAAATTCAAAATGAAAAAGTACTTCAAATAAAAAATTAAGGGCTTAACTGAGGGATTTTTTTTCGATGTTTTGAACAATATTTTGGAGTTTCGATGAAAAACAAAACATGGTCGTTTAAAATTAAATACCCTAATATATAGTTACTTCTGGTACGGATAATTTCTATCTAACATTACCTTAAAATATTTAAAAACAAGTTATTAGTACTAAATATTTGTTTAATACTTTGCAGGATAATTTGAATATCTATAAATAGAGCCTTACAGAATTTCTAATATTGGTTCTTTTTATTTAAATTAATGTTTGTAAACAAAAATATAAAATGTGTAAATAAAATAAAATGTTTTATTAAACAATCATTGCATGTTTCTCAATCCTTGAGACAAAGGTCCTTAGTTGAGGTTGCAGGACACTTACCAATATTTACCAGCTTAACCCCGTCCTGTTCGATGGCATTGAGAGCGCAAGTAACATTTTCCAAATAATGATGCTGATTCATTGGTTTCTTGTTCCACGAAGGTTTCAGAGGTTTTCCTCTTAAGGCTTCGACAAGGATGCACAGCCTGACACCTGTGCACAAATCCTCGCTCAGATCGGCTATCTTCAAATTTTTCGGCAGATGCTCGTTCACCCAATTTCTAAACGTGTTGGCCTGAATTTCCACCCACACGTCCTCGTTCCCTTTAATCTGCATCCCTCTTGCCGCGTGTCCTTCCGGACTCCTAGCCAGCAGCCCACTGTGCGATATTTTTCCTTCCATCATTCGCTCAAAATCTCTGCACCACTAAACACCAATTAAAATCCTTTGACACTTGTTTCACTTGTTTTCACTCATGTCATTCACATTTTCCCCAACAAAAATCGCCTCTAACGTTATTGAATCTTCGTTTATTGTTACTGATGTGAAGTTGCGTAAGGTACTACCTGTATGGCAGTCTATTCCGCGGAAAGCAGTATCGAGCACTCTTTGGAGTGGTGCTTGGTGGGGCACGCCTTCTTGACTTTGTCTATTACAAATACGTATTTGTTGTGTATAAACAATTTTAACATTTTTTTGCGATAACTAATGCATTTGTCGGTGTTTAGTAAACACTGTTTACAATGAATATCTTAGTTGGCGGGCGGGTATCTGCAGACAAATATGGTGATTTTAACGACAAGACAGCGCACGAAACTTTTCGGAATTCTAAATTTTATTATTCAAATGTTTACTAACATCTATTAATAAGTTTTGATTACCCTTAGAAGGTACCAGCCAGAAATTATTCAATTTTTGTTTATATAGTACAATTTATTCTAATAATTAACAACTATTAGTTCTAATTTTAAGCAATAACGGTGCATTCACCATTTTTAACATTGCAGGTATTTTACAAGGGAAGTGTTACTTATTGCATGCAATAGTGCAGTAGTGCAGTAAATTGGGAAGAAGTGGAGTTAACCCTTTCGGAGCCAAATTTAAATTACTGAAAAAATTTTTTTTTCGTTATAGTTGCATTCATTGGTATTATTTTGAGATATTTTTGAAAAAAAAAAAAATTTTTCATTATTTTTTTTCATAATATGACATGTCCACTGGAATGGACAAAGTTACTTTAGAGAGGTCAAGTAATTATACGGTCATCTACTGTGTTTTATGTCTAGTCCGCTATAATGGACAACATGTTTTTGAGACAAAATATTTAATATTTAAAAATATAAATGGTGTTAAAAAAATGTAACATAATTATCGAATTGTAACATAATTTTTTCTAAAAACAAAGCTTGAAAATTATATGTAACCTATTCGATAATTGTAACATAATTTTTAATCAAAGTATCTGGACAAAATTAACTTAATTCTATCCAGATTAATTAATTTATTTAAGCATAATGCATGATTTATAGATTTCCTTCCTTCCTCCCGTAAAAGATCAACAATACCGTAGTGCTGTTTATAGATTCCCGTACGGTATTTATAGTTCTAAATGTAACGGTAGAGGCAGCGGTAGAGGTAGCCAAGTTGGGCATTGAATATTATATGAAAAAATTTATAGTTGTCAGAGGTAAGGGAAGTAGAGGCAAGAACGTAGCGGCAAGAGATGACCATCTTTCATCTTTTCTTACCTCAACCGCTACTCCAGCCAATCACACGGCAGTTTTAGTTGGCAGCCTCGCCTTGTAAGTTTAGTGTTTATGCGAGGGGCCGCCATTACCGCTACCGCTACTTTCTGAACTATAAATCCAGCTTTATACAATTTTTAACAAATTTTATAATTTTCAAAAATTCGATAATATTTTTAACCCTGTTTCTTTCACTTTTTTATGATTAAATTATAATAATTATTGTAACATAATAATTACAATTATTGTAACATAATTTTCCGAAAATTTGATAATTTTATTAACCCAATTCGATAATTTTAACTTTTAAATCTGGCTAAATCGGCTAGGCGTTGACTCCATAAGAAGTCTTATGTGCGTGCCTTAATTCATGGCTTATGAATTCCGATTTAAAAATTTGTTAAATTTAAAATCTAGTTTGCAATTTTAGTTTCAACAGGATTATCATTTATCATTTATTATTTTTAATTTACATTTTTGTGAATCGTTCTAGCAAACAATGTGTTCATTAATTAATTAATTAAAATATGTTATGTTATGATATATTTTTTACAAATAAATACGTTTTAGTGTTTTTATTATTAGTCAAGATATTTCAAGATTTCTTGTTTTCTTGACAAGAAATCTTGGTATTGACATACAATTTCTTGTCCTGTCTTGAAATTTAAATTTACTTCTTGTCTTGATCTTGTCTTGAAATCAAGACAAGATCAAGACAAGATCTTGAAATTTTCAAGAACATGGCGACCCCTAGTATCGCTCTAGCGTATAAATACTGTTTGTTAATTATGAATTATTTAGGATTGCTTGTTTAATGGTAATTTAGTCCAGGCCAAGCCCAGGCTACTTATGGTTGTTTCAAAACCAAGAGTTGGCAAGATGGATTTTTTACGGTTGGTTAGAACTTGCCATAAGTCCTCACTCAAAAGCCTTGTACAAATTCCTATATGTATATGTATAAGTAGCCTGGACTAAATTACCAAATTTTGCAATATTCTAGTATTATTATTGAAGAATTAAGACTAATATTTTTTAGGTTTACCTTCGGTCATCTATGTTTACACTCCCCAAACAAAAACATATTCATGTATACCCATTATGTATTTAATATGTACATAAGATGTATGTATTTTATTTTATATTAGATTATTACTACAATAAATAAATCTTATATTCTTACTTGTTTTATGTAAAATACAGCAGTAAATACAATATATAAAGGCACCCTACTAAGCGTCAACATTCAAATATGGCGCCAATATATGTTACAGAAATCTACTTCAATTTTAGGCATTGCTAAGGGTATTGTAGACCTAGATGGCGTTAATTTACTTTAGCCTTTTGCCGCTAGCGCTAGTGCAGTTTCCAATCTATGGGGTGTAGGGGAGAGTGGGTAGACATTGGACAATTTTTAGATTTTTTTGCATGGGTCTCTTAGAAATGTAATTATTTCCAATTTCAAAGTTTCAGGTAATAGTGTTGACTTCTGAAAACGCAAAGAGATAAATATGTGCACTTTAAACCGTAAGATGGGTTTGCTACGAATTTTTGAAAATTTTCGGTCATCTGTCCAAAGTCACCCCACATACGGGGAGATTCTGGACAACGTACGGGGTGCATTTCGACACTATAAAAATATTATAAATTTAGGAATTTTATTGAAAAAATCAGAGCAAAACTTATTCAATACTAAATTGCGACAAATTAAAATTAAAGTAAATCATGTAATGGAATCGAACTCCGTCAGTGGGAGGGAAGAACCCATACCACGTCCTTAAAATCCACCAAGGCTTCATCTTCATCTGTTTCTTTAAATCTGTATGATAGAAACTGCCTTTTAAGGAATTTCACTTCCTTGGTTTAAATTTTGCAATATTCTGCTAACGATGTAACGGGACGATGTTTGGACAATAGAGGAAGACTCTAGACAGTGTGTCCAAACTCTCCCTACATGATGTGAAACAAAAAAAATGTTCATAATTTCAAAATATAGCAACGGAATAAAGTAAGGATATAACAAAAGTTCCATGCTTTATACATACTTTAATATGTAGTAACTTTAATTTATTTATCTACATTGTGACCGTTAACGGTCTGGGCAGAAAAGCTTACAAGGGGAAAGTAAAATATTACATGAAAAAACTCGAAAATAAACTTTTCCACTTACCTCTTCTACAGCTAAACTCAAACTTATTTCACTACCACTATTTGATACCTTAGCAACTTGACAATCTAGATTGTACAGCTGTAATAGTAGAACCAACCTGAAATTTTTACTGGAACCGCGAAATTCGTCCATTGTCCATTGTCTCCCAGTGTCCAGACCCTCCCCACTCTCCCCTATTATCTTTGATTGTACCCACGATTTTTATTAATTTTGAACTCCCACAATTTTTTAATTTTGAAGTACTGTGCGAATTTGTTTTACCATATTTTAATTTATGCTACTGTAAAATATTTTGGCCATATTTGACATCTGCAGACATGTCATTTAATACATTGGTCATTTAATACATATGTCATTTTTGACATCTGTAGTTACTAACTAGTTAGGTGACAAATGTCTAAAATGGTCTAGGACAGATATCAAAAATGAGTTATGGATGTGAATTATAAAAATTAAGAAAATTTTGGAAATTGTTAATTTTTATACTACTATGCGAATTGTTCCCAGTACTGTGCGAATTTGTCTTTCCATTTTTAAATTTATGTTACTGTGATTTATTTTGGCCATATTTGTCATCTGTCATTTAATACATCTGTCACCTAATTACAGATGTCAAAAATGAGTTATGGCTTAGGAAATTAGGAAAATTTTTGAAATTGTCTTTTTTATACTACCATGCGAATTGTTCCCACGATTTTTTAATATTGAACTACTGTGCAAATTTCTCCTAGCATTTATTAATTTTGAAGTATTGTCCCATTTTTAAATTTATGTTACTGTGAAATATTTTGACCATATTTGCCATCTGTCATTTAATACATCTGTCATTAAATACTTATGTCATTTTTTACACCTGTAATTAGTGACCAGATGTCTAAAATGGGCTATGACAGATGTCAAAAATAAGTTATGGCTCTTATAGTTTTAAATATTAGGAAAATTTTGGAAATTGTTAATTTTAATACTACCAAGCGAATTGTTCCCACGATTTTTAATTTTGAAGTACTGTGCGAATTTGTCTTCCCATTTTTAAATTTATGTTACTGTGAAATATTTTGGCCATATTTTCCATCTGTCATTTAATACATCTGTCATTCAATACATATACCTATAATTAGGGGACAGATGTCTAAAATGGGCTATGACAGATGTCAAAAATGAGTTATGGCTGTGACTTTGAAAATTAGGAAATTGTTCCCACGATTTTTTTAATATTGAACCACTGTGCAAATTTCTCCTAACATTTTTAAATGAAGGAAGTACTGTGCGAAGTTGTCTTCCCATTTTTAAATTTATATTACTGTGAAATATTTTGGCCATATTTGCCATCTGTCATTTAATACATCTGTCATTCAATACATATATATTGAATGATTTTATTATAAGTTGGCGAAAAGTGAGGTTAAATCCGTTAAATTGCCAGTTAACGGATTTAACCTCACTTTTCGCCAACTCATAATAAAGCCAACTTCAGCCGTGACTCCATGGAGCCAGTGTTGCCAGATGTAAAAGTTGAAATTATCGAATTGGGTTAATAAAATTATCGAATTTTCGGAAAATTATGTTACAATAGTTGTAATAATTATGTTACAATAATTATTATAACTTAATCATAAAAAAGTGAAAGAAGCAGGGTTGAAAATATTATCGAATTTTTAGAAAATTATAAAATTTGTTAATAATAGCTGGATTTATAGTTCAGAAAGTAGCGGTAGCGGTAATGGCGGCCCCTCGCATAACACTAAACTTACAAGGCGAGGCTGCCAACTAAAAACTGCCGTGTTATTGGTTGGAGTAGCGGTTGAGGTAAGAAAAGATGAAAGTTGTTCATCTCTTGCCGCTACGTTCTTGCCTCTACTTTCCTTACCGTTACCTCTGAGAACTATAAATTGTTTCATATAATATTCAATGCCCAACTTGGCTGGCGCCCTAGACCAAACCATGGTTTGGTTTAGGGCTAGCGCTACCTTTAGAACTATAAATACCTTACGGGAATCTATAAACAGCACTACGGTATTGTTGATCTTTTACGGGAGGAAGGAAGGAAATCTATAAATCAGGCTTTATGTTTAATTAAATTAATTAATCTGGATAAAATTAAGTTAATTTTGTCCAGATACTTAAATTAAAAATTATGTTACAATTATCGATTATGTTACATACAATTTTCAAACTTTGTTTTTAGAAAAAATTATGTTACAATTCGATAATTATGTTACAAGTGGCAACACTGCATGGAGCCTACACAAGGAGCCCGAACTTAATAGGGAAAATTGTTAAAACCTGCCCTCTAAATTGCTCAAATTAAGTCTTTTTTTTCACCACCAGCGGCGCTGATTGTCGATGCGGACTGACGTATGCTCTTTTGGTAGCGTTTCGGTACAAATTAGTCAAAAATGACTTATTTATTGAATGACAGATGTCAAAAATGGCCAAAATATTTCAATAGCATAAAATAAAAAATGGTAAGACAAATGCGCACAGTAGGTAGGAGAAATTTTCACATTAGTTCAATATTTAAAAATCGTGGGAACAATTCGCATGGTAGGATAAAAATTAACAATTACCAAAATTTTTCTAATTTTCAAAACTCTCAGCCATAACTCATTTTTTACATCTGTCATAGCCCATTTTAGACATCTGTCACCTAATTACAGATGTCATAAATGACATAATATGTCAACATATTATGTCAACTGTTTAACAAATAAAATTGGCTTTAAATTCCTATTTCTGTTTGTCGTAGATAAAGTAAAGTATGCAACTCGTTTTATAAACTTCACTCGTTTTTATTAAACCTAATTAAGCCTAATAAAACTCTTAACTAAAATGGCGTTTATACGCTAAAGAAGTACCGGGTTTTAGCAACGCGCGCGCCTTCTGGTGGAAATAGCATTGCGTGAATTTACGACTTCTTAATTAATGCTATCGCGAAGTCCACCAGATTAATTGTCAACAATACATTTAAAGCATACGAACTGTACATCGTTTTTAAATAAATAGGTAGGTAGTTTTTTCACAAAAAAGAGGAAGTCAGAAATTTTACTCCACAAATTTTGTTCACTTGCACAACTAAATCGCGCACTTTTTTTGTGTTTTACGTTTCAGGGAAAAAATTTAGTAACTACTCGATTTCGATTAATTATTCCTTATTTCATTGATTAAGAAACTCAACGCTTAAATGCTTATATAGTTACGTTAGTGTGTGTATTTTATCTAAGGGATCATGGTAAATTATTGTGTTTTTAATTGTAAATAAAATTCAAGAACAATTTACCTACCATTTTCTTGTTTTGCCAAAGTATACAATTCGGTAAGTACATTTGTTGGTGCAGAATTAACTAATAATAACTTTATCTAATATACCTAGTTTATATTTAAGTTTGAACATTTTTAAGAAATTAGTAAAAAATAATTTTTGCACAAACATAACCTTAAAATCAACCATTTTTATATTTGAGTTCTCTAAAAAACGCCGACAATTGCATTTTAAACAACAAATTATACCTACGAATTCATGGCAACATAATATTATATATAATACATAATATAATGGTATTTTACCGTTGAGTATATGTAATGGTAATGGTATTTTACCGTTGAGTATATGTGTGGAAGTACCTATATAGGTATGTACAAATCATTTCTAACTGAGACTTGAGAAACTTGATCATGTTTTTATGATTCAATATGATCTAGTTGACACATACTTTATAACATAATTATACCTTACAAAATATGATCGAACTTCGATCATGTTTTCATGATCGAACATAATCCACTTGGATATCTAATCGAAATGTCGAGAAAGTTTTGGATCACCATCTCTTTAAAATGTACAAGTTTAGTTTCTTATTTTTTCGGCGGGATATACAGTCACACCTCATTACGTAATCATGTAATGCAATGATTTTTTAATATTTAAACACGTTATATAATTTTGCACATGAATCTCTGAAAATACTAAGTAGTTTCTAAATCTAAGAACATAATATTAAAATAAAAAATACGTGCATACATTACGTCACCACGTTTTTGACCGTTGTGAACCCCGCCCCCTATCATTAATCATATTTTTTTGTATTTTTCGCATTTTTTGTATAAGTGAGGTTAGAGCCATAATAGATGTCGAATTTTAGATTGGTCCAAATTACTATGCATAATGAAATCGGCCAATCACTGACGCCAACAACTAGCTCATAATAATAATAATAACTTCATTGTCGAGTGTTGACGACAATAAAGTTTAACTTGAAAAAATTTAATAATTTAGGCTTTAGGCCTTTTGTATATTTTGTATTTTATTGTATATGTACTCAATATGCAATAAAAACTTTATTTATTTAATTTGCTCATAGAAATAATACTAGGTAATAATAATAATAATAATAATAGGTGCTTTATGAATTTGCTCAAGCATTGTAATCGTGGTTGCCTATACTCGGGCGCAGAGTTTTTTCCAAGGACAACTTCTTGCCCACTAGGGAAAATGTTGCCGTGGCAAAAAGGCGAACTAATGCACAAACCGGCACCACCTGTCGTAGAATTTGTAAATTAAATGCTGTTTTCGGCGAATGTGAAATGTGTTTGAAAGGTTTTAAACAAGAAAATCATGGTTTTTCTATGTCCCCGTAAATTAAATACCAAGATAAGTGTACAGTGAAATGTGAAGAAGGCATCGTTTGTCGTAGAAGTGCATAAATTGGTATTTGCAAAATACAAACGATCGCCGCTAGAGTAGGTATTTGTATCTAGAGAACTAATTGCGAATATTATGTTGTGAGTATATTTAACAAATAGTGATATATAGTTATATAAACCTTTTATGTGACTGTTCATGGACATAGAATGGTCATAAGCATCATAATAATTCATATTGATCACTAAAATACACAACTGCTGAACAACATGTCTGAGGTAAACTCTGTTAACATGGAGGAGGAGAAGGAGGCGCCCTCTGAAGTTGTAGAGCAACCAGAGCCCAAACCACTTGAACCCACTGAAGATGTTGCGGAGGAAACTCCAACCCCAAGTGTTACAAGCGAAGTTGAGTCTGTATGCACTGAACCACCATTTTCAAACAACACATCTGTCATAGACACAGACACAAGTGAGGAAACAAAAGATGATGAACAAAATAAGAGGTCCAAGAGAGAGCTCAAACTCCTTCTGGCTTTATCCAAAGAAGCTAACCTCAACACCAACATATCCCACAAGCGTAAGTCATTGGAAAACACCAAGTACAAGGATAATTATGTAATTAAACTCGGTGAGGGTGGCGAGAAAGCCAAGAAAACCCCCAAACAAAGCCCAGAAGGTAGGGTGATTAGGTACCCAGTAACAGCAGAGACTGAGTTGGAAGAGGCTGAGGTGGAGCCCAAAGAGGAAACTAAAGTTGAAAAAGACCCCCCTGTCAAAATAATTAAGAGGAAAAAGGAGAGTGTGACTGAAGCTGTCACAGGTGGCGCCACCGAAGAAATCAGTAAGAAAAGCAGGAAGTCATCCAGCTCAGAATTAATAATGTTCAAAGTAAGTTTTTGCATTCTTATATAATTTTTATACCTTTACAAACACTTTTTAACAAGTCTTTGTGTTATATGTTTTTAGATAGTGCCACAATTTATAAAAAATGTTTGCTTTATTTGAGAAACTATAAGTATTGAAAAACTATTAAATGTAATAATTCAATGTTACTGTACATTTTATTTTTTAAAGCTTTAAAGATATCACCAAAGACATTGGGATTCATTTGTCATTATTGTTGTCCTTTGTACCTATAAGTAAGTAACCTTGTTACATTATTGTTTATGTTTTTAGCCTGATAAGGATAAATTTTGCTGGAGATGCCATAGGGATAATGTTAACATTGCCTGTGAGACATGTCCAAGGGCTTATCACCAAAAATGTCTTAAGCAAACCATTAACGATCCAGAACATTGGCCATGTCCAGAATGTGTAGAAATTTTAAGAGCTGAAAGTACCCAGACAAGGTAAATAAGTTTATTTTATATAAATATAAATCAAATTTGATTCTATAGGTAACCATGTTACTGTTGCCAAATTTTATTTTATCTGAGTCAATTTTGTTTACCCAATACATTTTTACTGATTTTTCAGTAGATCTACCAATTTTTCTGTTTAAATCTACTGATCTACCAATTTTTATATATAAAGACTAATTTGTATACTAAATCTACTGATTATTAAATTTTAAACATTTTATGTTTTGTTGGGATGCCATTTTGTGTATGATAATGGTACTACCATTTGTATATTTGTAATACAAATTTTGTATATTGCATACATATATTTATATAATATAACATTATATGTATGCAATATTATGTTCTGTTACAGTACTGTAACAGTGCATAGATTAAATAAATAATAACAATATTGAAAATTAACAACAATTAAGACACTTGTCATTTTTTAATTGTTGTTGGATGCCATTTTGTGTATGATAATGGTACTACCATTTGTATATTTGTAATACAAATTTTGTATATTGCATACATATATTTGTTATAATATAACATTATATGTATGCAATATTATGTTCTGTACTGTAACAGTGCATAGATTAAATAAATCATAACAATATTGAAAATTAACAACAATTAAGACACTTGTCATTTTTTAATTGTTGTTAATTGTTAAAACTTGGAAGTCTGGTCATTTCTGAGAAAACCAGTTTTGTCCACAATCAATACGTTCTAAAAATGACAAATTTAGGCAACCCACTGCACAGACTTTAACGGCGGCCATTTTTATGTTTGTAATTCTTGTGCTTTGGTTTGTACTGTTTATACAGATTAAAAATCGTTTTAAACGTTGTGCTTGTTACAGAGGCATTTGTAATTGCACTTGTATAATTTTATAAAAATTTTAGAATTAATTTTATGTGTACAAAGAAAATGCGTATCAAATGTAGGTATCAAAAATTATTATTATTATGCCTAGACATAATTTTAAATTATTATTATTATAACTATACATAAAAATAATTCGCTACTTTTCCTATCTGTTTCCATTAAATTTGAATAAAATTTATGCTTGAAATAATTTTATTTCAAAAATTTATGATTATAAGTTAAATGGCGTGCCATAACATTGGTAAAAGGGTTTCTAAATAAAACCAATTGACCAATTAATAGTCAATTGGTTTTAAAAATTTGGTCAATAAAATTGTGCAAACATTGAACTTTATTTTATTAGCCATTGTTTGCACAATTAGGTTTAATCTTTGGCCAATTTTAGCCCTTATATCTTATTATAAATATTTTAAGTTAACTTCACCTATTTGTATTTTATAAAATCATGACAACTAAACAGGTCTGAGGCAATGAAAGGAATGGATTTGGAGCACCTTTGCAGTCTACTAAAACATGCAGTTAAAAGAATGATTCAATGCAGTGGTGTACGTTATTTTCCGCATATACTCCCCAACAACATTTAATAACTGTGATAAAATTGCAGGCTGAACCCTTCATACATGCAGTAAATGAAAAGGACTTCCCTGACTACAAAAGATACATAATACAACCGATGGACTTGACCTTATTGGACAAAAATATAAAACAAAATTTGTATGGCAGCACCCAGGCCTTTGAAGCAGATGCCAAATGGATTCTACACAACAGTATTATATACAACTCATGTAAGTTGCATTTTTTTATTTGCTAGATTACCTTATTTGATTATTAGCATTTTTAGATCAATCCAAGTTGACATCAGTGGCTAAAAGTATCGTTAAAATATGCAAACAGGAAATGGCTGAGATTGAAAATTGTCCTTCTTGTTATCTAAACGCAAACACAAAGAAAGACTGGTTTGTGCAGGTCTGTCCCAAGCCACATTTACTGTTGTGGGCTAAATTAAAAGGTAGTTTGATTTAATTCAAATAGTTTTGAAGGTAATAAATGTTTTTTAGGTTTTCCTTATTGGCCTGCAAAATTAATGTGCTCTAACAATTCTGGCATGGTTGATGTCAGATTTTTTGGGGCACATGATAAAGCCTGGGTTTCCTATAAAGATTGTTATCTTTACTCTCTAAAGGACCCCAATAGTTATAAGCAAAAAAGATACGATATTGATCAATGTACAAAGGTAAGTAATTAATTGATTTAGTCAAATAAATTAATTATTACTAATAATTAATTTATTTGACGAAATCAATTAACAAAATATTCTAGGAGTTGGATGTTTACGTAAGAAACTTGAGACGAGTTTTTGGTGAGGTTCGTTTGGCGACATTCAAGGCTCTTTTGGTGCCGGAAAACGAAGCCGAACATTTACAAGAACTACTACCAAAATACAACGTAAACACGAACTACAAAACCCTGATAAGACAGATATATGATGAAGGCTCCTCTCAAAACTCTTCGATGGAGGAAGATTTGGAAACCGCCAATAAAAACAACGATCATGATGAATCGGGCTTGAGCAAAAGTCCAGGTGTAGACTCCACAATGGAAGGTTACGGCACCGACGATGAAAGCAAGACGGAGACCACAAGGAGGAGAGGCATTACAAAAATGATTTCCGATGACACCATGGATTCAGAGGATATCGACGATGCGGAAAAAGTTGAAGAGGAGGAGGAGAGTTCTGGTAACAACTCCCCAACAGTAATGAGGGGTGAGTGTACAATGGGGGTATTTAAAAAAAATCGAATATTTCTTTTACTTCCATCACTAAAAAATTGGTTCTTAGGCACTTAGAAAGTTCTTACCAAATTTCAGCTCTTAATATTAATAGGAAGATCCTGCTCATCACAGTTTTCGATTTTTTCTTTGGTTCTTAATAAAAAAGACCATATTTTATTATTAATCAATCGTTTAATCAAACTTTTTACATATTTTTATAGGAAATTGATTGCTCTACAAAAAGGGACTGATGTGTTTAAGCGATTACTCTAACCATTTAATAATACTAATAATGTATTCATTTAGCATCAGTTTAAGCAATTACTCTAACCAATTAGTAATAATAATAATGTATTTATTTAGCATCAGTGCTACATAAAAACAACAATTTACATATTTAAATTTAAAAAAATACAAAAAAAATTGAAAAGTTTAGAATTAAATTTTTAACAAAACATTTTTATAAATAGAAAACTAAATCTTAATTAGATTTAATATAGTAAATATAATATAAAGATGAAGAACTCATTGTGACTTTTTGTATTTTGCACCTTGGAAACTGAAATCACAGTTGACAATTTCCATGACTCAGGGAAAACACCAGTCATGTATTAATGATCTCCAAAAAACAATCACTAACAGCATAAAAAACATCACAAAGGACTTGCTTAGATATGCCACTTTCATCGCCTCCTGCATTTTTCAGTTTTTTAAGTAATATGTGGTGTAATGTTTGCTGTTTATGTATACCTTGCATAATATTGTCAATACTATCCACGAAATATTTATAAAATTTATGAGCATTTATGAGCTATGTTTGACTATTCCGAATCAAAACTGATTTCATCTGGTAGGTATGGTTTGTTTTTTTCAGGTAAAAGAGTTTTTTTAGACTTTTCCATTTTTCTTTAGGGTTATTCATATTGTGGTCTAAGTTTTCAACAATATTTTTCCTTCTCTTCTCTGATTTTATTTACAATGGTGTATTTCCACAAAACCTTACCCCACCTTTACAAAAAATCAGATGTGTTATTTAACAAAATAACAACTATATCTGAAGTCAAATAGTTTAATTGCGACGTAATTTATGACCTTAAAATATTCGTACATTGTGATGCTAAGAAGCTAACATTAAGAATGAATACGGAAGAGTTTCAATACTCGATAAAATGTTCAAATGTCGCACCCGTTACATTTTGAGAAAGTTTTAGAAAATAAAGTATACAATATTTGTGCATTTAAAATATGTGCTTGTTTAAGGTTACTATTCAAGTTTTAGACAAAATATTATTACTATATGCTTTCATCCAAAATTTTACAGTATCAACGTTAGAAGCCAACTTGGTCACATTTGTCGATTTTCTAAGGTCGCGCCCGTTACGCTATTCATGACGTTATAAAAGGTTTTCTATACAGGTTTTTATTGACATTTTGTTTAAGTTAAATACCTAATTTTTTATACTATTTTTTTATATTAACGTATCTTGATATATATGAACAAACACTTTATTATTATGAAAAAACGCAGTTTTAGTGTCGCACCCGTTACAATGGAAATACCCAATGGTGTTTTTTTGGACTTCATTTCAAGTGTTCTCATTTTTATCTATAATGGCCCTTTTATATAATACGTCCCTTTCTTGCATAATTTCCCTTTTCTCCAATGTAATCCATTTTTTGTCTAAAAATTTAAAAAATATTCAAGATCAAAATTTAAAAAAAAATGTTTTAATAGTTTTGTAACTTATTGAAAAATAATTATTGTCAAATGAGTATGACATATTTTTGTACAAAATTTAACGCTCTTCAAAAAAGGTCTGATGTGTTTAATTGATTACTCTAACCGTTGAGAAGATATTCGTATCCGAATCCCAAAGCGTATGAATACTCAACGGTTAGAGTAATCAATTAAACACATTAGACTTTTTTTGTAGAGCGTTAAATTTACTACAAAAATATGTTATACTCATTTGACAATAATTAATTTACAATATGTTACAAAATTATTAAAATAAATTGCTTAACTTTGATCTTGAATATCTTTTAAATGGTTAGAGTAATCGCTTAAACACATCAGCCTTTTTTGTAGAGTATTCAATTTCTTACAAAAATTTGTATAAATATTTTATTAAACGATTAATTAATAATGAAATATGGTCTTTTTTATAAGGGACTAAAGAAAAAATGGAAAACTGATGAGGATTTTCTTATTAATATTAAGAGGTCAAATTTGGTGAGCACTTTTTTAGAGTCGGAAGTAAAAAAATATTCTATTTTTTTTAATCACCCTAGTGTATAATTATATATTTTGTGTAACAAATAATTAATTATTGTTTAGGTAAACTAAAAGTGTTACCCAGAAGATCATCTGATATGGTGAGAAAATATTCAACAGATACAGAATCATCATCGTCCAGCAAACTCAAAAGAAGAAACAGCGAGATATCCACTAAACCCGTAGACCCAGAAAAACTGGTCGAGACGTCCTCGAACGAAGACAAAATCGATAAAGACTCTGTAGTAGTGAAACCAGTCGAAATTTTGGTCGATAATGCAGAAATCTCCATATCGCCAAAAAGTAAACTGCTCATAACTGACAAGCTAATGAAAAAACTGTCAGATTCCGATCTGGAAAAACTGAATGCGGACGATGGAAGCAGTAAAAAGCAGGATGAAGCAATGGAAGTTTCTTCCACGTCGGAAAAAGTTGAAGTTGAAGCTGAAGACACCTCCAAAAAAATGGACGTGGATGATGAAAAAGAAGCGAAAGATGCTGAAAATAAAAGCACAGAAGAGAAAAGAACTGCAAATGAGAGTTCTGCGAAAGTGGTGAGTGAGGATGTACAAAACATCATTGAAGAATTCGATGAGGAGGACGATGATGCCGATAGCAGTTTCGATGATTTACCGTTGGCACAGGCAGTTAAAAAAGCATCGGAAGAGGTGACATTCACCAGGATAATACCGAGAGAAATTGAGGTGAAAGAGGTGGATGCCCCCAAAAAACCTGCAGTGGAAAAAAATGTCGAATCAAATAACAGGAAAACGGATGAAATTTCTAATTCTTTGGAAATCACCAGAAAAAGAAAGAAAAGCAACGATGATACTGCAAGTCACAACAAAATGGTGAAGTTGGTTTCGATCGATAAGATTCTCGGTAAGAAAATTACGAGCACCCCGGTTAAATCAAATGTTGAGGAGGTTGTTATAAAAAGTGAGCCGGAATCTTCAGAAAGCGATAGCGAATACATGGAGAAAAAACGTGAGTATCTGTCAGCTCTAAATATTTCCGAAAGAACTAATGATGCCAAAGCAGGATCTAAACCCCACGAAATACGAACGCGATCCAAAACTGAAGAAAAAGCCAACAAACTCAAAGTTGCCGACAGCAACAAGAAGGCACCTCCACCGACGAATCAGGCGCAAAAAAAGGAGGACGTCGGGGAAATTTCCGTGAAATCCTTCGCAAAACTGACCCCGAGCGCAAAACCAAAATCCAGGAGGTCCCTGCCAATTGTGAGCAGGTTCAGCTCCCCCGCCAAGGAGGCGCTGCTGAAGAAGCAGCCGCCGCCCCTGACGGAGCTGAGCAGGCCGAACGCCGACAAAAAAAATCAACAGGGCAAAAGCGGCGGCGGCGTGGTCAGCGTCACGAACAGCGTGTCGCTGATAAAATCGACGAAAACTACCGTGCAAAACAGCCCGTCGGCTCACAAGGCTCAAGCGATAACCACCACTCCGAAAACGTCGACGAGTTTCGAAGCTCTGAGGCCCGGTTTGGTCTTCTTGGCCCCCACTTCCGAGGTGATGCTGCTGCCCACGAGTTCCGCGCTGACTTACACGAACACAGCAAACCCCATCCTAAGCTTGGTAAGTTCTAAAATTTGCTTTAAAGCAGGGTAGACTTTATTAGGGTGATAAAAAAATCTAATATTTTTATTTACTTAAGTTAAAAATTCTAACAGAAATTCCAATAAATACAACCATCACTTTTTGTACCTTTAACATGTTTTTATTACTTTGTAATAATATTTTGCAATTATAGTAATAAAACAAATCAAAGGATAACATATTTTCTTAACATAATCGTATTTTAAAGTTATTTTTTAAAGTATCTATAATTGAATAGGTCAATGCAGAAACTGAATATGTCCACTTTTTAGGGCTATTGAGTTAAACATGGATTTACTATAAGTAAAGGGAGCCCGATCGAATGGCGTAGAAATTTCACATGTCACGGTAATCTAGAATATACAAAGGCGTTAATATAGTAGAGAAACTGAATATGTCCAGAACATATGTCCACTTTCTGTTCAGTTTTTCTTATTTATCTCAAAACTAGATAGGTAGGACATATTCAGTTTCTGCATTGACGTATTCAATTGTAATTGCGTCAAGAATGTTTATTGGGATGGTTACTTTATTTTCGTATAGATGTCACTTTATACAAATATTAAATTTATATAATTTTTTAGATAATATTAAGTATTTTGCCTAGAAAAAGTATAGTATGCAATTCGTTTATAAACTGTTCTAGGCATTTAATTAAGCACTCGCTCGCAAACTCGCTCGCGCCTAAACAAATTCGTGACTAAAATGGCGTTTATCATTCTTAATACATAATATACTATTAAAAAAATACAAGTGGTAAATAATTGCTCTACATTGTAAAACAATGTAAAGTTACTTTTTTTGAATGTATCTATAAATCTTTTTTTACTTTTGACCACTTGTAAAATGCACATGTTGAGCCTTTCTTTTAAAAACCTTTCCACGAATTAGGTTTTTCTATTACAGAACGTAATTTATTATTTAATTCTTTTTATATAAATTTAAAAAAAATTGATTTTTAATTGCGATTTAAATCAGTGATTTGATTCATAACAATCCTGCTTTATAGCACAATCCACACAACAAGGTCTGTTCTATCTCCTACTAAAAATACTAAAACAACACTGCACAGAGTTTAATGGTGGCCATTTTTGTTGTTTACAATTTTTGCGCTTTGGGTTTGTGATCTGTTTATACAGATTAATAATCATTTAACCGTTGTGTTTCTTACAGAGGCACTTGTAAGCCTTAAAAGAGGCCTTAAAGTGCTATGAACAACCATTTTACTCCTCTTGTAAAAAATAAACCTTATTATATCAGGGCTGTCATCAAACTGTCAAATATCAAGTTTGAGGTTAATTTATAACCCACAAATTGACAAATGGTTTATTTTTTACAAAAGAGGAGTAAAAAGGTTACCCTTAGCACATTAAGGCCTCTTTTAAGGCTTACAAGTGCCTCTGTAAGAAAACAACGTTTAAAACAATAATTAAACAGCACAAGAATTGTAAGCAGCAAAAATGGCTGCCGTTAAACTCTGTGCACTGTTGCAGTGATTTTTAGTATTTTTAGCATAGAACACACCTTGTTGTATGGATTGTGCTTTATAATAATTATTACTTTTACATTTAAACAATAAATAATTGTCAATTATTGTCAAATATTTAACCTAAAATTAAAAGCAAAATGCGAATTTTTCCTCGATACACAAAAACTGAGAAGTGTCTACAGAGCATACGGCACAAAGGCTTTCGATTCCGCACATGCGCTTTGGTTAATAGCTGATCTACTGTCAGAACTCAAAAAGTTTTGTTATCATCCTCGTGGGTATTTTGTTTGTTATCATTGCGCTATTTTACCTATAATTTAAATAAATATAAATTATTTAATGTTCAAAATTTATAAAATGTATCTACCCTTACATATATTATATCTCTATTGACCAATGGGGCGGGGTCGGTTGGGTTGTGTTGTTGAGTTTGGGTTGGTTTTGGTTGGTTTCGCTCACTTTTGCCCATTTTAGTTGATTAACAGTAGATCAGCTGATAAACCAAAGCGCATGTGCGGGATCGAAAACCTTTGTGCCGTATGCTCTGTAGCTCTGTAAGGTGTATGTATCTTGGCTCTGTAGACTCAGGGCTGGATGCTCCCGTGTACGAGTTTTGGTTCGTCCCGCGCATGACGTCACTTGATGAGTAGTTGCCGTGCGAATACACGAATAATACTAATATTATCAAAGAAAATAGAGAAATTTCTGGACATAGTGCGTTTTTATTAAACTTAATATTGAAGAAAGTGTTATAATATGGATAATAAATGCTTTCAGTCCTTGATAACATTTAGGGCTGTAGTTTAAGCGTTGGTGTTTTAAATTAAACTTATAGTCACTGTCCAGAATATGTTTATAGGAAACAGAAGCGGTCTTAACGTAAATATTGTCTATTATTTTTGTGGCATTTAAACACTGTTTCCACAAATCAAACTTTTTCGGGAATCGATTAAATTTAATGTTTTTATTTAAAAGGTTTTTCTTGGACTGGTTGTCCGAATTGCATCCAAATATGCCACACCGCATTTTAATAAATGCAAATGGCACTATACAATCTAAAACACAAACAAAACAAGTTAACGCAACACAAAAACAATAATAAACAAACCTAACAGGTTAACCTAACTTAATAACAATAATTTGAACGCTGAAAAGTAATTTGAACCTTACCGAACACAAAAACGACAAGTTAAACAAAAAGTAAAACAAGTTAACATCCAAAAGCATCCCAAAAACAAGAATTTTAGCAGCAGATAATTAAAAAGCACGTTAAAGATTTAAAAACACTCATCAAGTGACGTCATTAAGCCCCGCCCAACATGCGCACCATCCTATCTTAAGGTGTATGTATCTTGCTGTAGACTAGTCAAAAACTGGTATGCTCATGCGCATGTTATGAAATATCTCTCGCACCGTATGACATGTGCGAACCAAAAGCTGGCGGATAACTAATATAAGACGGCCTGGGTACAATTATTAAGTGTAACAAAGGTTAAGAGAAAGTTATTTTGACAGCAAGCGCTTTTAATATTAATGTTACATATTACCTTCGTATTTTTATTTTTCAAAATATTTTTTATTTAACTTACGCTAGACCGAATTTTACAATTTTTCAATGTGAAAGGTAAATAAATTATAAAAATGCATTTAATAACGCACGTCCGCTTTAAATTGTCAAAAGTAAAAAAAATCTTAAAACTGCTTTTTTTACTTGTGAACTGCTTTTTTTACTTGTGACAATTTTAAAGCGGGTTTCCGATACAATTGTGTTTGAGTACCTATTAGGAAAGTATGCAAGTACCTAACAGAAAATTGGGTATACCAAAAATTGTAGGGATGCACCGGAATTCCGGCGGTACCACTAAATCCGGCCAATCCGGCCAGTTAGCCGGAACTACCGTTCCGGCCGGATCGCTTTCCAGATATATTTTGTAATTGGTCAACAGTAAAGCTTTACCCTAGGGTGTTTTCTTGCCTATGATAGACCGGCGGCTGTGGTTCCCCGACTTTTTAATTTTTTTATTATTGGCAGGTGGATGCTATTCTCCAATTGAATGAGTAGAATTGTTTTAATTTTGTTAACGCTAATTAAAAATTAATATTTAAATAAACACTAATTTCTATCTAGGTAAAATTAATAGTAATAAATACTCTGCATACTGTAGCTAGTTTAAAAAAAAAGTACAAATAAATCAGCCTCAATATTTTCAATGTTTTACGTATAAAAACAGGCATGCACATACATTTTAAATTTAGGTCCCGATCCTGCCGGAATTCCGGCGATCCGGTTCGGCCAGCGGCCGAAATTGCGGTTCCGGCCGGATCGGCAAAATACCTGATCCGGTGCATCCCTAAAAAATTGCCTTTACTTACCTTTTTTATTTTCATTTTAACCTTTCTCTTGCATGCGTTCATCCACTGTGCTCCCAGATCTTTATTTTTTGGAAATCTAAATTATTTAATGTTAGGTTATAGTTGGAGTTTCTGTTCATATGTCTGCTCTGCCGTGCTTAATGAAAACGCCGTAACCAACAATTTTGCGATTTTTGTTTTACGGCATTTTCTACTAGAACAATTCATCCTGCGTCTACCCCCGGTACTCAAAAAACCGTATCTATATATATAGACGTTTTCATTAAGCACGGCAGTGCTGTCTGCTACAGCACAGCCCGGCATATTCTAAATAGTTATTAAGTCCAACAAACTTAATAAATAACCTGGTATAAAATTAAAAGCAAAATGCCAATTTTCCTTAACTATTTCTTTAAAATTAGTTTTGCTAATTTAATTTTAGATTCCACCGCCCTTAACGGCGTCCAACCCACTGGTCCAGCCTAGACCGCTGGTCCAAGCAGTACAGCCGGCAGCTAACACCAACAACGGCAAGCCGCCGCAAAAAGAGACGACCGTCCCCAGTCAAAACTTCATACCGCAATGCGAGACGATGGAGCAGGACGCGCCGGCGAGCCAGCCGCCGCAAGCGAACGCGCTGCTCAGCACGCTGCTGGACAAGCGGTCGCAGATCGAGGTGTCGCGCGCCGAGATCGGCGCCGACCGCGGCGCTGCGCAGCCGCCCGACGCGCGCCTGATCGAGCCGCCCTCGGGCGACGCCAACCTGCTGAACGGGTTCTCGCCGCAGACGCTGTCGAGGGCCGTGACGGACCTGATGAGCAGGCCGCCGCCCAAGTTGCGGCCCCGCCCGCCCGGCGCGCTCAGCTGCGTCTTCGAGGAGGGCAATCCGAGCAGCGCGGGACCGGTCACCGCCAAAATCAACTCCATCGCGCACAGGGTAAGTCGTTTGTGTCGTATCTAAAAGTTGCTTCGGGGCCGTCTAGTTTAAAGAAATTAATTTAAGACCCCTTTTTGTTGTGAATACGGTTCTAGATACGTAAGTACTTAAGCAATTGAAAAGATATTTAAAAAGCAAAGAAAAAGTATTAAATTAAAATAAGTTTTTTATTAAAAACAATTAATACAAGAGGTAATATTATTGATACTGTACATTAATAATATAAATAAAAACATTTGTATTTGAAAAGTATCACTGATTTAGGTAAAACCTTAAAACCCACATATACAATACAGACATGCATATATGTCGCACATCTCAACAATATAAATAATACATAAAAATCAAAGTAATCAATATGAATATAATCAATTATATTATCATATTGCTAAGATTATTCACCTATGTACATAAATAATAGGCTCGGACGGTGTAGAAAAGCAAATACACATTGAAATAATTATCAATGTACAGCAACAAACAACAATAGTGTGAAACATAAAGTATAATATAACTTAGGTCACAAACAATAATAATAAATGGTTGCGGTAAATAAAATATATAAATCACAAGTGGTATAGTGATGGACAAGAGTTATGCAATAAAATTGATGTACAGTCATAAATGATAAATAACATCAGGTATGATAAAGTAATAGAATTATGTCAGTGCAAATCAAATATAGTAAAATAAAATGATTATCAATAATAATAAAACAAGACAATGTCACAAAAACTCACATCATGGGCCCTACCTAGCATTCATTGTCAAGATGGGTTATATACTATTTTTATCAAGTGTTGACACTACCCTAACTCTTAAACGTTTAGGTTAAATATTGCCCTAATAAATTACATACTATAAACAAAATGCGTATAAATATTAAGTTACTGTTTATACAATTTTAATATTTCGTAAAGTATTAAAATATTAAATTAAGAAATGTTAAAAATTAACTGCTCCATATATCATCCCATTACAGGTTTTATTTGAAAACCTTTGGTCCGATGAACAAAAGTTGAGATGCAATTTTGATTAGGACAAAATATAAAAGTTAAACTTAATTAAAAAAAAAACAGGAGCGTGTCATTTATTTCGTTAAAAATATTCAAGGATATGTCAGTTTTGGCGCCACTGGTAGAAGTATAACAAATTTTTTTTGTGGAAAAAATTGATTTGTATGCTTAATTAAATTTTAAAAAATATTTACAGTATGTCAGAAAATTTCATTATTGATAAAAGTTTTTGCTTAATTTCAAACAATTTTGATTATTCTGAAATTTTTTTGATAAAAATCATTTTAGGGCAGTTTTTGTTCAATTTAAAATTCTTTTTTTATTGTTTAAAGCATATTTTAGTAGATTATTCGTTATTTTTTACTATTACATTGACGCCTAACTCACTTTTTGGCGAATTTGAGTAAAAAATAATAATTTTTCATAACTAGAGATGAGGGATTTTAGTATAATTACCCATTTGTCTATGCTAATCATAACTTTGAGTGCAATGGAATAAAATCCGTTTTGAAGAAAATTATTTCATTTAAGCCTGATTCTACCTAAATTTTAATTTTTAAGAGAAATTGACCTGATTTTTAAATTTTACTGCCTAAAATAGTATGGTTTTACCTATTTCACCTAAATTCTTATTTTTAACAGAAATGAAAAAACTAATTTTTACCATCAAAAACATGTTTCAGATATAATAATGGTATAATATTTTTACTAGATTCGTTAATTATTTTTTTTTTCAAACCATAAAAATCTTGTTGAAGAACATTTTATACTATAATAAATTAAATGATTTTACCACCTAAAAGTTGCTTTTCAGTACTTATTTTCGTATATGGAGAAAAGTTGCTTCGGGGTCGTAATTCGACCGTTACCAAAAATGGTAAGGTTAAATCTTTAAATAACAAATGTGTATTTTTGTAGTTGGGTGATTATTTTCGTGGTATGTTGATCGAAACGTTGGACAATCTGGGGCAATCGAACAACCAAGAGGCCACCATTACCTCATTAAAATTGGAGATTGAATCCCTGAAACACAAGCACGAAGTCGAAATTTCGGAGGTCAAGAAAAACGTTTCCACTGTTTTGGAGGACATTCAAAGAAGTATCATCGAAGAAAGGGACAAAGTTATATCTGAAACCAGAGCCGCATGCGAAGCTGAAACGATTAAGAGGTTGGAAGAAACCAAATCCAAGCAATGGTAAGTACAGTTACGGAAAATAGTAATGCGTATTTTAAAAGTGTTTTTTAACAAAGTGTAGATTTTAAGTCAAGCTCTGAAATTAGCAAAACGCGTTTGAACTAATTTCTGATCCGGGAAATCATCGAAGAAAATTAAGTATTTTTTTTATTTCAAAAATCTTTGAAAATATATTTATATAATTTTCATTTATATATCATATTATATTAATAAATTTTTAGGTTTTCAGTTCTGATTTATATTTTTTTCGTTTTTCTCAATGTTATATCAGTTTTGATTCGATATTTTTTACATTTTTATAAATTTTATAGAAAAAAACGGTCTTTTATTAATTTTTCTTTTTTTTTTCGAGCCTAAAAATCTCTAAAATCGTTTAAACTAAGTTGTTAATTTCTGATCCGGTAAATCCTCGACAAACATCAATTTAGTATTTTTTTATTTAAATCAACTAGACTTTAAAAATATGTTTATATATCATATTATATTAATAAATTTTTAGGTCTTCAGTTTTGATACGACATTTTTTTTGTTTTTCTCAATGTTACAGAAAAAAACGGTCTTTTATCAATTTTTTTTTTTTGAGGATTAAAATCTCTAAAATCGTTCAGTTTCTGATCCGGGAAATCCCCAAAAAAATCGATTTAGTATTTTTTTATTTAAATCAACTAATGATATTTAAAAAATATATTTATATAATTTTCATTTATATAACATATTATAAAATTTTAAGACTCGATAATTTTTTAAATTAAAATCAACTAATGATAATATAATATATATATCATATATATTATCATATATATATTATATTAATAAATTTTAAGGTTTTCAGTTTTGATTCGATATTTTTTTCGTTTTTCCAATGTTCCAGAAAAACCGGTCTTTTATCCATTTTTATTTTTTTTTTGAGGATTAAAATCTCTAAAATCGTTTAAACTTTGATTCGGGAATTCCCCAAAAAATCAATTAAGTATTTTTTTATTTAAATAAACTAATTATATTTAAAAAATATATTTATATAATTTTAATTTATATAACATTATAAAATTTTTTGACTCGATATTTTTTTAATTTTTTTTAATGGTCTAGATAAAAACGGACTTCTATCAATAATTTTCATTTATGTATCATATTGATAAATTTTTTGATTCGATATTTTTTTCGTTTTTTTCAATGCTCTAGAAAAAAAAACGGTATTTTAACAATTTTTATTTTTTTCAAGCCTTAAAATCTCTAAAATCGCTTGAACTAAAGTGATATACGAATTTTAAAATATTTAAAACATTCTCCCAACTTAAATTTTAAGATTTTGAAATTTTTTTAAGAAGAAATTTAAAATTGACAAAGATAAAAAGGCCTTGGATTTTCTCAAAGATTTTTCGTTGCCTGGTGAATTTGCAGATTTCCGGTTTGATCCGATAATTTTATTTTTCTCAATGGTCAACGATCTTTTCTCAATTTTTTTTTTCGAGCCTTAAAAACTCCAACCAGGACAGCAGATTGTATCTCTGTATTTTCAAGGTGTGCCAATTGTTCGGAAGTAGCCCAGTTCTACTGTTGCTGGAACACCAGCTACTGCGACTACCCGTGCCAACAAAAACACTGGTCTAAGCACATAAACAATTGCACGCAGAGTTTCAACCAACCGTCGACCGCCGCGGTCGGGCTGCGGCAGCCAAACCAGCCAATCGTGTTGAGGCCCACAAACCCGCCCGCCAACAAGCAAAATGTCGGGGTGAGTTACATTCTTTTACAAAACAAGGCACTGTAATGTAATGTATATATGTTTTTAATAAATATAAGTGGAAATCCGTGCGTTTTTTTGCTTTTTCTTAGCGTTAACTTTCTGATTTTAGCGCATTATTACCAGCAAGCCGACGAAAGTGTACATGAATAGAGTCGGGGGGAATCCAAAGGCAATGCAGGCGTTCAAGGTATTACATTTGCAATAGACCTTGGAGGTGGGGAAATTCAGTTCTACGCCCCTTTCTCCCTTCTCTCTAATCAAAACTTTTTATTTCAGCGAAATGGAAGCCACCTGACTCTGGTGGAAGCTTCTCCCGGTAATTATGAGCTGATAAACAGCAGTGGCGTTCCTATTACCATGGGGGGGAAAATTATGACCTCGCCGAGTCTTTTAACGAAAATTAAGTCGGGTTCTGTAAGTTTAACAACAACGAACTCCAGTCCGGGGAGTAAATCTTCAATCAAAACAACAAGCTCTTCGAGTAGTGATAAACCTCAACTAATATCTGATGATGAATCGGATTAATAAGTAGATTGTAAGTGTAATACTTTTTTTTGAATTTATAAATGTTGGTATATCTACATATGGAATAATACTTTTTCATTTGTAAATAACGTGTATTTGTTTAATCCACCATTCTATATGTAATTTATCGAGTATATTTTTAAGATCAGCTTATTTCAATTCTATTAAATATCCAATCTTACAACCTAAGTTAAATAATTTCTTTATGATTTATTTTTTAAATTCCTTTAATTTTATGTATGTAAAACAGTTGTTTTCCTTTTACAATAATTGTATATAAAGTAGACTTAAAAGAGCCCTGTAGATCTGACAGTTTATGTGGTTTTGACTGAAAGTTATATTATTCATTAATATTGATAATATACACAATATCCAACTTTATTTGCCCATTTTTTTTACCAAGTCCATTTCTTGTACATTTATTTTGCAAATAAATCTTTTTGTATATTCAAGTTATTTTATTTAATAATAAATTTATCAAGGAAATCAATATCCAGGTTTTAATCTGGACCAGGTTTTTTTTTTCAGTTTAATAAATTAATTACAAAAATATCAATACGTAAATAATTTATGTAAGTATGAAAAAAGAGAAAATAATAAAAATATCTATACAATGTATAGTAATACTATATAGTAAACATTATAGTGTTCAATTGTTTATCCAGGCTAATCTCCGAAACCGCTGAATCGATTTTGACGGGACTATTTTTTTATGTGTTTTTGTTTATTGTTATTGTACAGTTTATTTTTTTTTTTTTGGACTCGTTTTTTTATTAATTTGGTAGCTTATGCTAGTTTGATTTAGTATTTAAAAAATGGTACTTCTGCTGAACACCTTAATTAAATACTCTGACATTGTCAAATTGGCAGTAATATTTATTATTGATAATTTACTTCCCAGACAGCATCCAATTCAGAAAGATTTCTGTATGAAGTCTGTTGAAAAACATCTTACCGAGTCACAATATGAGAGAAATCATTTTTAGGAGCTCAAGATTAAGAGTTCTTGATGAATTCATAATTGAGAAGTCAATCTTTTAACATCTTAAAGTATCGATACTAAGATCTTATTGGAATCAAAATTTGAAGCTACTAAGGGTATCATTAATAAGACTTCAGTTTTATGATATCTTACAGTATTCTCTTTTCTTACTTCTTAGTAAGAAGTTCTTACTGAAATCATATTATTAAATCTTTAAGACGTCAAATTGGAGACGTCACATTTATAACATTTTAATGCGATTACCTTCGGTCATCTATGGCGATTACTTTCTTCTCACCGCTTTAACTGCTTGTGTTTGATTTAAGAAGCGGCGAAGTAGAATTTAGAGCGTGCTCCATACCAAACGGTCTTAGACCTAGGTAAACGGCTACCCTATACTAAAGAGCTCCAAATGAGCGAAACAGGTCTATCGGTGCCGCTGAAGAGCACACTTGAATTTAAACAAAAGTGAGACGAAGTAATTCCAAAAATAAGCGAATACGAGCGAATTATTAAAATGATTTTAATAAAATTAATTTAACAAATTCGTTTGTTCTATGGTAATTAAACTAGACATTAAAATAAGCAACTATCCAGCAGAGACAAGGTCTCTGCTATCCAGTATGTAATTTTTTCATCAGTACCCTAGTAGTAGTTCTATATCCAAAACAGGAAATTGTAAATAAGTATAAGTTTATACAGTCGAACTCTTTAAAAGCTTAATTGCGAAGTCAAAGAAAGGGTTCCTCAAGAGTTGAGAAGTCTTGATTAGTTCGATAGGTGGCGCATTCGAAGTCTTACGAACTTCTTTCTGATGTTGTATCTGACGTCCAAATCATAAAATAGAGCTTATGCATACCACAATCCAGATGATGCAGACCTAATTAAGACGTCATATTGCTGTCTGGGTTAAATATTATATAATATCAATATAAAAAGATATCTTTATATATTTTTCACAAAAAATCAAAAAAATTTATTTTTTCTTTATTTTCCCCTTGTTTTTTTTTAATTCTAAAATTTTTGATCTGCTTAGCTGAAAATAATGTGTGATTTAAAATTTGTAAAACCAAAAACGTTACTTTTTTACTCCAAAAATGTCCATAAGGCAATGTACTTTTTCTGCCATTGAGGCATTGGGCATAACTTCATCAAAATAAAGTTTTGCCCTTAAAAGTTATTTTACTTTAGAATCTGATATTATTTTTGGCAAAGTTATAACTATGCCAAAAATAATATCAGATTCTAAAGTAAAAGAACTTTTAAGGGCAAAACTTTATTTTGATGAAGTTATGCCCAATGCCTCAATGGCAGAAAAAGTACATTGCCTTATGGACATTTTTGGAGTAAAAAAGTAACGTTTTTGGTTTTACAAATTTTAAATCACACATTATTTTCAGCTAAGCAGATCAAAAATTTTAGAATTAAAAAAAAACAAGGGGAAAATAAAGAAAAAATAAATTTTTTTGATTTTTTGTGAAAAATCTAGTAGTTAATTTTCCTGTCTTAGAAAATAGCATCCATTTGGTTTAAAAAAGATAAGCTATATAGTTACAAAACTTTTTCTTCTTTCAATTTGCAAGTTACTGATCATTAATAGTGCTGGACAATATATAATATGCATTATAATTATTATTAAGCCACTACAAGTATTAACATCCAGAGGCTTTAAAAAAATACCCATTCACCATTGGAGTCCAATGATTGGATTGCCGTACGGTAATCTATAAACAACACTACGGTTTTCTTATTGTTCATCTTTTACGGGAGGAAGAAATTTCTTCCTTAAGGAAGGCAATCTATAAATCAGTAAGTCATCTTGCACTAGATGACCGCGGTGTTGCCAAAATTTCAAAAATCACAGAATCTCGTAATATTCCAAAATCTTCGGGATATTATGTAAGCTACTAAAAATCTGGTAAACACAATGGAAAAAACAATGTCAAAACAATTGGTATACAACAGAAAGCTAACAATAGTGGTGATTAATCATATTAACATATTAACGATAGTATCGATATAGAATAATTTTTTTCTACTTCTGTTATGGAATATGACCGTTCTAATATCACTTTTATCTATGCATGGAATGACTTATATTCCGTAAAGTGTTACAGAATGAAATTTTCTGATCTGATGACAGAATAAACACTCGTGGCGACATCTCTGTTTTTAATATTTTAGACCGATCCAACCTCACTTTCTTCCAATTAAATTATTTGTCTATGGTATTTTTTGGAAACGTAGAAAAAGTATACCTAGTCTAAATAGCATATTTTGCTCTCGTGTGACAAACTTTTCACTCGAGCGGAATAATATTCCGCATATTATGCCGTATTCCAAACTTGTTACAGAATATTCTATTTTCGATAGTATCGAATAAACTTGCACATTTTGAATTTTAAAGGAACAGACATTTTTCCTACAAAAAATATTTCTGTTCTGTTTTTTACAATAAAAAATAATCAATTTTCCCGTATTGGCATCACTGCTTGCACTGTGTTACGTGCACGCGGTTGTCATATACATATATCCTTTTTCTATGATGTTCTTTTGAAGGCTAGTATTCACCACTTGCATAATTAAGTTTAAATTATTTTTAAATAAAACATATTTAAATCATTTTGTATTTCTATTTATATATGAATTTAAGTTATTTATAGTTTAAATTTAATTAAATATAGGTACTATTTATTAGTAAAAAATATAGATATTATTATTACTAATGTTTTGTATTGGTTGTTTTAAATAAATTTTTATTTTCTGTTTTCAATATTTTTTACTTATTTTAACTTCAAACAACTTTTTCCGTGTTGTCGATAGTAATATCGATAGCAAAAAACTATCATATCGAAAATATCGATAGTCGAATTTTTCACTATCGCTCACCTCTAACAAACAATGGTTAATTATAAAAACTATCTACATACTGGTATGTCTATGATAAAAACATTTTGACTATCATTTTATTGTCAAATGTTTTATTTCATACAATTTTTATAAAATTTATTAAAAAGTTTTTATTATAATTCCCAAATAGGAACAAAAATATGGTATTTTTTTTAAACTGTCAATCTCCCGTGTGAACATTTTGATTACTATCGCAGTGGTATATTTAAAAATTCCCTTGTTACGGTCCTGGTTTGCGTGGGCAGTAGTTCGTTTGTCCCGCATTGAATTTAATAACTGTCAAAGTTTATAGGTTAACACTTCAAAAATGTCATCCGTTTCAGTATTTTGTTGTTTAAGGGGTTGTTTAGATGGATTTAAGTTAAACTCGAATGTTCCCCACCCTGTTAGAGATAACCCCATCAAGCTGGATACGTCTTTTATGGGTACAATATGATTCTATCTGTTTATTATTTACTTTATCGGTTTTTTGTAGGATATGAAGTTGTTATAGTTAAAGGGGGCCAAAGAGTGTGTGGAGCGGGTGCGGCACTTGGAAACGCTCCACTGGTACAGTCAAAAGCATATTTTGAAGTCAAAGTGCAACAGAGTGGGTCCTGGTCTGTTGGTTTGGCTACACGACAGACTGATTTGAGTTTAACACAAGGTATTTATGCTGCTTCAATCAAATACATATTTAAATCATTATTATTTAGGTGGGATGGATGAGTTTTCCTGGGCATTGGGACATGACCATATATTAAGACATTCTGGACAAGAACTGTACAAAATTAATATTTCCAATGGTGCTGTTGGTGAAATACAGAACATTCAAGAAGGTGATATTTTGGGAGTTGCCTTTGACCACATACAGCTCAAATTCTTTGTTAATGGGGTGGAAATTGACCATGCTATTACAAACATCAAAGGAACAGTATTTCCAGCCCTATATGGTAAGGTTTTTTATATATAAATCTTTTGCTTTAAATCTAGCATTTTTATAATTTGTAGTTGACGATGGTGCAATATTGGACATAATTTTGGATAACTTTCATCACTCCCCTCCAGCTGGCTTTGAGAAAATCATGTTGGAACAATCACTGCTTTAATAAATTAAAAAAGTTCAAACAAATTATTTATTTTTTTATACTTTAATATAGCCTAATTTTAAATCTCAATTTAACATTTTATTAATTAATAATTGTACTGATTATAAGAACAAAAGTAGTTTTAAATGTAACAAATATATTTAATTACTTCAAAAATATTAATATGTATAAATAAATGTGTAAGATATGCCTGTATATAACTATGTATTTCCATCCAATTGCATTTTTTTTTTATATATTTTTGCTCCAACATTCGTACAAATAACTTGATATGTACTAAATTGAAATGTTATACATACATTGCATATCATGTATTTCTCATAATAAAAAATTTAAACATACCTTGGCATTTTTTTTCAAAAATCAATATCAAAATTTTTTTCGTGATTTTGAGCGTAGCAATCAGAGCGATTTTAACCTAAGCCGCCCCAGGGACAAGGTGTAGGAAAGATTTCTAAATCTCCGAATTTTTTTAAATTTTGGAATTTTTTGAGACAATAAAATTTTACGAATTTAAAAAAAATCGAAAAACTCATAATTTTTAAATATTTAAAAACATTTATAAAGAACTTTTTTTTTCGTCGAAAACGTACCAGGAAAACATTTAATTTTTAATAAAAGAAATTTATGTTGTAAAAAGTATATTTTATTTATATTATACATAAAGAAAAATCTAAACAATTATAAGTACTACTTAATTAAAATAAATCAGTCAATATACATATTGATATTTATCATTATATAAAAAAAATCTGTTAAAACTGCTATTAAAATATTATATTATTGTTCGAATTGGGGAAGTTAAATGAATATGTTTATAACATAAAATACTTAACAACTAATCCACTCAGGTTTAGGTGTACAATATTAGAACACATTTGCTTACCTAAGATATTTCCTTAAAATTATAGTATACTAAATACAATAACAATAGAAGATTGCTAATTTTAAATTTGTTAAAGTAAAACCCTGTTTTACACAAATATAAATTATTTCGAATAAAATGCAATTAATTAAAAAGTAACAAATAGCTGCCCTAGTTAATTTCTTTGGTTTCAGTTTAGTAAATTAATTACAATAATATCACTTATACATAAAGTAATGAGTATGATTAAACATTGATTGATATGTTACAACAAAAAAGGCAGTCATAACTAGTGCTTGTGCATCTCTAAACAATTGTGTGCATTATTAAAAAAACTGGTAGGTGTCCCGAAAACTAAGCATTTCAGTTAATAAAAAACAAACTTGGCAATACTGTGTAAACATGTATTTTCTGGCAGTTTCAACGAATTTAAATTTTAACGTAGAAAATTGTGTTTTTTTACTTAAAATTCCCTTCCCATTATTGCGCCATTTCCGGAACACCCTGTATAACTATAGCAGAGGCATCTAAATATTTTTCAACTGTGATCATTAAATTAATTTGTACTAAAAAATAACATGTTTTGAATATTTTAAAAAATCTATAGCTAATTTATGTGTCTTATTTCGATGCATAAAGCTTAAGATATTTTATTTTTCAGTCTTATTTCTATAGACAGAGATGCAAAATCACTTCACAAATGTTATTTGATAAAAAATAATGTTAATATAAAGCCGCCAATTTATTTATTACTAATGACTTTTAGTAAATATGAGTGCACTTAACAAATAAAATTCAATTATGTGACACAGCGAATGCGTGTGTAGAATCACTAAAATACGAATTTAAGGAAACTGTTTGATACGTGATGAGAATATTTCGGTTTTTTCTTGATTCAATGCGATAAGAATTTAAAATACTACATCCGCAGCAATTAATTTCAATAAAAAACGTGATGGTTATATAAACTGGGAAATTGCATTTAATATAAAACCTTGAACTCTCCTATTTGATATGAAGATTTTAAAAATAAATGGTTTTAGAAAATTGTAGATAACACTGGTCAAAGATCCAGACAAATTTTATGCTGATTTTAAGTCGGTCATTTTAACAGTAAACATATTTTATTAATATTATTTTCAGCATTTTTTTTTATTAAAAAATGTCACGACACTTGTGGTCTTTAAAAGGAGTATGATACCAGTTGGATTAATTTTAAAGGCATAAAAAATACTTTTAAATATTAAAAAAAAAATCTCTGCAACATGTTAAAAAGTTGACCAGTGTAATAAATTGATCTTAAAAATAAAAATATTGCACAAACTGACAAATAAAACTAAACTAATATACATATTGTAAGGGCATACGTAACAAATTGGAGCCATAAAATTAAAATATAAAGACAGTTTTCAGCATCTCTTCTAGGTACTTAAAAGTTAAAGGTACAAATAAAAAAGTGATGGATACAATGTACACTAGTCAACAACATTTTTTGTTAAAAAATTGAATTTAAAAAAGTTGTTAAAAATTAATCATTTATAACGTAAAAAAGGTCATTTTCTTCATATGCGTGTTAAAATTTTCCAAATAAATTAAATTTTTTTCATAAAAGACAATTTTTCCAAGGCCCAAGAAAAACACAGGTTTTTCCCTCATTTTTTGACGCTTTTAAAAGCTAATTTGGTTATGCCTTTTATTTGTAGTAGCTTTTCCTCGTGATTTTGCTTCAAATCGAGATATAAAAAGGGAATAAAACTTACAGTCCCCGGCCAATTTATTGTTAATGTTCTTCAATTTTAAAAAAAGGTTGTCAAAAAATAAATCATCAGCATAAATAATAATAATTCCGGAAGAACAAATTTCAAATCTTTGAAAATCTGAGCAATTCTCCTTTTACCTCTCTATTAAAGTTATTTTCTTGTGTAATTTGCTGAGTAATAAACATATATATTATTATTATAAATAACATAAATAAGGTCATTTTCTGAAATTGTGTATTTTTAAATTTTCCAAATAAATTAATTTTTCCCATAAAGACAACTTTTCCAAGGCCCAGGAAAAACAGTTTTTCCCTCAGTTTTTCTGTTTTTTAAAACGCTAATTGGGTTATTTTTTTGTAGTAGTTTGTAGTTTTACTCGTTATTTTGCTTTAAATTAAGAAATAAAAAGGGGATAAAACCTACAGTCCCCGGCCAATTGATTAGACAACAATTTTCTTCAATTTTGTAAATTTGTAAAATAGTCGATTTCTTGTCACGAAAATGGATTTTTAAACTCCAAAAGCGCATTAAAACGCTAATTTGGTAATGCCTTTTTGTAGTAGTTTGTAGTTTTCCTTGTTATTTTGCTTCAAATCAAGAAATTGATTGGACAATTTTTTTTTCCAATTTTGTGAATTTGTAAAATAGTCGATTTATTCTCACGAAAATGAATTTTTAAACTACTACTCAAAACGAGTTAAAAAGGCTTTTTAATGCGATAAAACGAGTAAAACGAAAAACTTCTTTTTGGGTTTTCAAACTCATTTTTGCAATAAAACTGTTGATTACAAAAATAAGTTTTAAATCCCAAAAAAATGTGTTTAACCGTCCTAAAAACGTTTTTAATAAATTCTCAAAATTAAATAAAGAAAATTTGCGAACAAGTCGATTTTAAAAAGTTGTGTTAATAATAAATCATTGAATAAATGACATAAATAAAGTCATATTTTAAAAATGTGTATTTTTAAATTTTCCAAATTAATTCATTTTTTCCCATAAAGACCATTTTTCCAAGGCCCAGGGAAAAAGCAGGTTTTTTCCTCAATTTTTCTGTTTTTTTTTTCGACGCTTTAAAACGCTAATTTGGTTATGCCTTTTTTGTAGTAGTTTCTGTTTTCCTTCTTATTTTGCTTCAAATAAAAAGGGCCAATTGATTGGACCAAAATTTTCTTCAATTTTGCGAATTTGTAAAATAGTCTATTTATTCTCACAAAAATGGATTTTAAAACTACTACTAAAATCGAGTTAAAAAAGGCTTTTTACGGTGATAAAACGAATTTCTACGATAAAGTTGAAGTTAATATTTAAAAATTAACGTCTTTTTGGGTTTTTAAACTCATTTTTGATTACAAAAATAAGTTTTAAATCCCAAAAAAATGTGTTTAACAGTTCTAAAAACGTTTTTAATAAATCCTCAAAATTAAATAAAAAAAAAATTCGAGTAAGTCTAATGTGCACATGATCATGATCATGTGCATCAGGATCATGATCCCAGAGAAAAACCCAAATTATAATAAAATACCAAATGTAGTACTAGTGCCCAGTGTTATCCAATTAATAAGTTCAATGGTCATTCATACTTACTAAAACATAAGAATTGAGCGATTTCGAGAACTGATTAATCCTCTGACGATTGCGTGGGATCTTCGAGCCGATCCCAGTCGAACTCCGTCACGCCATTTCTGCCCGTCAGCTCTCCCAGATGCGCGAACCTCTCCTGGAAATCGTTGTCGCGCCTTTTCAGCTTCTCGAAGCGATCCAGCAGCAGTTTCTTAGCGAACTCGTACAGCTCCAAGTCCAAATTGTTCAGCTCCGCTATTTTACTCTGCTGATACTTCGTCAGGGTCGGCATCGTCGAACTCGATACCGTGGCGTTATTTTGTTCGAACGGCACCAGGAAACGTAAATTGAACGTCTCCTCGAATATGTATTGAGATACTTTTTGATATTCTGTGAGGCCGAAAAATGCCATCGACTGCAAGTTCTTCTTGGCACTTGCAAGCATTATTCTGTCTCTGTCGTGTTTTGACATGTAGTTTTTATTGTAACAGCCTAAAACAAGTCAAAAAATTATTGTTTTCTTATCATATTATTATTAGGGTCATTCCATCGTTTCGGGTGTTACATTTGTTCAATCAAGGTCTAAATTTTTATGTTTTTTGATATAAAATTGTACACTACAGTTTAGCATAAAGAATAACGATTTTATAAGTAAGAAAGCTGGTGTTTCACGATTCTGCCTCTATGCCCTGACCATTGTTACATTTATTTGAAATTCAGCGAATTTTCTTAGGGAAACATTCTTAAAAATTACAGGCCTCTAAAGTATAATATTTACTGACCATATACCACATAATGACTGTCACCAATAACGATTTACTATTTTTTTTTATAAAATTTTACTTTGTTTCGGATGTTACCATGGTTCTGTTTAGGGTTTACAAGTACAAAAATTAAACACTTTAGAAAAATAATTATCCTTTATATTCTTTTTCTATGATAATTATTGACGAAAAAAAAGTATTTGGTATTTTGGTAGGTCCGTTGCCATTTAGCTAGAAATGCCAAAATGTCGGTATGTTCGACAACACCATCGGAAAAGCAGTCACACTTCTTTAAAAGAGGTGTGACTGCTTTTCCGATTGAGGCGCTAGTGGGCCGTCAAAAGAGCATTAAACATAATATTTTTTGCATTTTTCAAGCAATATACACACATTAGGGGTGTCAATTCCGGGATCCCGAAATCCCGGGGTCCCGGGATCCATAAAAAAATCCGATCCCGAAAATCCCGGGATTAAAAGTACCAATCCCGGGATCTTAGTAATAAGTTACAAAGAATAAAATAGACTTTTTTTTAAACATTTTTCATATTATAATACTCATAAGCATATATATAAACACTTTTTTACTAGTCAAATTATTACACACCACCGTACAATAATGAAAATACATTGAAATTACATAGCAAGAGTGGTTCCATCTATAGCATAAAATCAGCAAAGAAAATGTAAAATTATTATAATATAACATATTTCAAACGTCAAACCTAAAAAAATGTTACAAACTTGATAATTTCAATGTAAGTTACAGCCCCAATTGGAACTCACCAAGGCCCGATTGATAAAAGAAATGGAATTATTTGTTAATTGGGGTAAACGTGGGTACAATGTGCCTACGAATTGTTGAAAACCATTCTTCCGACTAGTGTGAAGTCCGAAAGATATAGTTCGTTAATTTGTTTGTTGTTTTATTTTAAATTGGTTTTAAAATTAATGATATATATTTTTTCGGGACTGATCCCGAAAGGCCCGGGATTGGAAAATGGGCTCGGGATTGACACCCCTAACACACATATATCGACATATGAAAAAAGTTTTAACAAACAATTTTTTCGGGACTGTGACGCAATCCACCAATACCACGCACAGATTATATCCTCAAATCACAACGTGGCCAAACGGTTGACAGTTTTTTTTCCTATTTCCAATAGTTACAGGCAAAATGGTCATTCAGCCAGTTCACAGATTTTGAACACTAATTAACTTAAAAATTACGCGTTTCTTCTAGTTTTTTTTTGTCGCACATTATAATTTGGAATGTTTTCTTTCAAAATTCATTAGATGCGAAAAGAACATATTTATTTTTCCACCCTTAGTATCATTAAATGATTTTGTCATGGAATGACCCATTAATTATCATTATTATTATTATAAAGAATTTGTATAGTTTCATTTGAACTGTGGAAAAAATCTCCACAGATTACTATGGCCATTTTAGCATTTATTAGATAATAATTTGATTTGATTACATTAAAGTTTAACACTTTAATGATATTTTAACAGAAATTAACAAAGTTAAGATTTTTTAAACTTAAAACAATTGATGTTAGAGAAATATTTTAAATATATATTGATCCTTAAAAGTGGGAGAAAGTGAGGTTAGAACCGTCTGTAGTATACGAAGCAGCGACTATAAGGTAGATTTTTACTATTAATAAGTTTTATTATTTTAAAAATACTATAGTAAATATATTTTGAAATATATTTTGAATGGTAATAGAAAAAAGACTTACCAACTAACTCTAAATCAGCCAACATCCTAGTCTGTCTATTTATTGCCAAATTAGATTCACAATTAATAAATTCATCCAACCCCACCCCCTCCCAGGTAATTTCTTTGTAACAAGGAGGAATATCATCCTCTGTAGCATCCCTTCCATTACAATAATGCCTCGAGCCTTTCCATGTGGCCCCTCTCTGCACATGCCTGAACTCTGACAGATATCTTGCAACTGGATTTCTCAGTAAAGTGATGTAAAAATAACGCCTTTTAAATGTTCCCTCCAATTCGTCGAGTTTATCATCGACGCAACTCGTCATTTCGGTCCAGTCTGCATGCAAACCACACTTCCAGCCTGTTGTGTAACGGCTAAACAACCAGCTTTGGTTCGAGTGTGGCCTAAAGCAATAGCACCTCTTTCTCGTAAGTGGGCAAGTGCAAGGCCTTTTCAAGTCCAAATCGTGAACTAAATGTTTGCCAAATGATGTCCCACCAGTTTTCTGCATGTGAAGGAAAACCATGACATCATGGGAGTCCATGTCAAAGACAAATTCATCATTCAACATGTCATCATAACTTAAACCTATTTTATTGGGTGCAAGCCCTAAGGGCTTCCCAAAACTGTCATCTGATAGCAGGGAATATTCCCTTGTGCTTGTATTTAAAGCCCTTACCTAAAATTAACACAGAATGTTTAGGTTGACAAGACAGTTATCTAATCTACCTTAAGTTTTTTTGAAATATCTTACAAAATTGTCAAAATCATTAAAATATCAAAAACTACCTATAGAATTGTATAAAGGTTTTACAGGTTTAAGAATAATTATTGGTTTTATACAAATTATATTATATAATTTATATAGGACCAATCTAAAAAAAAACAGCACAAATGTTAAACAAACTTATAGTTTTAAGGAATTATGCAGGACAAATTAACATCAACATTAACATATAGAGATGGTTTTTTTGTTTTTTTTTCAAAATGAAATTTTGAGTAAAATATATATTAATAATAAAGTGAAATGTAGAATATATTAAATTTTTCATTATTGAAAATTTTGACCGAGACTAAAAAATCTGATTTCTTTTGCAATGTAAAACTTCTACACCAATACAAATACAAAGGATAAAAAAAATTGTTTTGCGATTCTTCGGATAGATGTATCTTTGTTAAAAATTGTCGTATTGGAGCCGTAAAAAAGCAATTTGAATCTTGAAGTTTCTAGTTTTGAGATTTTTAGATGAAAAATGTGTACCTACTTAACGCTCAATCCTAACAAATACCGTAATACAAAAAATCGATTTTTTTTTTGGCTTTCTGGTCCACGGAATGTTCTGACTTAACCACCAATGAATAAATGTTCTACAAGAATTTGGTAGTTTTTTTGAAAAAAAAATTCCATAGGTACTCGAGTAGATCTACATGAATTTGAAAAATCATGAAAAAAGTGCTTTTGGAAGCTTTTTGAAAAATCAAGAGCTGAATCAAAAATTTATATGTAGTTACTTTTTTTAGGACCAAAATGAAAACAAGCGCGGCCCTTATTGGTCAATTCGGTGGTGGTGGCGCGTGCATAGCGCGAGACACATTTACTAATTGTCATTTAGTGACTAATTTTAGTCCATGAAACCTAAAAAATTAGGCAAATGGGACTAATCTTGAAAAAAAACCTAAAATGTGAAAATAAACCATTTGAAAAAAAAACAATGAAAAAAAACCTGAAAAAAAAACAAAAAAAACGGACCGTTTTTTTTCAAGTCGCATCTCTAGTTGCATAAATGCTTCCATTGTAATACATTCATCTTAACTTTTTAATGTTAATGTTAACTTAATGTTAATTTGTGCTTCATAATTCCACCATTTACTAAATTATTAACAGTTTCCACAGATACAACAATTAAAACTAAGTAATAACACAACAAATAATTATTATATAATTATAATATATTATATTTGTTTTAAGATTGCCGATATTATTTCTTAAACTAGATATAATTGTTATTAGACTGTCAAATGATATACTTAGAATGTCAACTTGAGCTATATATAAAACTTAAAGTAGGTACAGCTAAAGATTTTCTTATAAACTTAACTATAATTACTATAATTATAGATATAAAAGGTTACTTACTTTTTCTGGAGAATAATAACCAAAAACAACTATACCAAATACAGCAAGAAAAAAACAGACCAGACAGATTTTTCTCAACCAGGAATATTTTGGTTCCATTTGCATGATAACTGTACCATTGGGCAGCAGCAAACCAATGTCGCTATCGATCACTTGCACCGACACGTGTTTCGACTTCTTCATTATTCAATCCATTGAAATTATAAAAAATAAATTATTATTTGTTTACTAGAGACCGAAATAACACATCCAGCCATTTGACAAAAAACTGACAACTATGGCTGCCAATCCAAAGTACTAGGGAAATAAGACGCACTACCAACTGCTTAAAAATAAGACACTATTTTTTTAAATTTTGCTTCAAAAATAATTATCATTATTATTATTCTAATATTTTTATTATTTTACGATCCAATAAATCAATATTTAACTACTTTTTAAATTTTAATAGATTAAATATTAAATTAGTTTATTTATTTATAGAAATAATAGCATAATTTTATATTGCAATAAATCCATTAGTTGTATGCAATTGTAGTCAATGTTTGTTCTGTAAGCAGTCAACAAACAAACTCTAATTAAACATAAAAGACCTTCACGTTTCATTAACTTTGTTTTGACTTGAATGTTTGGTTATGGTTGTCCGAAATTGCTTACGTAATTTCAGGTAATTCAATCCGTTTTCAATAATCCAAACAATAGGAAAATCGAACAAAATCTATAATGTAATGTTGAGAAACATAATACGAAGCGTAATTCATAGATCAAATCTCATCGCGTCGACTAATAATACAACAAACCGAATTAAATTACACGTATCAGGTAAAGTTCACTTTTACTTCCAAATAAGGTGAGTTTCTTGTACTTGACACCGATTTTTTTCATTTTTAACTCGACCAGCATTGAGAATGGGCGATAAAGTTGATAAAGCAAATCTAAAAAGTCGTTTAACGCCTATACAATACCAAGTTACTCAGGAAAAAGGAACTGAAAGACCTTTTACTGGTAATGTATTCCACGAATATATAATTAAGTATATATTAACTTGGCAGTGATAATTTTTAGGTTGTTATAATAAAACATATGATCCAGGCACTTACGTCTGTATAGTTTGTGAGCAGCCGTTGTTTAGTTCAGACACAAAATACGATAGTGCTTGTGGATGGCCAGCCTTTAATGATGTTTTAGATGCAGGAAAAGTAAAACTATCACCTGATACCAGCGGAGGTATACATTATTTTACTATTGTTTAATAAAATGCATGCAAATTATAAATTAGGCAACATAAGTTACTTGCATGTTATTATAATATATTATGATAAATTCAGAATTTAGATTGTATTAAAATAGTTTGAAACACTTCCTACAGGAAGTGGTTTCCATGGAAAAACAAATTAAATCATTCTTATTCTATTTTTGCAATAAATTTATTAATAGACCTTGGTATTTTTATATTTGCATAATATTATTTAAACAGTTTTGCAGTAAAATACATTAGGATCTAGGTATTTCTTGTTACCTTAATAATGTACATCATTGAACAAATGTTTCTTTACCCAGTAAACATTTTTATTTATAATTGCTGTACAGGGTGCGGGAAAAAGGTTGCCCCATTCTCAAAGGGTCATTCATAAATTAATAACCCCTCATGGGGTCATTGTTCCGCTTAGTTTGATTTTTATTGACATCCCAAATATTTCTGACAGATTCATTATGACGACTGAAAATGGCATGCATGTACCTACCTAAAGCGACCACGCGCACTGCTCTATCCCCCCCACAAGACCCCTTTAAAAATGGGGCAAACTTTTTGCCGCACCCTGTATAAATATAATTATGAAATATCACAGTCTATTAAAAGTATATTTGTTTTTTAAAGCAAATAAAAGTAATATTGGTATTTATTTAAGAAGACATTTTCTACAATTTCTTAACATTTGAAATGAAAAACAAATGTACAAAAATAGCACACTAATGGTATTATTGGTAATAATACCATTATTATGCTATTTTTGGAACACCCTGTACATTTGTTGGAGGGTTATTTTAAGATTTAAAAAATACAAAATAAATCCTGAGTAGTTTTTCAGTTAGAATGGTTTAAAAACTGAATTTTCTTTTCTTTATTTTATAATCAAAAGGCAAAAACCACAAACAAAAATTTAGGTATACAGTCAATTTAAATACTTTATATTATATTTTTTTAAATCTTAAAAGCTACAAAAAATAAAATAGTTTGATAAATGGATTTAGAAAGAGTGTCTTCTTGTAACAATTTAAAATAAATATTGAATTAAACAATATTAATAAAAAATTCTTATATAGTGTTATATTTATTAGAGGGCTGTTATTATTGGTAAATTTATTCATTGCTGTGTAGTATCTCTTTTTATAAAAAATAACACCCCTCTAAGTGCTTAATGTTTAGTATTAACTGTATCCTAAATCTCCTAACAAAAATCCTAGTTGTTTCATGCAAATAATCATCTCAAAAGCTTCATTCTTGCGTTTTTTGGTGTGTGTTCAAAAAAAATCAATTTTCGGGAAGCTAATCTGACTATTTTGTTTCAATCCTTACCTTTCTCCAACCCCCAACACTTTACACTTTTTTTTTATTTCTTTTTTTTGTTCGCGTTTTTATTTTTCGTTGCTTTCCCACCCCATTTGGTTACTTTGGTTTTACTTTTATCCTACACTTTATTACCTCCAAATCCTCTCCCCATTCCCCCTAATTAGTCGGATCAAACCTACTACTCCTTATTACCCAACCAGGACGGATCAGGACCGAAGTGACCTGCTCGCAATGTGGGGCCCACTTGGGACACGTATTCGGGGACGGGCCCCCACCAACCAAGAAACGGTTCTGCATCAACTCTGCTTCACTCAATTTTTTACCAAAAACCGCCGAAGATTGATCATCAACATTTAACGAGCAAAAGTATTGCACATTTTTACCGCATAGTCAAATACTTTTTCCCATGATATGTTAAGAATTTTCCAACCGGTTTACTAATTAATTTATACATATATATTTTAATTTTGAAACACCCTAATTTATACATATGCAATACTTGCGCTCAATATATTTAGATTAGAATTTAAAGCCAAATTCTAAAAATTATTGATCTAAAATTTAGTGTGAAGTAACAATTTTATACATTTATAACAATTTTATTTCAATTTATTGTATTAGGTTGTGTTATTGCTTGACTTTTAACATTTGTGTGAACTTTTACCTCACTTTGTGATGTTTTAAAACAGATTATTTTTATAATGTAGTTTTGTTACCAAAATAAATTTTTGACTACTAATTGTTTGTTTTATTTCAAGGGGTTAAATAAAAGTTGAATAAAATTACAATGCTTATAAAATGATTTTATTTTTATGACACTCTCTCATTGGCAACAATATGTCTACACAATCACAAATTTGTTGTTCATATTACTAGTGCAAAAATACTATTAACTATGAAAATCAATCATTCATCATCTTTTATACAAAAATCTTTTATGAGGCGTTTAAATGTTAAATTCTGTACAATACTAAAATTCTCATGTTAAATCAACAACAATAATAAAATGAAAGATAAATTAGAATATAACTGTAAAGCATAAAAATATGGTAAATGCAATGACTCTATGTACAAACTTATAAAATTGTAATAAACGGAATTATTGACTTAACATGAATTAAAATTATACTTGTATAAAAAATAAATACAATACATTACATAAAATAAAATAGTTTGATCATGTAAATAAATGATATGGAAAGTAAAAAAACGATATATGTAAAACAATAAAATACATATAATAAAATCGCGAATAAAAGGGTATAGCCTAACTTAACAAAATAATTCCTATAAAACAACAAGCTTAAAGCAAAAGTTTTAAATATGGCAACTCCAAATTATCTCCTAATAAAAATAGTCTTACCTCTGATATGATAAACAGCACATGCTTGATGAAAATAATACTTGAATAAAGTAATTGTTTGGAAGCGTTAAAAAAAATAAACTGTAGAGTTGCCTTTTAACAATAATTTTTTATAAAGAAAAACAATTCATAACAATGGCTAAACTATAAACAACAGAAAATTGAAGTTGACGTCCTAATACTAATTGTCTTGCTACTAAGAAAACTAATATTCTGACCGGCAAATCATACAGGGTGTCTCATTTTAGCTAAGGGTTAAGGGTTAGCGCCGCGTTATTCGTCAAAAATCGAGACACCCTGTATAGCATAACCAACAGTTGAAAAATCGCAGGAAAAAGTTGATTTCGATGGTGTTCAATTCCCGAAATTGTTCATCTGTCGAATGGACTATAGCGTACAACTTCAAACCTCAATATCATCGTTATACATTCGTGAAATTAGGCACCTGTCATTTATACAAACATACCTCTATTAAATGCTCACCTTCCTAAGAAAATACGGTACCGGTGCCGTCGCCCTAAATTTTATCTCTTTTAAGTTAAGTCATTATTACATATGTACAGTCTAGAAAAATGAAGTCGCCGACGGCACGGGATATAGTCTGCGTCACAGATAAATATAATACAGTATATAATTTTTTTTAATTTTAAGTTCTTTCCTTTTAGGCACCGGAACAGCACGAATATGCCTAGGTCTAGGTTAAGGTGGTGCTACATTTACTAGGTAGAATTATTCACGCACCATAAAGGTTGGGAAAAAATGAAATGTTGGATTCCTTACTCAAAAAAAAAAATTGTTTTTCCCTGCGAAGTTAAGTTACGTAAAATAAAAATCATCACTAAACAGATAAAAACTACTCCTATTGCATATTATTGTTTTTTTCCCACATATAATGATAACCATTATAACCGCCGCGCCTAACAACGGGAATAATGAACTTATTATTCAAGTTGTTTAAATTGGGATAAGGCGACTATAATATTTTAAATTGGTAGAAAGTGAGGTTATCCAACTGACAAATATCTACTAATTGGAGTAGATAAAGTATAATATGGCACGCCGTTTTAGCATTTATTAGATACTAGTTAAAAGATTAAAGTTTAGCACTTTAATGATGTTTTAACAGAAATTTGCAAAGTTAATTTTTTTTAAACTCAAAACAATTAATAGTCAAAAAATATTTTAAATATAAAATACAACTGTAGAACTTTAAGCTTAAAAATATTGATTATTAAAAATGTTGGTAGAAATATTTTATTTATCAATTTAAATTTGTTAAAAATAAAAGTTATTGGTTTAAATTTGTAAAGAGTCATTTAAATAATAAATTTTTAATCCAAAAATTACCAGTTTAAAATTTAAAACTAACATTTAAATGTAATGTGAGAATTTTTGTATTTAAAATTTATTGACCATCATTTAAATGACTTTACAAATTTAAACCAATAATTTTGTAGGATAAAATATTTAAACTACAATTTTTAAAACCAATATTTTAAACTTAAACTTTAACATTTGCATTTTATATTTAAAATATTTTTTGATTATCAATTGTTTTGAGTTTAAAAAATTTTACTTTTTAAACTATTATTCGCAATATTTTTGTATAATCTACAAACATTAAAGTTTCCATGACTTTATAGCAATTCTTTAAATACACAATGAAAAGCTGTGACCACATGGCGTTTTAGTCACGGGCTGAAGTTAGTTAACAGTTGTCAAATGTCAGACAATCCGTCCAATTGTATACAGTCGCGTCAAAATCATATATCACTTTTTATGTCACTTGGAGTCTTATGGGCATGTCCGAGAATTGACGCAACCAATTGCAGAACGGAGAAGTATATATGGTCAAAATAAAGCGACCATAATGATATTAATTAACTTAATGCAACTTGGAACTAAAACCTGTAGGGCATAAGTTCATAAGAAAACAAACCAAGATTATTTTTGGTAAGAAATCCTCCATTTAATTTTTTCACACACCATGTACATTAGGGTGAGCCAAAAAAACTAACCTATCGGATTTATGGGTTAAAATGAACCTACATACCGAGCAAAAAATTTCCCTGCAGTTTTAGTGATTTTTTACACTTTTCAAAGCTTTCAAACATACGAATTTTTGAATTAAAAAAAAATAATCCTGGTATAGATTCTTTGGGAAATTTTATGCTCTACAAGAATCCGCGACGTAAAAAATTTATAGTCTTTTTAATGAAAAAAGATTTTTTTACGTGTTATTTCAATGGAAAACTTAGAATGCTCACCGACACCTTTTAAAATTGAGCAAAAAATTTTGCCTTGCAGGGAAATTTTTTGCTCGGTATGTAGGTTCATTTTAACCCATAAATCCGATAGGTTAGTTTTTTTGGCTCACCCTAATGTACATGGAACCCCAGACTAAGGAGTATATAGATAAAGCATAATAAATGCGGATAAATTTTATCTTAAATCTCAGGGTAGACAACTCTTGAGCATTCTGCAAAATGTAACGCTAAATAACCCAAGAGTAGAGTTTTTTTGTTTTTTTTTCAGGCCTTGGAAAAATTATATTTTTTGGGACAAATTGATTTTTTTCTGAAAAAAATTATTTTAATTAACTGCCGGTTGGGTCCTTTTTGCAAAAGGAAGTCCACTGAAAATATCCATTCACAAAATAATAAATGATTTATAAAGTTAAATTACAAAATTATATTTTTATAAATCGATGTGTCAAATAAAACCATAGTTAAGTTAATACAGCACCGTATTGTTTTTTTGCGACCAGGTAGAGGATTCTTAATAAATTATAATTATCATGTATAATATATTATTATATCGATGACTTTCTGCCAAAGTATCGCAAGCAACAACTCAAATTTCGAGAATTGAAACCGTTTTTTTAAGTCTGTTTTAAATTAAATATAGCCTAAAGGTTTTATAACAAGTAAATAGCTTATAATTATGGCTCTTTAGTTGTTATAAAACCTATAGATTATATATGGTTTAAAACAGACTTTAAAACAAAAATTGTTTTCAATTCCCGAAATTTCAGTTATTTTGCTTGCGATACTTTGGCAGAAAGTCATCGATATATTGTATATATGATTCAATCAAAATTCACTGTTTGATACCAGTGTATTAAGAAATTTTTCGAAAAATTCACTTCATTTTTTTCGTATTAGCCATTGAATAAAATGAAAAAAATGCAAGTCAATTTTTCTGAAAATTTTCAGTTTTTTTCCGCCGGCTCAATTTTTCCGGAAATTTTAAAACCCTACCCAAGAGGTTACAAATTAATATTATTTGAAGATGGTAAATTAAAGCTAGAATAAGCCATAACTACCAACCATAGGACACGTTACAAACTATAAAACAAGAAACTTTTTGATTTGCTTGCTATTTCTTTTTACCTTGATTCAATAATACATAATACAGGATGGTCAAATCCGTTGAAAAATGCTGCATAGATTCCCGGTTTTGTCTTTCCAATAGCAGCGTTTCTTATACCACAAACTAATTGTAATTGGTTAGTCAAAAGTCGTCATGCCCACAATCTATACGGCACGATTATGTACGTGGCATTCTACCTATTGAATGCAACACCACACTTGTCAAATTGACCCTTAACGATCGCACCTCAGGAGAATCACACTGGGGTCACCACAACCCAAAACACTATTCTAACTTGATAAGAATAAAAATAGTTTTGTATATTTTAGCATAACTTGGGGTATGGTTGACCCTGGCCGAAAGTTAAAGGGAAGGGGGGAATAATATTTTTACGTAAAATGCCCCAAAGGCATTTATAATAACTATCAGTGCCCCTTGGCTGCTTCTTTAGCTGCCAGAATCAGAGGCGTCAAGCTGGTAAGCGGCCTCGCTTGTTTTAAGAACGGGTGCTGAAAAAAAATAATAAAACATTTTTTTGTTTGAGACAAAACAAATATTTGCTTACTTTTAGTAGGTCTCGCGCAGACGCCCTTTTGTCGACGTCGACGGCCAGACACTCGTCTAAGAAATCTTGGAAGACCTTCGATAGCTTGTCTTTGTCCTTGATGTCGGGTTTTCCGTTGGTGGCTATAAGGTAGAGGGCGCGCAAGGGATTTTCGTTCAAATACGGCGGTTCGCCCTCTATCATTTCTATGGCCATAATACCCAGAGACCAAACGTCAACCTAATAAAATACATGTAAAGTTCATTTTTTTAATCTGGACTGCGGCAACGTTGCAAATTTAGGGGTTTGGTTGGTGAATACGGAACCAAAATTGATTGCATTGATTTAAACAAACTAAACTAGAATAAAAGACGCTTTGGCGTTCCATAAGAAAATATATCTACAGTTTAATTAATAAGACTAAAAAACACTTAAAAAAATAAAATAATGTACCTACCCAAGTTTAAGTTTAGATAAAAAATAAAAAATCCTTACCTTAGGCCCATATTGCTTTCTTGTCACAACTTCAGGGGCCATCCAGTATGGTGTCCCAACCATAGTGGTTCGTTTTGATTGTTCGGGACTAATTTGAGCACAAAAACCAAAATCGGCTGTAAAAAATCACAAAATTACGCCGACACTCTTTATAATTCCAAACGCGAAAAAACTTACTTAGTTTGACGGATCCCTCGAGCCCAAGCAAGATATTATCCGACTTGATATCCCTGTGTATGACTTGATTGGAATGCAGAAAATCCAACGCTTGCAACACCTCTCGACACACGGCGGCTATCTGCCCCTCATCCATACAAGTTTCAGTAACTACGTCAGTCAGGGAACCGCCTGGTAAATATTCCATCACAACCCAGAGTTCCTAGCAAAACCAGACGGTATCAGTAAAAGGCGGGACGATTTTTCGCGAAACGGCTTACCTCATTCACTAAATAACTGTCTAAATAATTTACAACGTTGCCGTGCTTATTTTCTCTCATGACTAGAATTTCATTGATGATCAGTTCTTTTTTCGGTTGCTGCGACAAGTTCATTTGCTTTATCGCAACCTGCATCCCAGTTGAATTATCTATCGCAGTGAATACTGTACCGGAAGCCCTAATAATGCCAAAAACAGATATCAGGAATCAATTCTCTCAATTCCAAAAAATGCATGGACATATTGAAAGAGTGGCACGTAATGCCCATTGTTGTGTATTGTAAGTAAAGGCTGCCATGTGTGAACCTTACTGTTATTGTCAACTTTATAAATTTGTTTTGTTGCGTTTTTGCTTGGAAAGGAATTAGTAAGGTCGGTTTCAATATTAAAATACAATGGTGGTTTTTCTGCTTTTGATTGTGAGTCCTAATGTGGGAAATACATAAATATAATAAAAAAAATTAAAAGACAAACAAAGCATCCGCAGACGAAATTTTTATCTGTATAATTAACGATCTGATTACATTTTTTATTGTCCAAGAAAAAAAGGCCCTTGAAAATAAACGATAATATTAATAATTAAATTATGCATAAAACTGTTCACAATTTACAACATTTCAAACAATCTGAATATTTTTTTTATTGTCCAAGAAAAGATGCACTTGAATTTTTTTTAAAGATATTTTTGAAAATAAACAATAACATTAATAATTAAATTATGAATGAAACAGTTCACACTTTACAACATTTCAAAGGATCTGATTTTTTTTATTATAGTCCAAAAAAAAGCACTTGAATTTTTTTTACGCATGAAACACTTTACACTTTACAACATATACAAGAAAAATGCACTAGAATTTTTTTAAGATATTTTTAAAAATAAACGATATTATTAATAATTAAATTATGCATGAAACTCTTCACACTTTACCACATTTCGAATGATCTGATTACGCTTTTTTATCGTCCAAGAAAAAATGCACTTGAATTTTTTTCCAAGACATTTAAAAAAAAAGATACTTTTAATAATTAAATTAAGCAAATTAATACATAATTTTAACTTTATAATAAAATACGTTCTTAATGGTTTTATAACAATTAAAAATACTGTCAACAAAATGGGTTATATAAGTAAATTCAAAAGGAAACGACGTACACGTCATCAATCAGCTGATCGGGCACGGTTGTCAATGTGATGCTAAAATTATTGCATCAAGTGAAAGACGTAGTGCAACTACAGGACGATGGATTGCGTTTACATGAATAATACCAAAATGTCAAAAGTCAGAGTTTTTATAACCTATATAATGCACCGCCTAAAGTACCTATGTTTTAGCCATTTTTAAAGACATTTTCAGCTATAAAACCCAAAAATTTTGTCATCTAAAGTCTCTGGTATATATATTCTTATTTTATGTATCCAACATATGTATATTCTGTTAAAGATTCTAATATATAATTAATAATAATCCTATTTAGGTAAATAGTATTTACCTTACTAACTAACAGCTGTTACAGGTAACAAAGGTCCATTATTATCCCGTTCTGCCTCAAAATAGCGTATTAAGGATGATAAACTCTTGACTCCGACTATTTAAATGCTTCAGCATTTTAAATTTAGGAAAAACGATATATAACAAACAAAAAAACGGCAATGAAAACTTAAACGATATAAAATAATACAAACAACAAACAAAATTATACACGAATTAAAATTTTAATCTAAACATGACAACATTGCAATTCCTGCCAAATTAATTTGGTTAAAATGCATTAAAATATTCAATTACAGACTTCGTTTTATACATTTAGTATTGGTACCAGTGCGCAAAATTATGACGTCATCGATAACGTGTACGTCGTTTGCTTTTAAATTTACTGTATGAGTCATTCCAAATAAAAACACCAAATGGGGTGCGCTGCGTGATTTTTTATTTTGATGAAAAAATTTGAGGATGATCTTTTAGGTGTCAAATATGAAAATCCGTTGCCGTTTTAATTTTTTGTTGCTTTTCTTTTATTTGGCACCCCTTAGAAGTCTGAAATAGTGTCAATTTCTTACTCTCTTATAGTGGGCCAGAACTTTTTTTCTGTGACAAATATTGAAATAATTTTAATTTTGTTTTACTGTCCAGTAAGTGTGTTTTCGATATAAATTATTATTATCCAATTAGTTAATCTCATAAAAGAATGGTAAACCACTAAAGATTCATGATAATTTGCCAATTTTTTTGATTTTTGTCTGGCTCCTGTGCCTATTCTACTGAATTTAGAAGGTTCATTTTTTTCAGGTATAAAGTACTTATTGAATAGAAAACGTAACTATTATTTTAAGTTTCTAGACTATCAATTTCTTTATTAAAAAAATTATTGAAAATTGATAATTCTCAAAATTAGCCAATTTTGCCCTCAGAAATCATTATGTTGAGGAAAAAATAAAAATCTGAAACTTTCAGGAAATGTAGTCCCCACCTTCATCTTTTCAGTCCAGTTAGTCTTATTTTGTTATTTTTATTCCTTTAAAAGATATATTAATTTTTTTAATGGCCGTTTAGTAGCGATATTGTTAGTTTTATTTATAATTTAAAATTTAGATGGCTTTCATGTTTGGTGGAGAAGTGTCAGAACTGTCAAAAATATTTCATAAATATTATTTGTGCGTATTTCTTTGGTAAATTTTGTATATAACATAATATGTCATATTATGTTATAATATATTATATAAAACTTTTTAAAATCACCAAAGGAATACCACAAATAATAATTATGAAATATTTTTGACAGTTCTGATATTTTTGGTAGTTACTTAGGTATGTTATATTTTATGTATTGAAAAATCATATATATATTTATATATTGGTGTTTAAAGAAGAATGTAAAAAATATATTCAAGATCCTTATGGTTTATATCGTTAAGTATAATAAGTGAAATTAATAAAGAGTTAATTTAAACGTATAAAAAATGCGTTAAACAGTTTTTTGTCGGTTTCTTTCACAATTTAAACCAAGTTAGTCTTGTTCTATTATTTTGATCCCTTTAGTAAGGCACTACCCTATTAAAAATGCCATATAGAAACACAAAATAAAAATCTATCAGGGTGGCGATTCTCGAGTTAAGAGAGCGCTTCTCATAGGAGAAGTGGGCATTTCTTTCAAGTTTTGACAGGCTGCATTATTGAATTTAAGATAAGTTAGTGCGTTCTTCTCTCGGAAACTGTTTTCTGCTTTAGGAAAACCAATCTATTGCATGATTTTAAGAATGCAGCCTGTCAAAACTTAAGTGAAACACGCCCACTTCTCATGAGAATAGCGTTCTCTCAACTCGAGAATCGCACCCCTGGTTCAATATAGGAATTTGAAACAGGCATTGCACTATTGAACCAGATAGAATTCCATACCTGGAAAACCATATTGAAAAGTGATTTCTATATGGATTGCCATATAGGTTCATATTGCTCTATCTGGCCCAATATGGTTTGGGTGTGAAAAAAATATTACCATATAGATCCATATCTAACCATATAGGGGAATCTATATGGTTTAATATGCAATTTTTGTTTAAATTTATATACATTTTAAAATGGAATTCCATATTCAACCATATAGGGAAACCTATATGGAAAGACACATAAAACAGAAACCAGATAAATCCATATAAAAATCCCTAAGTTGTACATTTTAAAATGAAATTCCATATTAAACCATATAGATTCCAAAGTGTAAACCAGGTCGTTCCATATAGGACATATAGAACCATATAAATCCATATTAGTTTCCTTATCTGGATCAATATGGGTTCTATAGGGCATTTTTAATAGGGTAAATAGTAAAGTTAAATGTATGTATTTTAAATGTTAGTGTTGGAAAAAATTTACACAATCTGTAAATACTTCTTTAAATTTTAGTTTTTAGGTAACTGGTTAAAATAAAACATGTTATAATAAAGGGGTTTATTTAGAATATTTTTTGGTTTTTGCTTATTTTTAACAATTTAAAACTTCTCAGAACTTAAATATTTTCTATAAGAAAGAGGTACAAAATTATGATATGTTCTTGCATTTTTAATTGCAATTAAATTCATGAATCTCGAACACTCCGTCATTTATTACACTTGCAAACTTTTTGAAATCACGATTTAAATACGCACAAATAAAATTTATGAAATATTTTTGACAGTTCTGACATTTCTCTACCAAATGAATTGACAAAGTCAAAGCCATCTAAATTTTAAATTATAAATAAAACTAACAATATCGCTACCAAACGGCCATTAAAAAAATTAATATATCTTTTAAAGGAATAAAAATAACAAAACAAGACTAACTGGACTGAAAAGATGAAGGTGGGAACTACATTTCCTAAAAGTTTCAGATTTTTATTTTTTCCTCAACATAATGATTTCTGAGGGCAAAATTGGCTAATTTTGAGAATTATCAATTTTCAATAATTTTTTTAATAAAGAAATTGATAGACTAGAAACTTAAAATAATAGTTACGTTTTCTATTGTATAAGTACTTTATACCTGAAAAAAATGAACCTTCTAAATTCAGTAGAATAGGCACAGGAGCCAGACAAAATCACAAAAATTGGCAAATTATCATGAATCTTTAGTGGTTTACCATTCTTTTTATGAGATTAACTAATTGGATAATAATAATTTTTATCGAAAACACACTTACTGGACAGTAAAACAAAATTAAAATTATTTCAATATTTGTCACAGAAAAAAAGTTCTGGCTCACTATAAGAGAGTAAGAAATTGACACTATTTCAGACTTCTAAGGGGTGCCAAATAAAAGTAAAGCAACAAAAAATTAAAACGGCAACGAATTTTCATATTTGACACCTAAAAGATCATCCTCAATTTTTTTCATTACAATAAAAAATCATGCAGCGCACTTTTAAATTCATTTTTGGTGTTTTCATTTGGATTGACTCGTATATAATATTTTAGTAAATTTAAAAGTAAACTACGTACACGTCATCAATCAGCTGATCGGGCACGGTTGTCAATGTGATGCTAAAATCCTTGCATCAAGGGAAAGTGGTAGTGCAGCTACAGGGCGATAGATGGCGTTTACATGAATAATACCAAAATGTCAAAAGTCTGAGTTTTTATAACCTATATGATGCACCGCCAAAAGTATGTTTTTAGCCATTTTTAAAGACATTTTCTGATATAAAACCCAAAAATTTTGCCATCTAAAGTCAGTCTCTGGTATATATATTATTATTTTATGTATCCAACATATATTTTGTTAAATATTCTAATATATAATTAATAATAATCCTATTTACCTCTCTAACAGCTGTTAAAGGTAACAAAGGTCCATTATTATCCCGTTCTGCCTCAAAATAGCGTATTAAGGATGACACCAACTCTTGACTCCGACTATTTAAATGCTTCGGCATTAGGAAACACAAAAAAAAACGATATATAACAAACACAAAAACGGCAATGAAAACTTAAACGATATAAAATAACACAAACAACAAACAAAATAAACGAAATAATACACGAATTAAACGAAATATTAAAAAACACAACTGACAGCTTCGAAATTCTAAAACGTCAAATTCTTTTTTATGTGTCATTTAAATATGAAATATTTGAATGTAAATATGACAACATCTTAATTGTTGCCAACTGAAGATGTTTAAAATGCATTCAAATATTCAATTACAGACTTCGATTTAGTCATTTAGTGTTGGTACAAATGCGTAAAATTTTTGTTTTATTGATGACGTGTACGTAGTTTACTTTTAAATTTACTATATGTATTTTTATTTTTGAATTCGTACATTTTGACACGTCCGTTACATAAAAAGTATCATGACGTCAAGCGCACTCTCCAAGCATTTTTTAAAACGCATTAAAATTGTTTGAGAAACGTAGGAAAGAAAATGATTAGGTAAACTAAAACGACAAAATTTGTCTCTTACCCCTGTCCGATCTTGTCGAACTTGATGTACTTTCTCGTCGGGTCGCCCACCGAGACGATGCAGCGCAGCTTCTCGAGGATCTCCTCGTCCGACATCTTCTTCTTGCGCTTCTCGGAGGCGGCCCGCGACACCTCCGGCCCCGCCTGGTTCTTGTTGCGGTCGAGCAGCGGCGCCGCCAGCGTGCTCGCGCCGTTCGAGTTGGCGGCGGCAGCGTGCGTCGGCGTGGTGTTGGGGGCGGCGTGCGCCGGGCTCAGGCTGTGCGGCGGCGTGCCCAACGCGTGCGGCGCCGTCGTGTTCGCCTCCTCGATCGGCTTGGTGTACTGGGAGAACGAAGACAAATCAGTAGGCGGATTCTTTTCGAAAAGACTACCAAGGATAAAGTGACCAGATTGTCAAAAATAGGGAGACATTTTGTTTAAATTAACCTTATTTACAAAAATGACACAATCAACAATAATTAAGTAACGTCAAATTTACAATTTGCATTGTATCATTGTGTCAATTTTGTAATTAAGGTAAATTCATACAAAATGTCCCCCCATTTTTTGACAGAATCACTTTAACCAAGGAGCGTCGACAGTCGACAGTGTTGCCATTGGTAGGGGTTTTTGTATTTATATGTCATTTTTTTTTAATTAAGCAGAATTATTAAAAATGTTTAAAATCAGTACAATTTACTATCAAATACTATTTATGACAAAACAGAACATAATAAAGATAAATCCGCGTTTAAAAATTATTATATCAGTATACAATCTTGTACTGTTTTGATTCTGCCACAATCAAAGATACAGGGAAAGGAGATTTTTAATTTAAATTTTGGGGGAACTTTGTATTACTTAAGGGCGTATCTCATATTTACCAATTTTACAGAGCATTTTAGAGATTGAAAGTTTTAAGCTATTTTAAGTTATTTGTTGAGAAAAAATATGCCACTAGGCATTAAGCCTTATTTATAGTTTGCTTTCCTTCCTTCCTTCTTCCCGTACGGAAATCTATAAATGGAACTACGATTTTCGTATTGTTCATCTTTTACGGGAGGAAGGAAGGAAGGAAATCTATAAATCAGGCTTTACACACCCAAAATTCCCACCACATATAATAATGAAGGTTAATTTTTTATCAGTGTCAAGCTAATTTTCGTCCTATTTTCTGAAAATAATGCAATATGAAGTTCTTTTTTTATCTGGATATAATAATATAAAAATTATTGTACGCCAAAAAAATATATAATGTATTATTTTTATAAAATAAAACCAACTGGCAGAAAATCAACCTTAATTATTTGTATCAAAGTTACATGGCAAGACTTTTGGGTTTGATGCATACTTTCACTATGGTGTGGAGCATAGTATACCTTGTAGCACATTTTTTTCAAAAATTATTTAAAATGGTTAAAAGTTTTAATCTTTAAAATGGGAGATAAATTGGGACGATTTTTCATATTTATTAGGAAATTTTTCAAGGAATTCCTAGGAAATTTTAAAATTTATTTTCTTTGGACCTGGCAACACTGCGTATAGACGTCACGTTGCTCCCCACCAATTGCGCAAAGCCCCCAAAATCGTTCATCTCGTCAGAGAGGTAATTTTAAAGTTTAAAGTGCTGTTATACAAACAATTCTTGTCGGATTTTTATAAAATTCCAAAAAAATGTAGATTCCCCTAAGAACTTTATTTTGGTAAAATTTCAAAGCAATAAAATACAAATTGACAAAATGGCATTTAAAACAACCGCGCGTTTCAGAATCCAGGGATCATGATTCGTCTTTTTATACTTGTGTCAATACTTACGATACTTTTGGTGCGTTCTGGCCTGCTTGCAATCGGGGGCGGGGGGGCTTCGTCCTCGATCTCCGAATTTGGCGCGAACCCTTGACTGTGAAACACGGGCCCGCTCTCACCATCGGTAGGCGTGGTACTGCTGGGACTCGAGCTTGACACTCGACTCAGTGATGATCCTAAAACAAAATAAAAATGTAAGATTTTTTTTCACAATTGTTTGGGTTATACTTAATACCAGAATGCGTAGTGGTAGTGGTCTTTGTCATATACTTGGTGTTGGTAGGTTCCTTCGAATTAATATCGTAGAAGGTAAGAACGTCAACGACTGCTTGCGGATTGTTCTTTTGTTCTTGTTTGGTGATGTTTGAGTTCATTAAAAGTCGCGACCAGGCCTCAGGCATGCCCTACAAACAATGACCATCCAGCTTATAATCAAGAAACAAATAACAACCAGGATATAATAATATAATAATTTGCGCCTTGATATAAGAAAAAGGTTTTGACGGAAAAAAGGTTTAGGGTCATTCCATGACAAACGATACTAAGGGTAAAAAAATAAATATGTAAATTATAATATGCGACATAAAAAAACTAGAAGAAACGAGTAATTTTTAAGTTAATTAGTCTTCAAAATCTGTGAACTGGCTGACTGACCATTGTGCCTCTAACTATTAGAAATACGAAAAAAAAAACTGTCAATCTGTCAACCGTTTTGCCACGTTGTGATTTGAAATTATTTATCGTAGTATTGGTGGATTGCGTCATAATCCCGAAAAAATTGATAATTATCACGTTATAAGTGTGTTTTCTTCTTACTTCGCCACTGTAACACCCGAAACGAAAAATCATTTAATTGTTTTATTATTATACCTTACAGATTGATTAGTGTAATAATATTTAGTAAAAGTAACGTTATGGTGGTAATTTGATATGTTTTTTTTATTAAAAACTGTGGGTGTTGCAACTTTTTTCATATCGTCGCCTTCAGGAGAAAATCACGTAACTCCACATTTTCATTAAAATTGTATTTTAGTGGCATCTGTTAGATAAAACTGTAACTAATTTATATGCAAGTTACAGAAGTCCTAAAATAAACCGTTAATTTTAAATTTAGAAAAATAAATATACGTATCTCCAATCGTGGAGGAGCGTCCAGGGAATAATGCCTAACTCCAATATACAAATCAGTGCCATTGACAAGTATAAGTTATTGCCTAGTTATTTTTTCTGTATGTAAGTATGAAAGATTGTATAGTGTGTAAAGTTAAGGTACCATGAATAATTTAAGGTTACTTTTATTAACATAAAGTACATATTGGAGATACGTAATTTTCCATTAAACAATTTTTTGGCGGTAATGTGGAGATACACCAATGCACCTTTAATATGTTTTTCTTTCCTCCTGTAAAATTTTACAACATGGAGTTAAGCAATTTTCTCCTGAAGGCGACGATATGTCGATATAATATATTATATATTATGTGTGTGTATTGCTTGAGTAAGTAAGTATTAGGTGTGACTGCTTTTCCGATGGTGTTGTCTAATCTATCGAAATTTCGGTATTTCTAAATGGCAACCGATCTACCAAAATTCCGGATACTTACGATTTTTGTCAATAATTATGTTTTTACCAATTTTTGTCAATAATAACGATTTTACCCTTTTTGCCAATTTATCTATCGCACCCGAAGCTGCTTAAGTTATGTTTTTTGGTTACTAACTTAAACTAATAAAACCACGATTTTATCCATAAAAAGTGTTTAATTTTTGTACTTGTAACACCCGAAACAGAACCATGGTAACACACAAAACAAAGAAAAATTTTATAAAAAAATAGTAAAACGTTATTTGTGACAGTGATTATGTGGTAGATGGTTAGCAAATATTATACTTTTGGAGGCCAAAATCGTGAAACACCCGAAACGCAAACTTTTTGAATTATAAAATCGTTATCCTATATGCTAAACTGTACTAATTTTACAATTTAGATAAAACAACTAAAAACGTAGAGAATAAGGCACTTTAATTGCTAAAATGTTATTTCAAAATACATGGAAATTTAGACTTTGGTTGAACTAATGTAACACTTGAAACGATGGAATGACCCTTTAAATAAAAACGCTTATTCTGAGAAGCACTTCAAAAAGCCCCACTTTGGCGTTTAAATAAGGAATTCAGTGAAATAATTGAGGTTATGTATCTGTCCGTTTAACGCTTGTTTATCTAATTTACTAAAAATAATACAATGTATTCTTTGTAAGTAAAGGTCTTAATTTATAACACAAAAAATGCATATATGAAATTGGCGTTAAACTAACAGATACATAACCTCAATTTTTTTAATGCATTTCTTAAACAAAATTCAAAGTGGGACTTTTTGATGTAGAGCATAGTACAGAATGTATATCAGGAGTCTAATATAAAATACATCTCTTTATTTCAAAAAATACTTTAATAGCGTATTTTTTTATTTTCGAATGTTACTCAAATTGAGTTTGCTGGGTTTAATAATATTATAGTATTAAAGTCAACAAACTCCATTTCATATATTACTCCTGATATATAGTTTTAAATTAATGTTATGGCCAAAACACTAGTTTCTTTCATGATTTCTGCAATTTCCTTTGATTATATAAAAAATTTATTTGGATGTTTTAAAAATATATTGTAACATGCTTTATCAAAATTTTAATTTCAAAAACAGGTACCTACAAGGAGGAAAATTTTGGAAAACATTGAAAACTACTCATTCCTTAAATTTTTGTTGACATAACAAACCAAAATATAGATATGTTTTATCTATTTGATAACTACAACTATGGCACGCCGTTTTATCATTTATAAATAATTTTTTAATTTAAAATTTTATTGGTTTAAAATTTTCCTAATTAATAATTTTAGCGAATTTTAGGTTTACATTTATAAATTTAAAATATTTTCAACTATCACGTATTATTATTAAAAATATTATTTCCAATGAATTTTTGAAAAAAATTCCAACTATCATATTTTAATAAAAATAATTTCTTAAGTATAATTTATTTGGACAGAATTTTGTAAATCCAAAACAAATTTTTTATAAAATTATTTAGCTTAAATTGGTAAAGTTCAATTTTTTAGTATTTAAAAATAGTGTCAAGACATTTAAAATAACAAAACATAAAACATTTCTTTCTTTTTTTTAATCTCAAAACAATTCATAATCAAAAAATATTTTGAATATAAAATGCAAATGTAAAAGTTTAAGTTCAAAATATTGGTTTTTAAAAATTATAGTTGTAAAATTTTATTCTACAAAATTATTGGTTTAAATTTGTAAATGATAGTCAATAATTATTTAATACAAAAATTCTCACATTACATTTAAATGTTAGTTTTAAATTTTAAAGTGGTAATTTTTTGATTAAAAATTTATCAACTACCATTTATCGTTTAAATGACTCTTTACAAATTTAAACCAAAAATTTTGTAGAATAAAATATTTGAACTAAAATTTTTAAAAATCAATAATATTAAGCTTAAAGTTTTACAGTTGTATTTTATATTAAACAAAAATATGGACTTTTGTATAGAGTTAAAAAAAATTCTGTTAAAACATCATTACAGTTTTAAACTTTAATCTTTAAACTATCATATTTATTTAATAAATTCTAAAATGGCGTGCCATGTTATCTTCAAATAGGTTGTATATGTATATACAACCTATTTGAAGATAATTTTTATGTTCAAACTATAAATTAAAAATAATATTTGCCTAATGATAACAGTTTTATATTGAGTACTTACACAGCAAACGAAAAATTATAGAAGTGTATAGGATGACTCCGCGTTTGAATATCAAATCTTAAAGTTTTATCATAACTGTATTGAATCGTGCTTTGTTTTTATATTTTTCGGCTCTATACCTATGCACGACTATATTTAAAGTCAAACTCAATGGTGTCTTACAAGATACATTATTTTGATTTTCTATATTCAACAGAGGAGTAGAAACTCGACCCTGTCGAATGGTGCAGTCATATATGTCTCTAGAAATTATTAAAAAAGGGTTCAGTCCAATGGTGCAGCAACTTCGGATTCCTATTCTCCTCAGAGACATAGAAACTCAAGCTTTTCGAATTTTACTGGCAATGATTTTCGTTAATGTCCCCGAGAATTATACAAAAACAGCGCAATGCAATATCGCAACGGTTTCGACTTCTCTTTACTCTACCAAGTTATAGAAACTGGCGTCTCTCTAATACTGTTCTAGTCAATATTTCTGAGAGTATAAAAAGAGGGTGTAATATTGCAAGAAGTTTTGATCTTTTGATGGATGAATTTTCTCATTTCTCCATATGATTTTGTTGAAAATAGTTCCTTTCTTTGGTTCCTTTGTCTGATTTTTATTTACCGTAACAACTCAGGTATGTAAAGCACAGAGGATATGATGTTAAGTATATTTATGTATTATATAAAGTACCTATATTTGTATTAAAAATTTAAGAGGTTATGTTGAAAAATGATCGATATGCTATTAAACTTTAATAATTTAGTAATTAGGTCTGTTGGTAGACCCTGCACTATCTCCACTGGTATAGTTTTGTAATATTTAAATCTGGTTGATGAAAAAGTACACACCAGTGCAGGTTATTGTAGCATCTACGAACAAATGAATTAATGGGCCATTGGCAATTATTTCTTTAGGAAAAATATTCAACACAGCTTAATTAATTAATAAAATGAAAAAAATAACAATCATGTCGTATATAGTTTTTTTTAAGCATAAAATAATTTTTATATTAATACTAGTTCAAAAGTGAAATTACGACCTCTATACTGTGGAGAGTATTGAAACGCTCGACTGACGAATACCACTCTATACCGTAGGGAGATTTAGAAATCGATATTCAAACGTGGCGTCATCCTATACACCTCTATAATTTTCCGTTTGCTGTGTAATGCATCTATAGCAAAACATAAAAAATTGCAATATTAAAATAAATATTATAAAAGAAATAAAATTAAATTTGATGTTGTGAAGATTACTAAACTTGTCTGCAGTCTGTAGACTGAAATTCTACACTGCAAAATACAAATTTATACAGGGTGAGTTTTAAGTTGACGCGTTCCTTTTAACAGCGTGTAGAAATCAGATAAACAAATAAATATTTTAAGTAACTTTTTTATCAAAACTCAAAAATAAGAGAGTTATAGGCCTTCCAAGTTTAATTAAATTTTGAGCCGGTCCTGGCTATTGTTAACAAAAAACATAACCATAAAAATAAAAATAACAAAATAAACAATGCAAAATGTCATCTATGACAACAAACATAACCATTTAAATCAAAATGACATTTAGCAAAGAAAAATGTCAGTTTTTTTGTGCCTCAATTATTGTTAAAAATGGTTCATAATTATAGCAATAATGAATTAGTGGAAATGTTACTAATTTATGGAGAGTGTTGTCAAAATGCAAATGTAAGTAAATAATGACATTTTTTATTGCAAAATGTCAATTTGATTTAAATGGTTATGTTTGTTGTCAAATATGACATTTTGCATTGTTCATTTTGATATTTTTATGGTTATGTTTTTCGTTAACAATAGCCATTTAATTAAACTTTGATGGGCTATTATTGTAGTTATAATAACTTTTTTATTTTTGAGTTTTGATAAAAAAGTTACTTAAAATATTTATTTGTCTAGCTGATTTCTACACACTGTTAAAAGGAACGCGTCAACTTAAAACTCACCCTGTATAATCTCCATAAATTTTTCCAATTAAAAATTTGATCATGGAAAATACTTTGGTAATTCTAGGCCATCATTCTGTGAGTCATTTGTAACAACTTTTAAAATAATAAAATTTTAAAATTTTCAAAAACCAATTTAAATAAAATTTTGAATGCTAGGTATATCTGATAATGCAGCATGAAGTCATGATAAACACATAGCATGATATAAGCCTCAATTCTACTGTCAGTGATACCTAATCTCAATTCTACTGAAAGTGATAGATTCCTAACCTTAATTCTACTAAGTGACTGATACCTAACCTCAATTCTAAAATTATTTGTTATTCATGGCAGTAAATGAAGCTCTTGATGCAATGTTGTTGGATTAACATTTGTTAACATTTGATTAAATAACATTTTTTGCTCCAAGTGATTTGCTGATTAATATCCTATTACTACCTACTTATTAATTACCAAAGCGTTTTCCATAACACCCTGTATAAGATTCTTTTAAAATAATAATTGTTATTTGGTTTATTATTCCCTAACAATAACAATGATTCATAAAATATTCTAAAGAGACAATAAAGGATGTGCCACATTTGCATTTTAATCATTATAAAATAATTAGTTAGGTACACTGTTAATTGAATATTGCACAACCCTGTTAAAATAAAATAGACATGCATTTGAGGCTTATGGTAAAAATCTAGATGCAACTAAACAAAAAAATCGTCTTACTTTACTCACTTTCATAGGCAGCTTGAAACAAACACTCAATTAATATTAACTGAATTAAAACAAGCGCCTACATTGAAAAGCATTATCAAATATAGTCCACTTACCGTAAACTCCCCAGAAATAGGATCAAAGCCCACATGAACAGTGTGTTCAAAATTGGTTGGATAAGAGATGTTGGGCTTGTCCGACGCGTACCCGGACAGCTTTGCAGTTTTCTTCATTTTCGGCGTTTTCTTTTTCTTATCTGCGTCTTCGGGTTCTTTGGGTAGTGGTCTATCTACTGCTATTTGACTGTTAACTGATTCGGTGCCCCTGTTTGATGTCAACCGAACAGGAGGTGCTGGGGGCTTTTCTTCATCTGAAGACATTTCTAAAACTGAAGAAAAACGACCACGTGAACAATAGGCTAAAAATATCAAATACTTAAATAAAAAAACAAAGTATCCAAGTGATATTTTTAGGTTTTATGAGAGTAATTTGGGTAAACTGGCATGATACAGGTGCTTAATCTTTACTTAGGCGTATAGAAACCGATTTAGGCACGTTTCCAAAACAGAAAATACCCTCAAAACTGTCAAAAAAGGGGTCAACAACATGGATAACTTAAGGAATATAAGAATTCTTAGAAAACTCTTTAACCTTTAAAAACCCCATTACAAGTTTTTAGGCAAACATTTAAAAGGAATTCGAGTGTTTTACTTATAAATAAAAATATTTAGGTGGGTGCGCCAGTCTGCGTCAGTGTTGAAAAAAGGTCCTTAATGGTTAACTCACCCTAAATGTTCAGGCACTAATTTTCAAGAAAACACTAAAACACGTAATCGTATTAAGTAAATAAATTTACACTTAAATTAAAGGTGTTCAATCATAGATATGTACAAAATCCATATCTAAGCCCCGATTATAATTTGTATGACCACCATTTTAGTCATCGCATAATAAACATGCACGTAAAATTATATTATCGTTCTTGTTGAGCACGCGCTAATTGAAAAAGAAAAGCGAGTCACGTATGTCTATGATTGATTTTATTGAAGTTGACGGATGTAGGGACTTTTGATTTCCCCCAAGACCAATCAACCTTAACTTTTGCCATGTTGTCAGGTTGTTACCATAGTTTAATATTTTTTAAATTTTCATCAAACATTTTACTTTAAAATAGCTAATTTATAAGACGGATTTCGCAGTTAAATAAATACATTTACTGTTGTGTTCAAACTTTTTATATTTGGTTTTTAACAATAAAAATTAGACGTAATTAAATTTGCCAACATTATGCTGGCAACATAGCAAAATTAGTAACGTCAAAAATTGTTGATTTTTTTGGTTGATTTGTTTTATTTGTGATAAAAAGGTTTTTTTATTATTAAAAATGAAGAAAAAGGTATTGTGTAGTACAGGAAACATTGGAAGAAATTTAAATTGAAATTTTAGGTTCTTTTAATGGGTAAAAGTGGTTCGGGCAAGACTAGCATGAGATCCATAATATTTGCAAATTATATTGCTAGGGACACCAGAAGATTAGGGGCCACAAGTAAATTATTTATTATACAGGGTGTTGGGGATTACTTTAACACATGGTAATATGTTATCAAAGAAGCTAAAAGATATGTATTTTTATTTACAATAAAAAAAATCTTTTACCTCATATTATGGTAATAGTATTACCACATGTTATAGTTAGGGTATTAGTATCTTTTTAAAACTGTATATTTCTAAAAACATGATTTTAGTTGATGTTGAACATTCACATGTAAGATTTCTTGGAAATTTGGTCTTAAACCTGTGGGATTGTGGAGGTCAAGAAGCATTCATGGAAAACTATTTTGCATCCCAACGTGATAATATTTTTAGAAATGTTGAAGTTCTGATTTATGTTTTTGATGTGGAAAGCAGAGAGTTGGAAAAAGACATGCATTATTACCAAACTTGTTTGGAAGCAATACTACAAAATTCGCCAGAGGCAAAAATATTCTGTTTAATACACAAAATGGATTTGGTTACAGAGGATCAAAGGGATATCATTTTTAAGGAACGAGAAACAGATTTAAAGAGGATTTCAAAACCTCTGGACTGTACTTGTTTTAGAACTTCAATCTGGGACGAAACTTTGTATAGAGCATGGTCTAGCATAGTTTACATGTTGATTCCCAATGTTAAAGAGCTTGAAAATAGCCTCCAACAATTTGCTAACATTGTTGATGCTGATGAAGTTTTACTGTTTGAGAGGGCCACGTTTTTGGTGATCTCTCATTGCCAGAGGAAACATCACAGAGATGTTCATAGATTTGAAAAGGTTTCAAATATAATCAAACAATTTAAATTGTCCTGTTCAAAACTGGCAGCTCAGTTTCAAAGCATGGAAGTTAGAAATTCTGCTTTTGCTTCTTACATAGACATGTTTACTAGCAATACTTATGTTATGGTTTGCATGTCTGATTCTCAAATACCTTCCGAAGTTACTTTGATTAATATTAGGAATGCTAGGAAGCATTTTGAAAAACTGGAAAAAGTTTCCAGTTCTGCTCCAGCCATAGGCCGCTGATTCAAATTATTTTAGTGCCAATTTCATGTGATACTAAATCTGTTTTTAGTATTTATGTAAATATGTACCTAATTACTCATAATCCTTGTATTTTATTAATTTTTAATCCTAATTAAATTATGTAATGTTAAACAGAAATATATTTATTTTGCATTTAAAAATAATTTTAAACTCTCAGAAGTAGCTCTATAATAGTAAATTATGTATCAAGTTTGATAAACTCCATTTTAGTTACCGTAAACACGGGTGACTTTGCACCCCGCGGGTGACTAACCCTTTTATGAAAAATCTTTTCGCGCTCGATAAAATTAACATTTATAATTTGTTGGTCTAAACTTGTCGATTCTATTAAGTTTATATTACAGGAAAATCAGTGTTTTAAAGAAAGAAATGGGATTTATTACACTTTAAAATTGTATATATCGCAGCAGTGCAAAACTCTTAGAAGTACACGCGTTACAATTTCTATATTATGCGCAATCCTTTGGAATGATGATCCTTGGTTAACTACAGGTCGATTTTTTATTTTTTTTTATCGGTAATCCCTTGCAATAGATATAATATATAACATATTATGTCGCTGCTAACAAGTGTCTAATAAAAATAAAATAAAATATTAAGTTAATTTTATACGGAAAATACACTGTGAGACAAAGTTACCTGCAACTTTGCATACCCAGTTTTTTATTTTTGAAACTCAGCCCTATGTAATATTATAACATAGTTATTATGAAAGAGCAACTCAAGACTCAAATTTTGGTATACAAAATTTAATGTTTGTTAAATCCGCAAAATTTTTAAGCTTAAGTTTAAAAGTGAGCCAAAGCCACCCGTGTTTACGGTACCAGTTTTATTAGGCACAAGCAAAGCTTGCCAGCTAGTGTTTAATAAAAACGAGTGTCTGGAGAAGTTTATATAACGAGTTCCATACTATACTTTATATAGAACAAAATAAAAGAAGAATTTAAAGCCAATTTTATTTTTTAAACATTTGACATCTGTCAACAGATTTAACCTCACTTTTTCCCAATTTATAATATAGCTAACTTCAGCAATGAGCTGGCCAAATAGTTTTTAAATAAGCTAAAGGCCATCCCCCCTGAAGAAACGGAGACGTTTTTTCAGACCAAAGAAGAAGAAGAAGCTAACTTCAGCATGTCACTAAAATGCCCAAAAGCCACTGTTGCTAACTTCTGCCCGTGACTAAAACGCCATTAAGTCACAGCTTATCAATGGGGAGTAAATAATTATTATTAATATGTATGTATCAAGTTTTATAAACGCCATTTTAGAAACGAGTTTTATTAGGCACGAGCGATGCTTGCAAGCGAGTGTTTGATAAAAACAAGTGTCTAGAAAAGTTTATAAAACGAGTTGCATACCATACTTTATCTACGACGAACAGAAATAAGAATTTAAAGCCAATTTTAATTTATAAATATTTGACATTTGACAAATTTAACTTCACTTTTTCGAAATTTATAATAAAGCTAACTCCAGCCCGTGACTAAAATGCCCAAAGGCCACTGTTGTTAACTTCAACCCGTGACTAAAACGCCATAAAGTCACAGCTCTTCAGTGTAGGAGTAGATAAATTTATTTATGAAATATAAATATTTAAAAAAATATAAAATCTCACCCTTAGACTAAAGAACACACTCTTCAATCTAAGAATATATCACAATTGTTCTTAGGAATAATAAGTATTGACTTCGTTCAGCAATTTTTCCACATTTTCTTCATCGATCACCACAAACTTCTTGGCAGCCCTGCTGAAATAATAAATTTCTCCTGTATAAATATCAAACCACAAGGCATGAATATGCAACTGGTGTTTTTCCAGCCTCCTTTTTAAAAATCCATAACTTGCTATGTTTTGCAGCTGCTGCAGTGTGTTGATTTGGGATAACTTGTCTTCAATGTTAAATTTATTTTCCGGATCTATGTAAGCCACAAATTTTCTTAGTGGAGTTTCAGCTTGAAAAATTAACGGTTTGTTGTAGTCTGTTAATTCGAGTTGTTGGAATTTTTCTAAACTTGACAAGGCGTGGGTGCAGAGCCAGGCCCTTAGGGGCGATATTCTTCTGTTTACCTGCAAATTATTACATTTTTGAAGAATTATAATGATCCTAATTGTAATTGAAATGCAATAACTTAATATTATATAATATATATATTATTTATCAAGTTGATACTATTAAGTTTTATAAACGAGTTGCATAGTAAGAATACTACACCTTTTCTACAAGAAATACTTATATTATCTAAAAAATGATTTAAATTAATAATCTGTATAAAGCGACATCTAGGACGGAAATAAAGTAACCAACCCATAAATTTGACGCAGAGAAATAATACTCTATTTCTATGATTTGACGTAATTGTCACCATTGCCCGTTATTATTTGAATTAAACTTAACAATACTTTTAAATATTAATATACCTATGTTAAAAAAATATATATGTTATCCTTTGATTTTTTTTTGTCACTATAATTGCAAAATATTATCACAAAGTATTAAAAACACGGGAAATTTGAAAGGTACAAAAAGTGACAGTTGTATAGGTATATTGGAATTCCCGTTAGAATTTCTGACTTTGGAACCTACCGGCGTTAAAATTTTTCAGTGTAAATCAAAATTTATCCCTTAAAAATAGACTAACAATCGATTTGGAAGCAGTTTTCCTCAGTAAAGGAAAAAAGAATGTTTAATGGTCACTACAAAATTTTTAACGCTTTATCAGTTATAACTGATTAATTAAATCCATAGTCGTCGCGGCGAATGTTTCAAATTGCGTCATCAATATCGCATCCGCATGAACATCCGCATTGATTATTGCGGATGCGGATGCAGATGTCCAAATCTATGCGGAAGCTCCGCATTTGAGGATGCGGATGCGAATATTCGCAACATCCCTGGTCTGTGCTTGGTTCAGAATTTGATGACGCATTTTGAAACATTAGCCGCGACAACTATTGTTGTTTTCTTTTACGTATACCGGGTGTATCTGAGAATAGGCGCGACCCTGTAACTTTTTTATTTATAAAGATTAGCACATAAAATTTTCCATTGTTAATTAGGATATAAAATGCCACTTATAAGAATACAAAATTCATTAATGAATTTTTTGAACTTGATATATCAACTTTCGATTTTTAAATGGAACGTCCTATATATTTTTACTTATTTAGAATCCTGAGAAAATTCTGAGTTGGACAGCATTCTCAAATTGACCTTTCGACGTTTCGTCATCAGAAAATGCATCATAAAGATCATGATCTTTATGATAATGCATTTTCTGATGACTCTAGACTGCAATCTAGAGTGCTTTGAACTATTTGAGAAAAACGAATTTTGACAAGTTTAGACTGCTGGGAATAGCTAAATAACTTTTTAAGGCAAGTTCCATTTTTCAGGCATTAGAAGAAAATAAGATAGTTCAAAGCACTCTAGATTGATCTTTATGATGATACATTTTCTGATGACGAAACGTCAAAAGGACAATTTGAGGATGCTGTCCGACTCAGAATTTTCTCAGGATTCTAAATATGTAAAAATATATAGGGCTTTCCATTTAAAAATCAAAAGTTGATATCATTTCCGGCGAAACCGGAAGTTCAAAAAATTCATTTTGTACGTACTAATGAATTTTTTGAACTATTTAGAATCCTGCGAAAATTCTGAGTCGGACAGCATTAAATGCCACTTATAAGAGCTCTTATAAGTGGCATTTTATATCCTAATTAACCATGCTAAATGTCATGTGTCTATCTTTAAAAAGTTACAGGGGTGCGCCTATTCTCAGATACACCCGGTATAATCCAGGCAGTGTTGCCAAATGCTTTATACCAATTTTCTTCAATTTAACCTTAAAAATTCTTCAAATTTCTGCAGAGATGTAAAACGTCATTTTGTTATTAATTAGTTAACAAAAAAACCTAAGTTCTGAAGTAAATAGATAAGAACCTTATAAGGTACGTAGGTTAATTTACCATAACCCACAAATTAACCTTAAAATTTACATTTTGACAGTTTAATAACAGCCCTGAAAGTATAAGGTTTATTCTTTACAAAAGAGGAGTAAAATGGTTGTCCTTAGCACTTTCAGGCTTACGTTTAAAACAATTTGTATATACAGCACAAACCCGAATCACAAGAATTGTAAACAAAATAAAAATGGCCGCCGTTAGAGTATGTGCAGTGGGTTGCCTAATTTCGTGATTTTTAGTATTTGCGAAACAAGATAGAACAGACCTTGTTGTGTGTCAAGATACATACATGGTTGTGTGTATTGTTGTGTGTATTGTTGCACCAGTGATGTAATTCAAGTCGTAGAGTAGTTATAACATTTTACCGAGAGATGTCAGAATGCATACGAAATGAATAAAATAACTACATTTATATCATATTATTCAAATCGAGTTAAAGAATTAAATAATCTAGAAAATTTCATGAAAGAAAATATGTGAATTTAAAAAATTCTTCATATTTTAGTGGTTTTTGTTAAATATTCTTCTTTTCTTCATTAGCTCCCGATGTAGGCTAAAATTCTGCATATTGAAGAAAATTCTGCATTTCTGGCAACACTGAATCCAGGAACCGCTAGGTTAACCTTATGTCGAGAAATCGGTTTTTGACATACGACAATGATGACGCAATTTGAAACATTCGCCGCGGCGACTACTTCGGCGAAATCAAAATATCAGTACCTACAAACGTTCATTTAATGTTTTCAAATATTGGCGTTGAGAAACTATTTAATACTTTTGTATTGAGATAATAAAATAATTTTCACATTTGGTATTATTTAAATTTACAAGAACGATTGTATGACATTTCAAATGTGCTGCCAATGACACGGAATTGCCGTGTTTTCACGGCTTTTTCGTTAAAATATTAAATTCATATTTCACCATTTCTCTCTAAAAATATTTAAATATTAAATAAAAATGCTATTTAAAAATATCAAATTCATATTTCACCATTTCTGTTATTAAAAATAATTAATTTTGAAATAAAAACACTATTTAGTTTTAAGCTACATTCGTAATGAATTCGCTGGCCGAGTGGCAATTTGACTCGCAAGCTAAGCAAATGTGTAACAGTGTGATCGTTCACAATGAAATTCGACGTTAAAGTGGAAGTTGAAGTGGGCAAAATTTCTTGCAAGCTGCAAACTTCGACTTCAACTTCGACTTTCGTGCCGGCTATGGGACATGCGCATTGCCTTTGTTATGAAGGTTGTTCTGTGGTTTGACATTTTCAATGGCGTTGAGTTTTGTGTGTGTAGTGTTTTTAATGTGATTAAATACATTTTTCTTGCTTTATTTAAATAAACTACCCATTGTTAATGTAAATGTATGTATGTATGTATGTAACTTAATGTATACTAGTTTTTTATTATTATTATTATTTATTATAAAGAGAACATTAGTGTTTTGTAACACATTTTAATAAGAATTTATCAATAAACTATTACACAACATAAGTAAACTATTTGATTGATTGTTGTCCATTTTTGCATTTAAAAAATAACACCAATTGCTTAAGCAAAAACAAAATAATGTAAATTCTAACCAGACATATGATTCTAACCTTCGGGGTTTTCTATGCTTACAAAGAACATGACAGTTACCAACGCCCATGCGTTAAATTCGACTATAAAGTTATTGTGAATGGTAAATTTCGTGCCGACTTGCGTGCCAAAGTGTCACTCGGCCAGCGAATTCATTACGAATGTAGCTTTACTAAAGTTGATAATCTTCTCGAAGTGTACGACCAAAACTTGACTAAGCCTAATTTTTTCTGCTTAGACAATTGGCAACTCTGGTCGAAGCCACGGGGATTTCCCGCTTTATATGATTTTATTACAATTGTAAATTAAGTGCGTGAAATAAGGACTTACTTTTTTTCATAAATAAAAATATAGGAATGTTTTATGCAGTTAATTTTTTTATTCCAATGAATGAATTTCAAATTTGACACGGCCATAGTTTGTAAAAACACGGCAGTTTTCGATCATGCGCGCGGCTTTTAATTTCGACTGGTTGGCAGCACTGGACATTTGACAACTGAGGAGCGTTTATTCAAAAAGGGACATGTCCATTTTAGCGATTTGCAGAAACAAGTCAAAAATAACAGAATTCTTTTGCTTTTGACTTATTTCTGAAAATCGCTAAAATGGACATGTCCCTTTTTGAATAAACGCTCCTCAACTCTCAACTAACTTAAAACTAACTTCAGTCCGTGACTAAAGCGCCATAAAGCCTCAACTTGTCGATGTGTATTTACCTGGGAAGCAAAATCACTATCTTGTAATTTATATAGTAGATTAATAGCTTTACAGTCACTATGCCCACATACAATAATATGCCTAACATCATTTACCACGCAACCCAACTCTAAAGCAGCAGGTTCGTTTGTTGTTAACTCATCCATAAAATGCTGTGAATGGGGAATTATATTACCAGCATTTCTAACTAAAAATAATACAATATTAAATAAAACAAAAATGCATTGCACGTTAAACTCACTAATAAACATATCACCAATATTTGTTTGTGTAAAACGTGTGGGTATCATTCTACTGTCAATACAAGTAAAAAACACAGCTTTAGGCTAAAAGCAAGCAAAAATGTTTAAACAATATTTAAAACGCACCGCAAAATACGGACGCATGCGCTTTAGATACAAATGCGCGTTGAACTAGTTAGTATAATAATCAAATCAAAATTTACTTACAACTGGGTTGTCTTTAACGCGCTTAAACATTTCCACCATTTTATTCTTCTTTGTTGATCTGTATCGCATTATGCCTTTCAGTAATTTATCCATTTTTACGATGAAAACATAAAATTCAACATGTGTTTGTAATGGTAATGTGCTCCCCTCTTTTGGGGTCAAGGTCCACAAAAGTTAAAAAAATATTTGTATTTGATAAAATTGCTGTGATTTGGAACAACTAATTACTGGCTTTTAAGCACTGCAGTGTACAATACAGATGTTTTAAATATTCTAATGACTTGAATAAATCAGATTGTGCCAATTTTCTTATCTGTTTATATTTAGTGCGTATAATAAATTTTTTTACTGCATCCAGATAATCTAACGACATTTGTAATAGTTTATGTATTATCGCTAATTTTTTATATAACAATTTTTATAAACGAGTTTAATTATGCACGAGCCTATAGGCTATAGCTTGCGAGGAGAGTTTATAAACCAAGAAGTTTATAAAACTAACTTTATCTAGATACGTAGCTACGACGAATTTAAGTACTCAAGCGTAATAGTCCCGCCCGTTACGCTTTAAATTATTAATTTTTAAGGAATTAAACAGTCAATCACGATACCTAATTTTGACAAATAAAAACCTTGTTAAACAGCTTTTGTTTAGAACTATTTATAAAAATTTGACATTGGTAATATAATAGAACAATATTATTTTGTAAATAAAAACACGGCAACTGTCCTATCCGTTAAGCGTGGAATGGCCCAACTGTCAACTAACTTAAAGCTTACTTCAGCCAGTGGCTAAAAACCTGTTGCAAAATTCAGCCCGTGACTAAAACGACATAAAGCCGCAGCTTGTCGATGTGTATTTAAAAGATCACAAAGTGTCATGAAAACATGTACGGTAATGGGCGTTTTAAATATGGGAGTAGAAAAATAAAATTAAGTAATTTTATTACTATATATAGTAATAAAATTACTTAATTTTATTTATACACTAACAAGAAATTGGTAAGTTGGAATTATAATAGTACAGTAAAATAAAACATTTTTTTTAACTATTTATTTTTAAACTATTCAAAAAGTTTGGTATATCAATTGTACAATCATTTAAATTATTTTTTTTGAAAAATTTATTCAAAACTGTACAAGACTCAGTTAGATTGTGCTTAATCTTATCCTCACTTATTTTATCATTTGAACAAATAATAATTTCATTTAGATCATCTTCCAATTTATAGGAAATTAAGGTTATAAATTTATGTCTTAAATTTTTAATAATAGTAGGTCTAAGAGACTGATCTCTTATTACAGCGTTTAATATGAATAAACCGGATTTATCTAGAATTTTTACAATGTTTTCTAATACCTCGTTTTCTAGGAAGGCTTTTGGGGGGCAACTCATTCCAATTGAAGTGTCTTTGCTGTCCACATCAAATAAAATGGCATTTAATTTTTCACCTGAAAATATTTTTTAACAAAAAAAAAATTAGATTTTTTTCCCTACCATTTTGGGCTTTTTCCTTTATAAACTGCACACCATCCTCTATCCTGGCACCGAGTTTTTCATTTTGTTGAAAGGAAAACCATTCCATAGCAATTTTTAACATGTCTTTATCAATATCAACTCCCAATACTTTACTATCAGGCAAAAACTTATGTAAAAAGGAACACAACCCCCCACCTCCCAGCCCTATCACAGCTAATAAATTATTCTGAGCACTTACAGCCAAATGAGCCCCCAAACTCATGTACACATGGTGTTTGCAAGTCAAGTAAGTCAAGTCGACAATTTCTTTTAGTTGTCCTTTACGCGTTCTTATAGTTTTTAGTCTTGCTTCTGATTGTATTACCAGTTGAGTGCTTAAATAATACAATCTTCTAAATTTTTCTCTGTTGTCAGTTTCTACATCTTCAATGATGTAATCTCCTGAAAATTCAGAGTTTCCTTCATGTCTTATTGTTCTTTTACCTACATCTGAGCCAAGGGATAAAAATGGTATCTAAACATTAAAATTAAAATATTTTTGTTTACCCTTTTTATTATTTAGTCTTACCTTCTTGTTTGTCAATGCAGAGGGGGCTAAATTACATACAGTATCAGTCAATTCATTTTGCACTGCCTCAAAAGATTCATACTTATGCCCTCTGTGCATTGTAACAATTGTTAATCTATTATGTTTTGTCATTTTAACTAGGTGTTTTCTTCCAGCTTTTGTTGAAAAAAGCCACTCTGCCTCCCTATATAAAAAACAATATATATACAATATAAATCATAGTTTAGTTTCAATGACAAGTTACCTTCCTTGAGGTACAATAAATGCAGCATACTGTGAATTTTTTGGTTCAGGATTTATATCAACCACATAAACTGTAAACCTGGGCTTTGTGGAATCACCAGGTTGATAAAGATCCAATGTAACTTCCAAATCATCACTTAGGGAACTTCTTTTTAACCCTGAACAAATAAAAGCAGCCTGTTGTGTACTGGAAACATGAGTTTTAACTTCTTCTGTGCTTTCCAATCTCTGCATTTTGTCAGCAGAGCCCAAGTTTAATTCTAAAATCTACATACACCCATCATAATTGTCACATAAATATGTTATGCAAAAATAAAGTTACCTTTCTTGGAAGTGCCTTAAACTTGGTACAAACAACAATAAACACAGGCATGGAATTCTCCCCATTGTCTGTGGCCTTCTTCTCAGCATCAAAGCATCTAACTGCTCTAAACATCCAGTTGTTACTGGGAAAATAATTTAAAATAATATCCAAAATATGTGCTTGCAATAGAGATATACAAACATATCTTCCTCCCACTTTTAGTATTCTTTCAATTTCTGCAAAATATTTTCTTACATTATTTACAGTTTCTTCATCATCATTGGGCATAAGGGCATCTAATGTACCTTTATCCAGTATAACATTAAATGTTTCATTTTCAAATGTTGTGTTTAGGGCATCCATATGAAGGTATTTTAGGTTTGGTCTGTCTTTTTCAGTTTGTGATAACATCTGCCTTATTGCTATTTGAGAAATATCAATGTTGGTTATTTTTCTAAAAAGTTACAAAGCTTTACAATTGTAGAAAATATTTTTATAAAAAACTTACTCATAGCCAATGTCATACAAATCTCGGCCCAATGTAGAATTACCGCACCCAGCAATAAGTATTTCATCTTGCTTCTTAGTGTATTTGTGTAAATGTTCAGCTAATTCAGGATATTCTCCATACCTATTATAGGTTATTTTGTTAATGTTATTTTGTATGGTATAAAATTCCAAAATTAAATTTCTCTATAATAGAGAAATTTAATTTTGGAATTTTATACCATACAAAATAACATTACCATTCAAATGCTTTATTTCCTCTCTTTTGAAAAAAGGAGTCCCAATATTCTTTTTGTTTAAACTCTTCCTTAGTTTTCGGTAATAAATTCATTTTGAAAATTCAAAAACTCGCTTTTTAGGTTGGGTTTTACATGAGGGTGTAGTTCAAACGCTCACTATCTGTCAAATATTTAGGACTTTTAAACTATTTTTTGACACATGCCATGTGGCAACGTTGGAATTACTTATCGATTCCGGAAATTTTGTATATTTCCTTAGAGAAGTATGAATTATGGGTCAAACAAGAAGTCAGTTCTCAGAGGAGGAATTGCAAGATTATGAGGTAAATAATTCGTGTGATAAATCATAATAAGTTAGTTATTGGTTTATTTTAGGATCTCACATATTTTACAAAGAAGGAAGTATTATAGTAAGTAATTGGCATGTACCTAATTAGCTGTTAATTAATACAACTATCATAATTTTTAGTGCACACCAAAAATTTAAAGCTTTAGCCCCAGAAAAAGTGGGGCATAATAAAAACGCCAAACTGCCAATGAGTAAAATTCTCACTTATCCTGAGTTGCAAGTGAATCCTTTTGGGGATAGAATTTGCCATGTTTTCAGTTCTAGTCAAGATGGTGATATAACTTTTGAGGATTTCCTCGATATGATGTCTGTTTTCAGTGAAGCTGCCCCAAAGGCTGTAAAAGCTGAACATGCATTTAGAATTTTTGGTAAACAATGTGCAAATTCTTTAATTAATTTAATAACTGTTTTATATTTTTATAGATTTTGATGGTGATGATATGTTAGGACACTCAGATTTGAAACAGGTTGTTGAAAAACTTACAGGTGAAAATAAACTAAACGATTCTGAAATGCAACTTCTTATAAATAATATTTTGGAAGAAGCTGATCTTGATGATGACCGAGCACTTTCTTTTGCTGAATTTGAACACATTATTGATAGATCTTCAGATTTTTTGAAGTAGGTCTAAAAAAAAATATATTCAATCTTTTAATATTTTTTTGTTACAGTGCATTTAGGATCCGTTTATAATCCCAAGACTGAATTATATATTAATGTATGCTCTCTATTGTTTATTTACAAATAAAATTTTTTTTTTACAAAACAGTTTTATTGTGGTATAATTACAAATTAGATTTTAAGAGATTCACGGTTAAAAAAAATGATTATGAGTTTAAGTATCCAGGTAGTTTCATTCTCATAAATATCCAAGTGGTGCAAAAAGAGACTAGTACACAAATAAACCCAACTGCTGTTATCATTAATCTATTTAATTTTGGTGTTTGTGGAGTATGAATATGATCCAGCACAATAAAACCCAAACCACCCATGGTAAATAAAAAACTTGATGCCAAACCTTCCATAATGTACTGTCCATTTACTCTATATGGCATAAAGGCAACCTACAACAAATAAATATGTTTTTAATGCTTACAAAATAATAGTAAGTAGTATGCTTACAGGTCTTGTATGTCCATGCTCATCTGTAGTGGATCCTACACTTGGCGGTTCAACAATGACATCATAAATAATACCTGAAAGAAAAATAATTTGTTTAAATACCCAAATATAGACATTCTTAATTAAACTCACCCCCAGTCACAAGAAAATAAGAAAACAACACAATTGAAAACATAACCATAGGCGAGGGTTGCTGAAGCCATGATGGCTTTTTAACCTTTATATTCGGTACTTCTAGTATTGAAAAAGGAAGTGTAAACAACTGTTCCATTTCTGTAGCTTATTATTATAGTTATTTTACATACATAACAAAATATCTTTCGGCAAACTGACAAACACGTCTACGTCAAAAGTTGATAAGGAAGGAAACTGCTAAATAATAAATAATTAGTTTGATTTCCCCTTTACGAGGTGGCAGCATATAATTTCAGTTTTACTTTGGTTAAATTTGTCTTACACTATTGGAAACATTGTTTTTTTAAGTTTATGTATGTTGCCCAGCCTGTTTTTACCAGGGCCGTATTCAAAAATTATTCTTAAAAATATATATAAATAAAGTAATTTTAAACAATGTAATTATATAAAAACGTCATTTATGCATCGATAAACTTAAATAATCAGGAAAATATTTTAATAACAATAATAATAAAAAAATAACAAAAGTTGTAAGCAAAGTGCAATTTGATTTGACAGCTGACAAAAAATGTTGATGTAGAATTTTATCGATAAACTGACCATAATGGTAAAAAGTCCTCTATCCTTTAGATTACGACAAAATGCGCCGCCACCGAAACGCAAGGAAACCCGCAAAGAAGGGAATAAAAAACCATCAAAGTGCCCGCCGCCGTAAGTTGCAAATAATGTGAGGTTATGTTATTGTTCATATTTTTGTAGCAAAATCGAGCAAAGTAAAGTGGAAGTAGCCGCGCCGAGTCCTCTGGTTTATCCTGGGGGAGATACGGCATTTAAGGCTTTATTATCGGCCCGATTTTGCGCTGCTATCTGGTCTCACATATCAGACTGTGATGAAACGTATAATTTTTGGGAACCATTGCATTATTTAGTGTTTGGAAAAGGTCTACAAACATGGGAGTACAGTCCAGAATATGCGTTACGATCTTATACATACTTAATGTGTCATGCAGCTCCAGCTTATATTTACCAAAAAATATTTCAACCAAACCCGTTACTTATGTTTTATTTCATTAGATGTATTTTAGGATTAACATGTGCTTTTGCAGAAGTATTTTTTTATAAGTAAGTACAATTTAATGCAGTACAATTCAGTTTTTTTTCTATGTAAATATGTTTATTTTAGGGCTGTGTGTAAAGAATTTGGAGTACATGTAGGAAGAATATGTTTCACATTCCTAATATTTTCGGCGGGAATGTTTATATCCAGCACAGCATTTCTCCCATCAAGCTTTACCATGTACACATTTACAGCCGCTATGGCAGCTTGGTGGCAGCAAAAATATGCTCTGTCAATATTTTTGACAGCACTAGGCTCACTTTTGGGCTGGCCCTTTGTGGCTTGGCTTGGAATTCCCATTGCTTACGATATGTTGATTAGGAAAAAGAAGTATTTAGATTTTTTTGCATGGTCTGCAATCTCATTGGCTGTTATTTTGATACCAATGGTGATAATTGACTCTGTACAGTATGGAAAATTAGTTGTGGCACCTCTGAATATTGTTTTGTACAATGTTTTGGGTGGACATGGGCCCAATTTGTATGGTACTGAGCCATTCTCATTTTATTTCATTAATGGATTTATTAACTTTAATTTTATATGGGTAAGATTAAAAAAACTGTGTGTACTTATGTATTTGCCTTAGAAGTTATACTTCTTTGGAGTAGCTAAAAAAAAAGGAAAGTACCTAGGAAAAACAATAAAATGGACAAATCAAATACAATTTAAGATTTGGTTAAAAATTTTGAAAAATTAAAAAAATGGTAAATTTAGAAATTGTGACAATTTAAGAAATTTTGTAAATTTTAAGTTGGAAATTATTATTTATTAATTAAATTTATGCTACTGAATTGTTCCTACCATTTTTTAAATTTTAACCCACTGTTTTTTATTTGTCCAATTTTTTAATTTACTCCTTTGTGCGAATTTTTCATACCAATTTTAAAATTCATGCTACTGTGCGGATGTGTCCTACCATTTTTTTTAAATGTCTGTAAGAGCAGTTCCAATTTTGTTCGAATTTGGTTAATTATTGAAAATCCCAAAGATTTTTAAAATTAAAGTTGAAATGAAAATTTTTGAAATATATTTGAAAAAATTTAAAAACAAAAAATTTTAGAAAATTTTGGAAATTTGTCCCCCACTGCAAATTTGTCCCACCATTTTTTAAATGTATGCCAGTGTGCGTATTTGTCCTACTATTTTATGGTTCTAAGATTTTATGCCCCAGAATTTTTCCCACCATTTTTTTATTTTATCCCACTGTGTTTTTTATTTATCTAGCAACTTTTAAATTTAACCTGTGCGAATTTTTTCTACCAATTTTAAAATTCATGCCAATGTGCGAATGTTCTTCACCTTTTAATTTTGAGCTACTGTGCGGATGTGTCCTACCATTTTTTTAAATTTATGCCTGTAAGAGCAGTTTTTAATTATCCAATTATCCAAGTATTGTGCAGATGTGTCCACAATTTGTGGATTGCGGATGTGTTACCATTTTTTAAAATTTATGACTGTAAAGCAGTTTTTAATTATTTAATTTTGTTAGAAATTTTTGAAAATACCGGAAACATTTGAAAGTGCGATTACTTGGTTTTAAATAAATTAAATGTGAGGACAGCTTTTAATTGGTCAACTTTGCACGCACATCTAGCCTTTCATATTTTCCATGACGTCACTTCGTCGCATTTTAAATTTTTTCTCAACGCGCCAAGAAGTATATCCTTTTTCTATGAGTATATCTAACTAACTAATAACTAATAAAACCCAAAAATGTAATTTTTAGGTGTTTGCTTTGGCAAGTCCTCTGGCACTGTTACTAAATTATTTCTTTGTGCCATCAAAACATCGATCAACATTATGTCTACCTTGCTGGTTATCTTTGAGTCCAATGTTTTTGTGGCTTTTAATTTTTTGCATACAACCTCACAAGGAAGAAAGGTAACTTTTATAATATGTCGAATTTAATGATAAACATTTCTGATTGTAAATTTTATTTGTTTTAAGGTTTCTGTTCCCAATTTACCCTATGATATGTCTAAGTGGGGCCATAACTTTGGACATTTTGCAAAAACTGTACTTTAGAGTACTTGGGTTGATACAAAAAATACCCAATGGTAGTCACTATTTGGATAAAACCATAATTTACTCCTTAATAGTTTTAATTATAACATCATTAATGGGTAAAACAGCAACTTCTACAAAAGAAACCTAATTCAATTTTGATTTTTTAGGTGTTTCAAGAATTTATGCCCTCTACAAAAACTACCACGCTCCCCTGGATGTATTGATGGAGGTAAATCGTTTTCCCCTCGAGAACAATGTGCCGGAAAAATCTCAAGTTAATGTATGCTTGGGTAAAGACTGGCACAGATATCCGAGCTCATTTTTTTTGCCCAATTCAAACTGGAATGTAAAATTAATAAAGTCCGAGTTCAAAGGGATCTTACCAGCCCCATATTCAGATGGACCCAATGCAACAAAACTCATCCCAAAACATTTTAATGATAGAAATGAGGAAGAACCAAGTTTATACTTCAACGTTAACAAATGTCATTTACTGGTAGATTTAGATTTGGGCAAAGAAACTGAGTTTGAACCGAATTATGCAAAACAAAAAGACCATTGGAAGGTTATTAAAACATACCGATTTTTAAACTCGGAAAAGTCTAACAAGTTTTTTAGAGCCTTTTATGTGCCATTTTTAAGCCATGATGGTGATTACGTTACTTTTGCTGATTTTAACTTGTTGCAGTCAACAAGGTTAAAAGTGAAAAATAAATAAGACCAAAATTTAGCTAAAATAAGTGATAACTGAGTAATAATTAGTCTGTTTAATTTAGTTTTTTATGTATCCACCAAATTTAGAGCAATATACTGTTCTAGTCATTTTAAATAAAGCATTGCAACAAATAAGAATTTTGCAAAATTGTCTTGGGTAAATAAATTCTATAAAAAATGTACCAAAGAGGTGTGTACTATGCTACACACCTAAAAGTCCCACTTTGACATTTCATACAAATAATTGTTAGTTTAACGATAATTTCCTTTAGTTTTTATACTTATTCTAAATTATGGTATATTATTATATGAGTGATAATGTGCATAATCTCAAGTTTAATTTTATACTTTATCTACACAATAAGTAGATAATTAAATAATTTTCAAAAATAATCAAATAAAATCTGACATCAGATGTAAGATTCTGTCAAATTTTTAACCTCACATTTTACAAATTTTAAATATAGTCGCCTTCTCACGAAATTATGATAACATCACTTATTTGTATTATAATGTCAAGAGATGATTTTCTGGTAATTTATCATCAGAGAGCAAAGCATTCTTATATATTTTTATTGTGCTTTATTTCCAAGATTTTAATGTACTTTATCTCACAATGCACACAACAAGATCTATCCTCGAGAGCTCGACTTTTATCTACCTCATTTCGCGAATACTTAAAATCACGAGGTTAGGCAACCCACTGCACCGACTTTAACGGCGGCCATTTTTATGTTGTTTACAATTCTTTTGCTTCGGGTTTGTGCTGTTTATACAGATTACTAATCGTTTTAAACGTTGTGTTTCTTACAGAGGCACTTGCGAGCCTTAAAAGAGGCCTTAAAGTGCCAAGGGCAACCATTTTACTCATCTTTTATAAAAATAAACCTTATTCTATCGATATCGATCGGCTCTCATCAAACTGTCAAATGTCTATTTTAAGGTTAATTTACCATAACCCACAAAATAAACCTTAAAAATTTTACATAATGTCTAGAGTCCCGTCAGACGGTTCTCTATTGCGCTCCCGTTAACACTTTGTGACGTCACACAGTGTGTGACACACACTGTAAATCGGTATTATTTTTCGAGCGTTAGGATTTTTATGGAAGGGCGCCTGCTTTGCATGCGAGAGATACGGGGTTCGATACTTGGCGCCTCTACTATTTTTTTTAATTTTTTTTTTTAAGAATTTATATACCGAAATAATACAATGTGGCCTTAAAAGCATTTATATTTAATTTTACATTAATATTTTAATATTTACCTTTCCTCGTAATCATTTTGCTACAGTTATATAATATAAAATGTAATTAAATGAATATTCCTTGAAAAATTTTTACTCAATGGGGCGGGGGGGGGGTCAATAGGGCGGGGTCGGTTGGGTTGGGTTGTTTGGTTTGGGTTGGTTTCGAAGCGGGCGGACTCGGGAAGTTAGTTAAGGAAAAAAGATCTGCTTCCCGTCCTAAGATTGCGTCATTGGATGACGTCACTCTGTTAACGGGAGCGCAATAGGGAACCGTCTGACGGGACTCTAGACACAGCGAAAATTTTAAGGTTTATTTTGTGGGTTATGGTAAATTAACCTTAAAATTGACATTTGACACTTTGATGAGAGCCGATCGATATCGATAGAATAAGGTTTATTCAATTTTAAGTTAAAATTGACATTTGGCAGTTTAATGACAGCCCTGATAGAATAATGTTTATTTTTTACAATAGTGGAGTAAAATGGTTCTGGGAAAAACAACGTTTAATAGTATATTATGTATCAAGTTTTATAAACGCCATTTTAGTTACGACTTTAATTAAGCACGAGCGAAGCTTGCGAGCGAGTGTTTAATAAAAACGAGTGCCTAGAGAAGTTTATAAACGAGTTGCATACCATACTTTTTCTACGACGAACACAAAACAGAATTTTTCTACGACCACTATGTAAAAGTCACTTTTCATGATGGCATCGTTGCTTTGAAAATGAATCTTTTCATTGACAAGGCAAAACACGAATGTAAAGTGACATTTCTGTGTGAAAAGTGACAGGTCTGTGTGAAAAGAACCGGAAAGCATCGTTTGACATTCAGCTGTCAAAAAAGTTTTTAGGTTATTTTGTTTTGTATTTAAAAATAATAAAAAATAAAAGGGTCGCAGAAAAAACATTGTGTTATACTTGTGAGAAAAGCTTTCTTCAAGCTCGTGTTAATGCACACTCGGCCTAACGGCCTCGTGGGCAACTTAAAAAGTGGCTTTTCAACACTTGTAAAACATAACTATTAAAGCCAATTTTATTTGTTAAAATTTTGACATCTGTCAACTGTCACCCGAATTTAACCTCACTTTTTCCCAATTTATAATAAAGCTAACTTCAGCCCGTGGCGTAAAATGTCGAAAAGCCACTGTTGTTAACTTCAGCCCGTCAATAAAACGCCATAAAGTCACAGCTCGTCAATGTAGGAGTAGATAAAAAACTATTTTTAATCTGTATAAACGCACAAGAATTGCAAACAACATAAAAATTACCGCTTTTAAAACGAGATAGAACAGTTGTGTGGATTGTGCTTTATCTCACATATTGAGAATGACTGTCATAAAATAATATCCATTTATAGGTTAGGTTTTTTGACAGATACTTTATCTAATCTATGCAGATACCTATTAGATATAAACAAAGTATTTTATGATGGAAATTCGCTCAAAATAAAAACCTCTGTAGTTGTTTGATGTAATAATTGTGTATACCTACCTACATTCCAAGTGTAAAAGAACTGACAAGTTTTATATGTTTGTATTTATTGTTATAGATTTTTTAGTGTATAATATGGTGAATAATAAATGTTGTAAATTAAGGACGAGTTTTAATTGAATTGCCCAAAAGTTCGTATGGGATTTAAAAATTTGAAATGGGAATTATCCCGCCGGTTAGTAGTGCCATCTAACCGCTATTTGTGCGCAAACACAATGCGCAACAATCGTGGTAACTAAGCGCCATTGTTGGACGACTTTTTAGTCCTTAATTCATGGTAAAATAGAACTAATAATAAACTGTAGACGACGGATTTTGTGTTAGTGTATTTTGCGTGATTTAGTGCAATAGTGGAAGTGCTTTTGATTGACTTTAAAGTGGTAAAAATACACAAAAGACTAGTCAATGTCAGCAGGCGTGTCAGATCAGGTAAAAATCAAAATATCATTTGACAGATTATGGATGAAAACTGATTTAAATTTTACGTTGAGAATTCAGTTCGACTAATTCATTTTTCTTTCATGTATTTTGGTAATCTTCAGCGGATGAAAGGACAGGGTAATCAAGGTATGGCCTTTTATATTTATATTTATTTGCTATTCAAACACTGTTATCTGCACAAAGGAGAGTTTGTTTAAAAACACAAACCTTACAAATTTCTTATCAAAAATGAAATATGCTAGAATTCTTTACGTTTTTCGTAAATATAACACATTCTTTTATTATGTGCTTCAGTAATTTATGCTGACTATTGTGTAGGTATTCTTTTTGTATAAAAATGCATTTTACTGAACTATGGTTTTTCGTTTATATTAGCATTAAAATAGTTTTTAATTGCCTATTACTGTGAAACAATTCTCACAAGGCCTATGTGCTTCAATTCTCACAATTAAAATGCTGTGATTTCAATTTAAAATATGTTTTAATGGGATTATTGTATTTAGTATATCAAAATATTTACTGTATACAGCAAAAATTGATTAACGTTTATCTCAGCTATTTTAAGCAACAAAATGATAACAATTTAGCACAGATGAAGATTTACAATTCATTTTTTTATCTGGACCACATTGATATTAGGTACCATATTTAACAAACATTTAGTATGTTTCTATTTAATATTTTCATTATCAGTAATTAAATTGCACATAATAAAAGGTTTATTACATAACAAAATATATTATTACATAAATAAAAAACATTTTATTAACTTATACAGGGTTTTAGGTAAATTAGTATCAGAATGTCATCAACCAAAAATTCCTCTTTTTAGTTTACTTCACTTAAAAACATCCTGATTGAAGTAAAATGTGCAAAATAAATTTATGTTGCAAGCCATAGTTTTATAGACCTAGTGCCAAATTGCAATTATAACCAGACAAAATAGAAAAATTTTGGGATACAACTTTGGTTAAAAACAGAAATGCCTAAAAGATGAATCAGGGTCTAATTTTTCTTTGTAAAAATAGTTATAAGCATGCCCCTGTGTTAACCATCTGTCATAGTAGTGGTACTCAATAACTTAACACCCTGTTTACAATTAACCTGCACAGCAATCCAGTGATCATATACAAGATGCATCAACTGTACTCAGTTTGTGTATCATGGCCTGTTGTGCGGGTATTTTTGCTTTGAAAGTTTTAATGTTTTCTTGTGTTTAGTGTCCAATGGCCCTAAAGAACAGCTAGGAGGAGGAGAAGGAGCAAGTGGCTCTGAAGAGTTTGAACCATGGAGAAATCAGCAACAAAATTCGGCTGCTCATGCTTATGGAGCATCAGTTCCAATTTCCAGTGCGACAGACATATACAACATGGGAACTGCAGGTATATAAAAGCAACATTTCACTTTCCTCAAGCTTTATTATCATTTATTAATAGAGACGGGATTTTAGATTGCATAATTTATAAAAATAGGTACCTATTATGAATAGGTTAAGTTTTTTCTTGTTTTAGGTAACTTTTTAGAAAATTCTTAAAGTAGGTAGGTACTTTACAAAAATAAGTACTGGAAAGAAACTTTAAGGTGGTAAATTTTTTTAATTTATTGTATAAAATTGTATTCAACAAGACAGGCCAGTGCACAAAGGGGGTTGGGTGTTCATTGAAAGTCTGTAAATAAAAAAAAATGTTCCACTCAAAATTCACCCAAAGAAAATCAAAACTGTTAAAAGAAAAGCAATAACCACTAAAATAAACAAGTAAACAATCATCAATTAAGTATTATTATACTAATGTAAATTTCGATAATAAAATTCTACAGAGTGTTATGTAATTAATGTAATATATTAAAATACTGAACATCTTTTGACATAAGGTGTAACAGAAAAATATTTAAAAAAATATTTTCCCAAAGATAAACACACTTGTGTTCTGTGAGTACATAGATACCAACCAACAAAGTAGCTGCGCATTGACAGTTGTAAAAAATTGTTACTAAATATTTTTCTTGCAAAAAATTAATAAAAACTCAATAAATACAAAAGTTTTATGCCCTTAAAGCTCTATATATACCTTCTGTATTTATTTACTCATACAGTTATTAGCTTCAGCAATGATTAGAAAATTTAGTACCTATTTTAAAAACTATAACCACAAAATTAATTTTTTCATCAGTTTTTTCTTTCTGTTTACTCAGATGAAATTAGGACAAGTTTGCAGGTTAAACTTTTAACATTCAATTTGTGTAAATAAATCCAGAAGCACTTCTCTTGGTTAAGATATTTACAATTTGAGCACTGTGCTCAGAGTACATAACCTAGAATTTGAAAGAAATGCCCTAGATTCTGTCATAAAAGTTGCCAGATTTTGTTTGAATTTACCTTTATTAAAAAAATGACATACTTAACAATTGATAAAAACGCCAAATTCACAATTTGCATTGTTGATTTTGTCATTTTTGTAATTAAGCTAAATTTAAACAAAATCTGGCAACTTTTTTGACAGAATCTGGAAACGCTGGTTGTTACCAACCATAACATAATAAATTAAATTAGGCAACCGGATTAGCCTAAAGTTCCTACTCGATCAGTGGCGTACTTTTTGGTAGGATAAAGGTTATTATAAATTATATTTAGTCTACCCATTTTATTATATTACATTAATTACAAAACACCCTGTATGTTTAAAAATTTAATGATAAAACCCCATGAGAAAAAAATATTTTTATGATTTGTAAATAACTCACGACTTCATATATCTTGTAAAAATATAATACCATCATAAATTTTATATTTTTTAAAGCAGTGTCACACTATGTTTTTGTAACATTCATTATGATAGAAATGTTTAAAAAAATCTTTTTCATGAATAAGCACAAATTTGCTGGAATTTGTAAGTATGTATGAGATTTTTAAATAAAACGTGATAACATGAAATTGTTTCGAAAAACTTGAGATCTCATGTAAAAGCATATGAGATCTGGCAACATTGCACAGGAATGTCTTTCGCGTCGCTGTTCGCGATTCCCAGTACCAACCATTACCAACCAACCTAAATTACCAATCCTGTACAGCAAAAATAACTACATACTGCATAAGAATTATGTCATCTAAATACGACAACCCCAATTTTTTTTAAAAGCATGTTTTTGATAAATTCTTGTTAAGAATAAGAATTTAGGTGAAATAGGTAAATCACACAATTTTATACTTTTTCTATGATTTTAGGTAGTAACATTTAAAAATTGGGTCTATATCTCATTAAAATGAAAATTTAGGTAAAATAGGTAAATTAAAATCAGGCTCAAATAAAATTATTTTCTTCAAAGCGGATTTTATTCCATTGCCCCAAAGTTATGATTACTAATCATAACTTTGGGGCAATGGAATAAAATATTTCTCTACACTAATCATTGATTAGTGTAGAGAAATATGTAATAATACTAAAATCCCATTTCTATTTATAACACTAAAAAAAGTTATGTATTTACCGGTATTTACTATTGTTTTTCGTTTTTTTTAAACCGCACAATGAATTCAAAATAAAGTACCTACCTATATTTAAAGTATAATTAACATAAAATGAGTTTTTAAAAAGGGGGTTTGAATTTCTTCTAAAACTAGATCCCATAGGAAATTTTGAACAGTGTTTATTATTAGAGATGGGAAAATTCCCATTTGACGAAAATTCTCGAAAGTTTATTGCGAAAATGAGTTATTTGTTCCAGGAGTATTGCAAAAATATAACCATTACCTTTTTGGCAAGTTTTATTAAGAAAAAAAAATGTTTATATGAATGTATTGTAAGCTGAAACTTAAAAAATAAACTGTTAACCATCAGAAATTCACTACTAGTGAATCACTAGATATTGCATAAAAAATATAAAGGAACAAAGTAGTATATAGGAATATTGAAATGTAAAAGATACTAAAAATAATATTGCCATTCTGACCAGTAAAATATGAAAAAAAACTACAGGCTAAATAAAATCAAAATTTTTGACTATGGTATACCATTACCCATAAAAAACAATTGCAAAAGAAAAAACACATTGGGAATTTTTTTCAAACCAAACAAAACAAAAGTGTTTCTCCTAATTTAAATTGCCAAAATTGTCTCACGTAATTAATGGATATATTAAATTAAAGTATATGGGTCAGAATTTCTCAAACGGGCCACCTGAATTAGGTCAAAATTAGTTTTTGTTTGTAGATACATTTTTTTGATAGTATTTTACATCACTAACACAAATCCTAAAGGATTTTGTAAAAAAAAAATTTTCAATTGACATATTCATGATATTAAAAGTCAAAGTTTTTAATAATTAAAAAATAAAAAAATTCATTATGGCTGAACTAATTATCCGATTCCAACGATATAACTAGCGTTGGAATCTTGTTTTGACATAGATTCTTTGTTATTTTTTTCAATTGTCCTATTTTCATTTAGGTCGATTTTTTTTTGTTTTTTTTATACCAAATTCGGAAATAATTGCCTTCTGCGCCAGCTATCGACTCGAGAAAAAAAACACATATACTCCAATCATTTCTCGAAATTATGCTGCTGAGAAAAAAAATGGCCCGCAGGTTGACAAAAAGTTATTCGTCCTTTTGTGGCCGCGCGCGGTGTCAGCTCACGCTCCGAACCGTGTACGCTGTACGCGCTTGTGACGCGACGTCTTACGGTGGTCTGGAACCTGCGGGCCATTTTTTTTCTCAGCAGCATAATTTCGAAAAATGATTGGAGTATATGTGTTTTTTTTTTTCGAGTCGATAGCTGGCGCAGAAGCCAATTATTTCCGAATTTGTTATAAAAAAAACAAAAAAAAATCGACCTAAATGAAAATTTTACAATTGAAAAAAATAACAAAGAATCTATGTCAAAACAAGATTCCAACGCTAGTTAAATCGTTGGAATCGGATAATTAGTTTAGCCATAATGATTTTTTTTTATTTTTTAATTACTAAAAACTTTTACTTTTAATATCATGAATATGTCAATTGAAAATTTTTTTTTTACAAAATCCTTTAGGATTTGTGTTAGTGATGTAAAATACTATCGAAAAAATGTATCTACAATCAAAAACTAATTTTGACCTAATTCAGGTGGCCCGTTTGAGAAATTCTGACCCATATGCAATTTTACATAATTGAAAATGTTGACTGACAACAAACGGAACTTTTGTACATTATACAAAATTTAATATGCAACTGAAATGGGTCTAATCAGTTTTTTTTAACAATGGTCTAATGGTGCGTTTTTTGGTTGATTTTCAGGTTATTACGGGAGCGGGGGTACTTACCCGTATCAGGCTTACGGTGTGGGAGACGGCACTTGGTCGAACGGCACGGATCCGATGACGTTTTTGGGGACCTACCACGATTCGTACTCGATGGACGGCATGTTCGGGCCGTCGACGACCTTCTCGACGCCGACTTTCGCCGCCGGGCAGCACTCGTCGTTCAACTATTTCCACAGCAACGGCGACTACAACACGTGGGGCAACCAGCTGGGCGGCCAGCAGCAGCAGCAGCAGCAGCAACAGCAGCAGCAACGCAAGTACGACGACTACTACAGAGAACCGCAAAACATTTACACGCAGGCGATGCCCGACACTCTGAAAAATGTCGAACAGGCCATGCAAAACTTAGGTAACATCATTTTGCCTTTCCTTAACAATAAAAAATAATATAAAAATTTAACAAAATAAATGTGTTTTTAAGGTAGTTGTCGTGCTGTAAGCATACCATCAGAAAATTTTAAATTTTTGTATACATATTAAGGACATGACAATACAATTATCCTTAAAATTTGAAGTCGATTGACCGTCTATAACCCGAGATAAATTCAATTAAAAATTGGATAATTAACATGGATTGTATAGGCTTTCTGTAGTTCTGTACCAGTTTCTTAGTTATAAAAAAAAACTAACTGTCAGAAGCTTTCAAAAAACTAACAGTCTTTTAATGTATTTTTGCTGAGTTTAAAAAAAAATAATTAAAAATTTTTGACCGTCCAATTGTTTATAAATAACCGTTTAAAGTTCAACAATTTGTAAAAAGTATACATCACTAGTGTCAGATAAAAACAACTTGGCAACGCTGTACGCGAGTATAGCAGTAAATTCAAACACTGATTCAGTCTCCAATATATCTATTGGTTGAGCATAAGCGACGTTGCCGGATTAAAACTTATGAAAATATTTGAAAGTATTACGTAAAGGTATCGTCTCCAGGGAACAGTCTTGCGAATAAATTATGATTCACGTAGCTACAAGCTCGTATACTTTTACTGTGCGTATAATCTAAAAAATTTTGACAATATTGTACCACGACAACTACCTTAAGTCAAAAAAAGTTTTTGAAAAAACGCCTTGAGCGTTCGATTTCTCTAGATAAATACAACTGTCAACTGTTTGAAAACAGCAAGTATATGCCCAGAGTGCACTCTCTGTTGTATAAGCTTTAGACTTGGTTAAGTTTTGCGCATATGGTACATCAAACAATAATTTGTATCTACCTTCATATAATTTATTAATATCTGTTTAAAATTAAATAAAAAAAAAACATTAAAATAAAAGAATTTATTAAAAATAAATTATTTAAAAAATTAAAAAATATTAACTCTAAAAAAACAAAAAAAAAAAATATTTTACAGAAAATTTAATAAACCATATAAGTACAGGGTTGAAATATAATAATGTATTATTTATATGTATTCAGTCAAATTACAACAAATTGTATTTAAACAAGCAAAATAACTTGGTTTTAGAACACTACAACATAAAGTTTATAGGTGATTATATACCTATCCTTAGTACACTCTTGAGAGAAATGATCATTTCGAACGCACTCCAGTTGGTCACTGAATATAGTCCAGGAAACAAAGATTGTAGAAGGAAAACTCGATGGTAGTCGGGTTTTATTTTTTTTTATGTAGTCAGGGGTGCTGATAATGAATCAAGAATATTCCCCAAAAATTTCTTTCCGCGTCCCCTAATTTCATCCCCCGAAAGAGGAGTTTTTTTGCTTTTTGGCTCATAACTCGCTAACCGTGCATTTTTTCAGAATTTGACCTCTAATACTTTTGATTATGTACTAAATAAGGCACACGTTAAACCCCATTGCGCACCTATATGATGTGCAGTTTTGCTATGATCAGTGTGCAAAGTTGAGCGTTGCTTTCAAAATGAAAATAATTAAAAAAAAAACTACGGATTCGTTACGAGGACAAGTGTACCTAAAAATCTAGGGTAGGGCGAACTGGCTCATTAAAGCCGTTTGGGAAATAAAAAATGTTTTTTTTTTTAAAAGAACCCCCTGTACATTGAAAAGCAGTAACTAATACTAATACCTCAAAAAATCGTCCATTCGGTTATGTTTGATTACCATAAGGTTTGGGTTCGATTACTTAAAATTGGGCTATAATAAAAAAAACAAAACAGTGATTTTGAAAGCAACGCTCAACTTTGCACACTGCGCATAGCAAAAGGGCACATCATATAGGTGCGCAATGGGGTTTAACGTGTGCTTTAATGAGCCAGTTCGCCCTACCCTAGATTTTTAGGTACACTTGTCCTCGTAACCAATCCGTAGTTTTTTTTTAATTATTTTCATTTTGAAAGCAACGCTTAACTTTGCACACTGATCATAGCAAAACTGCACATCATATAGGTGCGCAATGGGGTTTAACGTGTGCCTTATTTAGTACATAATCAAAAGTATTAGAGGTGAAATTCTGAAAAAAATTACGGTTAGCGAGTTATGAGCCAAAAAGCAAAAAAAAAACCCTTTTGGGGAATATTCTTGGTTCATTATCAGCACCCCTGACTATACATAAAAAAAATAAAACCCGACTACCATCGAGTTTTCCTTCTACAACCTTTGTTTCCTGGACTAATACTGTTTATCAAAAAATAGGGAACAAAAGTTATATATAATAAAATGTGTAGTGTATTTAACCTGTTGGGATTCACTAGCTTAACTTTCAGACTTGAAAGCGTCAAACGACTCTAAGGACTCCCTTGGCGGCGGTCCCCAGAAGAAGACGACATGGGCCAGCATAGCGAGCCAGCCGGCCAAACCCCAGCCGCCCATCCAAAGCCAGGGCCTGAAGAAGAAGGGCCCCGGCATGCCGCCCGGCCCCATCGTGCCCGGCAAACACAACATGGACATCGGCACGTGGGACACGAGCAAGAGCGCGCCGCCGCCGCAGATGCCGCCGCCGCAGCAGGCGAACCACCAGCACCAGCAGGCGCCGAAGGGCGCGGGCGGGCCGCCGCCGGTGGCGGTCCGGCCCGGATGGAGCGGCCCGCCGGCCGCCGCCCGGCACGCGCCGCCCTCCCAGCAGCAGCAGCAGCAGCACCAGCAGAGGCCGCCGCCTCAGCACCCGATGCAGTCCTACCAGCCGCAGGGGATGATGCCGCCCCCTCACATGCCGCCCCCCGTCAACGTGCCCAACATGCAGGTGAGCGAAAAGTTTCGAAAATTTAACGGTTTGATTTTTAAATGATGCCGCCACCGCACAATGGTCAAAAACCATCGTTTTGCGGAAATAATCCATTAACTTATTTATTACAAATAAATATTAGGTTGTTTCATTTAAAACGACTATTTGTTTTTTACCGAAACTCCACAATATTGTTCAAAACGTCGAAAAAAAAATTCCCTCAAAGTTGAGCCCTTTGATTCTAAGTAGGTACTTTCTTTTTTATTTTGAGTTTATTACCATTTAAAAAGCATGACTTTTTTTTAAATTTCTATATCTTTGCCGGGTTTTAAGCTATCATGTTGTGGTTCATTGTTACTTATAGAGTATTTAACGTTTTTTAAAAGAGCCTTTAAGAATTTTTCTCTAATTTGATTCACCTTGATGGTAACAGCTCTAAACGTATTTAATTTTTTCACATATTTTTGAAAATATTAAGAGAATGGCTTGTCTAAACAAAAAATTTTAAAGAAAAAAGTTGTAGAAAATTTAATTCTCTACAAAAAAGTTGTTATGTTTATATTGTTAAAGTGCACAAATTACAAGATATTTAATAGTCATGGAATCGAATTTAAGACAAATTAATCTCAAGAAAACATAAATTTTTCAAATTGCAACTGTGCAATACAGCGATATAAAGGTGAGGACTTTTTTGTAGAGAATTAAATATTCTACAACTTTTTTTTTTTAAATTTTGGTAAGACAAGCCTTTCTCTTAATATTTTCAAAAATATGTGAAAAAAAATATAAAAAAGACTTTTAGAGCTGATACCATTAAGGTGAATCAGATTAGAGAAATATTCTTAAAGGCTCTTTTAAAAAATGTTAAATACTCTGTAAGTAACAATAAACCACAATATGATAGCTTAAAACCCAGCAAAGATATAGAAATTTTAAAAATAAGTGATTAAAAATACATGCTTTTTAGATGGAAAAAATTCAAAATGAAAAAGAAAGTACTTAAAATTAAGTGAATATTTAAACAATGTTTTGAAGTTTCACTGAAAAACAAAAAATAGTTGTTTTAAATGAAACACCCTAATATATATATAATTTTTTTTTTGCTGACTTAAGTAAAACTTATTACTTGTAATTAAGTATATTTTATTAAAAAAAAAAATCTTTTAATTTTGTAATGCGTTTTTAGATCGCCAAAATTACTGTTTTGTATGGCACTCCGTTTTAGCATTTAAGTATTAGATAATAGTTTGAAGATTAAAGTTTAGCACTTTAATGATATTTTAACAGAAATTTACAAAGTAACATTTTTTAAACAATAAATTTATATTTAAAAAATGTTTTGAGTCAACTTTTGACTATCAATTATAATAATTATTGATAGTCAAAATTTTTTTAAATATAAAATACAACTGTAAATCTTTAAGCTTAATAATATTGATTTTTAATCATTTTATTTTAAATATTTAATGTACAAAATTTTGTAAAGAGTAATTTAAATGATAGTTGATAAATTTTGAATACACAAATTCTTACATTACATTTAAATGAAAGTTTTAAATTTTAAAGTGGTAATTTTTGGATTAGAAATTTATCAACTATTATTTAAATGACTCTTTACAAATTCAAACCGAAACTTTTTATGTTCAACAATTTTAAATTGATACATTTTAACACAAAATTTATAACTTTACATTTAAATGTAAATCGATAATTTTTAATTCCAATAGTGTAAACGCGGCTTTAGCTGACTGCATATGCTGCAAACTTCGCGCTTTGTACGTTTTACCAACTATCGATTACGCTTAAAATTGACTACTGTTTGCTAAAGTTTTTGTTTAAATTTGTAAAGAGACATTTAAATGATAGTCGATCCAAAAATTAATTAGTTAATTTCAAATTTTAAAACTTATATTTAAGTGTAATGTGAGAATCATTTAAATGACTACAATTTAAATCGATAATTTTGAAGAATCAGCTTTATTCAAAACTTTTTTTTAATTTATATTATTATTTAATTTTTAATTTATATATTATATTATATTATATTATATTATAATTTGTTTGCGACTCACCCCTGTAAAATCTTTATTTATTGTGCGATTTAAACTGGATTTGTTTTAAACTGTAGATCTTGATAAACTGTATTTTTGAAGCAATGTCAGTTTTTAAAAGTAAATTTTTAAGAATTCATATTAGCGATTTTTTTAAACAAAATCTAAGCACGGCACTGGATTCACCACCCCTCAAAACTACCCTAAACTAAATTTTATTAAAAAAATTTAAGAAAAAAAATGCAGAATAATAACTACAAAAATTTATTTTGTCAAGTTATCCATGAAAAAACATTGAAATAAAATTAAACTTATAGTACCATGTTAATATTAGTTTAATTTTATTTCAATGTTTTTTTCATGGATAACTTGACAAAATAAATTTTTGTAGTTATTTTTGTGCATTTTTTTTCTTAAAATTTTTCAATCAAATTTAGTATAGGATAGTTTTGAGGGGTGGTGAATCCAGTGCCGTGCTTATATTTTGTTTGAAAAAATGGCTAATATTAATTCTTAAAAATTTACTCTTAAAAACTGACATAGTAGGCCTTGTATTTTGTATTAATATGGCGTCTTTTGCTCCAAAAATACAGTTTATTAAGATCTACTCTTTAATACAAATCCGGTTAAAATCGCACAATAAATAAAGATTTTACAGGGGTAAGTCGCAAACAAATGGGTCACACTGTATATATACATATACAGTCTCAGGTTAACAGAATTAAATTGATTTTACATAAAAAATAATATAAATATGACATATGATATTTTTTGTATTTTATTTGAAAATATTTGAAATTTTTTATTAGTGTTATTTTTGATCGCTGATATCTTTGAAACCGTTGATCTGAAGAACTTTGATCTTCAGATGTTTTTTGTAGAGCGTGAAATTGTCTATAACTCCTCTCGCTTGGGTGTTGCGAAAACAAACCATTCCAAAGTTATAAGAATTCAAAATAAAAAAAATAAAAATTCCCGTGTTATTGAAATAATATTAAGGGCTCAAATAGTCGCCAAAATGTTTGTTTTTTAATGTACTATTAATTTTTCAACACCATTAGAAAAAAAAATAATTGTTTTTTTTAAACACCCTAAATACATGTTACCCCTTAAGGTGTTCTTAACAAATTGACGTCGTAAAATTAGCAAAAACAAAACCTTTTTTTCCGCCGATTGTCCAGTGCGCGCCGGTGCAGATGATGTCGAGCGGGGGGGCGCAGCCGGCGCCGAACCACCCGGTGCTGGACGAGCTGCGCGGCAAGAACAACTACAACCCGACGGACTTCGACCTGACCGCGCCGAACGCGCGCTTCTTCGTCATCAAGTCGTACTCGGAGGACGACATCCACCGCAGCATCAAGTACGAGATCTGGTGCAGCACCGAGCACGGCAACAAGCGGCTCGACCTGGCGCACAAGGAGCGCGAGGGCAACGGCGCCGTCTACCTGTTCTTCTCGGTCAACGGGTCGGGGCACTTCTGCGGCATGGCGCAGATGGTCTCGCACGTCGACTACAACGCCAACAGCTCCGTGTGGTCGCAGGACAAGTGGAAAGGACAGTTTAAGGTAACGTTTCTACTATTTTATAAGTGCGTTTTATTAGTTAGTTGTAGAGATGTAAAAGTATCGAAAAAAACAATAACCGCATGTATTCGGTACTTTAAATGTGACTATTCATTAATACAAAATACGAGTCTTGGCATTAAGCTTGTTAGGGTTTGGTTTAATTATTATTTCGAATCGTATGTAGCCGCTGCTTAAAGAAAACATACATTTTGATTATATTTTATTAAATTGGAGGATTGTAATAATTATTAATACAAATTAAATAAAAAAAATATTTTTTTATTGCAAGAATAAAAACAAAACATTTTCTTTTGTAAGAAAAATTAACAAAAAGTAAGTAAGTAAGTTTCTAAACATAATGATAATCATAAGTATATAAAATATATTGCACGTTTATTTGTAGAAAAATCATTGATTTATTTCAAGAAACAAAATTTTTTCCATTCGTTTTGGTTTAAGTAAGGAACCTTTCCGATAACTAGTATAATACCAGATTTTAAAAAGGTTCTTTTCGACGGTACCGATGTAGCCATTACACATAAATATTTTTTGACTAAGCCTGCAAGTTCAGAATTTCTTATTTGCCACCATTTAAGAGGATTATCTTTTTTGTAAAGAAACCTCTCTTCAATGTACTGTCTCATGGTGATTCCAGTAGCAACGGTAGACACTGTAATAGTGCTGGTTCTTACGTCAAAATCTCATCTTCAATAAGTATTCGCGCGGCAACTACTCATCGAGTGACGTCATGCGCGGCACGAACCAAAACTCGTCCACGGGAGCATCCAGCCCTGCAGGCGATGCAAGTAACGAAACGATGCGAGTAACGAAACGTATTTTAAAGTAACGAATCGGTATTTCAAACTTCATCCAGTACTTGTTACTTTGTACCGAATACATACGGTTCGTCACATCTCTAGTTAGTTGACCTTGGACGAATAGCGCTCGTAACCATAGACGGGTAATAAAAATTCTAGGGAACGGAAAAAGATATCGCTTTGAAATTTTAAAAGCGTTTATAATCCCTTTAAGTTTAACCAAAAGTAACATCCACTTTGTTATTTCAAATAATACACCCTATAAATTTTTACATTTTTAAATTCTACATAAAATTACTATAGGGTAATTTTATATCAAATAACTAAAGGTTTTGATGGCACCATCTTTAATTTTGATGAATTCTGGTACAGTTGCTCTTCTCATTGAAAATCTCGAAAAACAAAATTTAAAATTTTTCTTCTATGGATTTTTGAAAATCAAGATATTTACCAATTTGCCTCTGCAGGCCTTTAAAAAAACAGATATACCTCAGGAACTGCTTGTCACAGAGCATTGAGTAATAGCTTGTTTTAAAGGTCTTTTGAAGCCCTTTCAGATGATGTAGTATCACTTTGCACACCCAGTTCAAGACCACCGTAACTAAAAAAACATTGAAATAAGATAATCCAGTTTAAAGTTTTGCAAAGGTTAAAGGAATTTATTGAAGAAAGTAAGGACGGTAATAACGCCCTACATCCAATCCAATGGTTTTTAATCAGTATATTTTGTAAACGTCTATATTTTTTAGAATGATTTTATTTTATTTTTTAAAAAAATATGTTGGTATAGCACTAAAATCTGGTCTCATATTTTCTAATTATGTTGCATTAATAAGGTTTATGTAATTTTGACTTTTTTTTGTTAAACTAAATAAAACAGATTTTTGGTAATATAATGTATTTTAATTAAACAAATAAATACCCAAAATAATATTTATTAAAAAATATAAAACCTAATTTCAACTCAAATAAAATTACATTGGTCTTGCACACAACATTAAGATAAATTAGAATAATTTAAGCACCATATATTTTTATATGGTGAGTGTGCACTTGGACTACACAGATATTTTAGTTCAATATAAATGTTTGCGTAATAAAGTTCTTAAAAATAGGACTTAAGCTGTGAAGGTTTTTTAAATATATTCTAAGGTTGTTAAATTATTTAAAAACCATAATAACTCAAAACTGTTGTTGTGTTCTTGAACTGGATGTGCGACATGATTAACTTTTTCTTTAAAAAAATGGGAATTTTTGAAACCAAATTTTTTTGTAAATTTTTCAAAAACACCAATTTTAATTTTTTTCAAGAAAATATATTCTTTTTATCAATGTTTAAGTAGGATAATTACCAAATTTCAAAATGGAGAAAAGAAAAGTTCAGTTAAAACAAATTAAAATCTTTGAAACACATTCAATGCTCTGTGATAAGTAGAGATGGGATTTTAGGTTGCCAAATTTATAAAAATAGGTACCTAAGTAGGTAACGTTTTTTCTTGTTTTAGGTGAGAAAATTCTTAAATTAGGTACCTACTTTACGAAAAAAAGTACTGGAAAGCTAGGGAATTTCATTTATTGTATAAAATTCTATTGAAAATTTTTATGATTTCAAAATTTTTAAAGTAACTGACAATATATTCGTAAAAATAATAAGTTTTATAATTTTTTAATGTTTTTACATACATTTGCTGAAAATAATAAATTCACATTCATTATGATAGAAATGTTTTTAGAAATAATATCTCATAAAAAAGCACAAATTTGCTAGAATTTGTGAAAATACATGAGATTTTTAAATGAAACATGGTAACATGAGATTGATTTGAAAAACTTAAGATCTCATGCAAAAGGATGAGACCTGGAACATTGCACTGTTTACGATTCCCAGTACCTACCAACCACTCCCAACCATGGGTAGGTTTGGAGTGGTTGGTTAGCAATCCTGTACAACAAAAATAACTACATGGTGCATAAGAATTATGTCATCCAAATTTGAAAACCCCAATATTAGAAAAAAGCATGTTTTTGATGGTAAAATTTAAAAATTTCCTTTAAAAATAATAATTTAGGTGAAATAGGTAAAATTACACTGGTGTAGGTAGTAAAATGTAAAAATTAGGTTCATTTCTTTTGAAAATGAAAATGTAGGTAAAATAGGTAAAATAAAATCAGGCTCAAATGAAATCACTTTCTTCAAAACGGATTTTATTCCATAGCACCTAAAGTTATGATTAGCCTAGACAAATAGGTAATAACACTAAAATCCTATCTCTAATGATAAGCAGTTCCTGAGATATATCTGTTGTTTTATGAGCCTGCAGAGGCAAAATTTTGCTATTTTTATCAGTAATTTTGGTTACAAAGAACTTAGTCAACAAACTGTAACCTAGAAAAATTACGCCATTATAGTTTTAAACAATGACAGATTGCGTGATAACCATAGATACTGTCAACTCACCCGTCACAGGTTTCTTCATACAAAATAATGTTAAAAATTTTGGAAATTGTCAAATATCAATAACAAAAAAGTTATAGGCTATTTTTAATTGACGCAATTTTCGCAAATTTTAATGAAAATAACTTGAAAACTATTCTTTTAAGGTATAGGACATGGTATAGTACTTTTACTTGAAATTTTATTCAGAATTTAAAAAATTGAAAATATATGGAGGTTTCTTCTGATTAAACCGAAAGTGTCATTTTGTTTAAAAAATAGACTTAAACGGATTATAAACGCTTTTAAAAGTAAGCTTCTTTGTCTAAAATAGCCTGTATCAAACTTTATACACAACATACTATTAATTTGAACCTAAACTATAATAAATATATAAATTTAAATCTAAATAAGAAAAATTTAACAACACAGAAAAAATGTTTATAAATACTTTTCTTCTTGTTTTATTTTAAAATAACCAAATTCAATTCTGAATATTTATTTTCACTTTATCCTGAATTTTTTCGACTTAATAAATATTGCACTGAGTTTCTAAAAGAAAGTAAGACTTATAAAACTCTTTTCGGTTTTTTCCGAAAAAACTTTCCACAAGGGACATTAAGAATTTAATCAGTCGATTGTTAAGATATAGTTTGTAATAATTAATTTTAGGTGCGATGGATATATGTAAAAGACGTGCCGAACGTGCAACTGCGTCATATACGACTAGAAAATAATGATAATAAGCCGGTAACGAATTCCAGGGACACGCAGGAAGTGCCCCACGCTAGAGGACTTCAGGTGCTCAGGATAATGCACTCTTACAGGTGAGTAAAAACTCCACAATAAAACCTGTTTGACAAAATATCACGACGTAACAAGAATACGCAGGGTTCCCGTTTGTCATAAAATTTTTAAATATCATAAAATTGGTTAAATTGTCCTAAAATGTCATAAAATTCATATTTTGTCATAGAAATCATAAAATTTCATTATTTTTTAACAATTTTCTCACCTTTGATCTTTTTTATAAAATGGAAATTTTGTAAAATAAAATTTAAAGCCGGTCCTGTAGAATAAAACGCATGCGTTTTATTCTACAGGACCGGCTTTAAATTTTATTATTGCAATAAAATGTTTTAAATATGGCCTTGGTTTGTTGACGTATGAACTTCATACTATGAAGGAAAAAGAAGTTAGGTTAGGAAATGAATTTTAAATTTGAAATAAATAATAAAAAAGGTAAATTTATTTTTATACTATATTACTTTACTAAGGAAGGCACAAAGAAGGACTTGAAGAAATTGATACTATTTTGGCAAATAAGGAAGTAGAGTTAAAAATAACAAGAAATATTATTTCTGAAGGAAATAAGAAATTATCGAAGTACCTTAACAATAACTACATAACTACTCTTAAAAAATCTGTAATATTGGAGGCTCAAACAATGATTAACATGGGTCTAAAAAAGCAAAAAAAAATAGTACCTATAGGTATATATACTATTTTTTTTTGCTTTTTTGAGACCCATGTTGTTTGAGCCTCCAATATTTCAGATTTGGATTATAATACCTATTATAATAAAATACTAAAGTAACATATATTAAAAATATTATAGCAGAAATTTTTATTTTGATGCTAGAAAAAATATTTATTTTTATATACTAAACCTTTAAAAAATTACATTTATTTTATTAAATAACTTTAGAAATAATAAATTCTTGTCATAAAAAATGTCATAAAATCATAAAAAAAAGTACAAAACAATGCTGGGAACCCTGAATACGTGTTTTTGACGGAAAAACATTTGTTCTAAAAATCTGCTCCTCAAATATTTGGTCTCGTCCTAGACATTCGACGTCGATATTCGACGATTTCGTGCACTACGAGAAGAGGCAGGAGGAGGAGGACAACCGCAAGCAGCCGCCATCCAAGGAGCACCATCAAGGTGGCGGCGGCGGCGGCGGGCCAGTTCACGAGAACAACGGCTGCGGCGGCGGCGGCGGCAGGGAGCATCGCGGCGACAGGGGCGGCGATCACCGGGGAGGCGGTCGCAATCACGAGCATCGCGACGGCGGCGGCGAGCGCGACAACCATCGGCAGTCGGGTCACAGGAACAACGATCACCATGGGGGCGGCGGTCATCATAAGGTGAGGGAGTTTCATTTAGTGCAAATGTAAAGATTTTAATGCGAGTCGTTACAAATGAAATCATCTTATTTTCAAAACTTTTTTTTGTATATTTTCAAGTTTTAAAAATTTTGGAAATTTTGAAAGTTTTAAAAATACTTTTTTGTCAAATTTTGAAATTTAAAAAAAATTGAAATTTTGAAAACAAATTTTGAAATTTTAAAAATCTTAAAATCACAAATTTTAGTAGTTTTGAATTGAAAACTTTAAAAATAATATTTTTAAAATACTTTTTTAGTAAATTTTAAAATTTTGAAAACTAAAAATTTTGGTAGTTTTGATAAATTTAAAATTTTGAAAACTGAAAATACATTTTTAGTAAATTTTGAAATCAGAAGTTTTTAAAATTTCAAAAATTTTTAAAATTTCAAAAATACTTTTTTACTAAATTTTGAAATTTTTAAAATCTTAAAAGTACAAATTTTAGTAGTTTTGAATTGAAAAATTTAAAATTTTGAAAACTTAAAAATAATATTTTTACTTTTTTAGTAATTTTTGAAATTTTGGAAATTTTTAAAACTAAATTTTGGTAGTTTTGAAAACTTTAAAATACTTTAAGGTAAAATTTTTAAAACTGAAATTTTGAAAACTTTAAATTTTAGAAATTTTTAATACTATAAATTTTGGTAGTTTTTAATACTTTAAAAATACTTTTTTAGTAAATTTTGTAATTTTAAAAATTTTGGAAATTATGAAAACTTAAAACTTTAAGAATACCTTTTTAGTAAATTTTGAAACTTAAAATTTTAGTATTTCAAAAAATAAATTTTGGTGGTTTTGAAAACTTTAAAAGTACTTTTTGAAATTCTAGAAATTTCGAAAATTTTTAAAACTCTAAAAATAGTATTTATGCAAATTTTGAAATATTAAAAACTTCGGCCATTTCAAGCATACGGACGGGACAAATCACAAAACTGTTTTCATAAAAAAATTGTACATAATTTATTATTATAATTTATTGAATTACATAATATGTTGGCATTAAAATTGTCAAAAATATTCTTAAAAGAACTTTTGTTAGACTATACATTAAATAAAAACGCAAGTAATATTTTATAAAAGAAGAATATTTTAGACAATTTTGATGCCAAATAATTATATGATAAATTATCTACAATTTTTTTTATAAAAACAGTTTTGTAATTCGTGGCCGAATTTTGAAAACTTTAAAAATACTTTTTTAGTATATGAAAACTGAAAATATTTTTTTTGAAAATTTTAAAAACTTAGAAATTTTTAAAACTATAAATTTTGAAAACTTTGAAATAATATTTGTACAAATTTTCAAACAAGTAGAAGTTGATATATTATCTAGGTTTAGAGTAGCGTTTGCGCAGGTGTAACATTTACCATTAGATATATCTACTTGGCTAACCAAATAAAAATTAAACAAATTTCATACATCATACCCATTTATAAAAATTGAGTTTAAAAATATGCATATGAAAATTTAAATTTTCAAAATTAGGTTTTTGGCAATTTTTTTTATAGTATATTTGAAATCTACAAGTACGAGTTTGTTATTAAAAAAAATAATTTTTGAGAAAGCTACATTTTGGAAAACGCTGAGATTCAAAGCGACTCGACCTTTCAGTAATGTTTAATAATTAAAGTGGTTTTACACTGATTTTTGTCCCAACCCGGTTAAATTTTTAAATAAAATATGTATTTCTTTTTGTTGCAGGAACGTGGAGAAAACAGTAGGGGTCGCGGGGGGCGCGGGGGCGGGCGAAACTAAAAACGCGCACCCTAATTTTTTTAACAAAGCCCAGATTAATATAACGATAATATTAAAAAATACATACATTGTTATGGCCGCTGTTTACTGTAGTGTTATCTATTACTAGCTTGTTATTTGGTATACATTCACATAGAAGATTTTAAATAAAATAACCTGTGGCTCTGATTTCGCTGCGTGTCTCTAGGATTTTAGTGGACATCTCTCTCATTCATTATTTTGTACCACATCAAGTATCTGCATTGCTGTAATTGTTTGCTATAATCTGTTTGCTTTTCATCGTATAACCGTTCAGTTGAGTTCAGTTTTTTGGTGAAGAGACTTGCGGTGTTGCTATTAAAAAATATTAATCATGAAAACTAAATTTCCGGTTATAATTTGTACGTGTGGGTTCTTGATTAAACTCTTGATTTTTTAAAAAAAGGTATATGGATTAAATAGTAAAAATAGTTGTAAAATAACAAACTTAGTAGCTCACTCTTCGGATCGGGCCTTATGCAATCAAAATAAGGAGGAAAGAAGAAGGATTTAGTGCAGTGTCGATTTGTTTTATTGGAGTGAAGGACATCCTAATAATAAATTAAATTGTAATATAAATAGATGGACGATTTATGACGCGGTTAAATTTTAAATAAAGTGTTGATTTTCCTGGACTAATTTTAATCTACAGTGGCTAACTAGTGTCGGTAACGGAGATCAATGGACTGCTAACATCTCTCACTCATCATTATCAACGACAACAGCTGCTGTCGCTGTTGTTTCGAACTCTGAAGCTGTCTATCTGTGAAAGTGATTGCTACACAAACAAAACAAGAACTACATAACAAATTGGCTAAGTTTAGTTGATGAACGCTGACAAGTTTGTTTATAACTTATTTGTTACAGTTTTACTAATGTTTTTCAATTTTCTAATCTTGTAGGAAATGACGGACTTTGAGCACCCCCTAGTAGACTATTCGTTAAGATAAGGCTGTAAAAACGCGCCATGCTATATTCGTTTTTTGCAAAGGGTAAATGTAGGCAAATTATTCCATCATGAATAAACTATAAGAACCAATTATTTTCCACGTTTAATTGCAGAAAAGATTACCACATTTTACTTATTTAGCTTTTCTGCAATTCACATTTATACACAGGCCGACAAAATAAAATTTTCTTTGGCTAATTTGGGTGCGCTGATTCCAAAAATTTTGCTCAATCAGCTCTTGTGTTTGCAATATTGTAATATTGTTTTTAGATTTGAAAACATTCAAATTCGTATATATATATATATATATATATATATATATATATATATATATATATATTGGTAATTAGCTCTAGGCCCCAATTAAACAAAAAAAAAAATCATACACATCTACACCTCAAATATAATGTTTTTAACAAAATAAATTAGTTTTCAGCCAAAATTCCTCAATTTTCAAAATTTCAAAAAGTGCTGCCCAGCGAACATTTTTTGTCCGATTTTTATGAAATTTTCAAAAAATATAGGTGTCTACTTAATCGTGTTTAAATTTCAACGCAATCGAATAAAAATTGTCAAAATGGAACGGGTCAGAATTTATATTGCGATAATTTTAGCTCCCGCCGTTTGTAAACTAAAATGTGTACTGTCTGTCCACTCTAAGTTGGCTGAACTAAGGAATTTTGTTGTTTATATATTAAAGAATTGTCGTGCTGTGTGCTTTTAAAACAGATTTTATATTATAAATAATACTAGTATATAATATGTACTAGTATTATTTATAATGTAAAATCTGTTTTAAAAGCACACAGTACGACAATTCTTTAATATCTAAACCACAAAATTCCTTAGTTCCGCCAACTTAGAATGGACAGACAGTATTTGTACAAGTTTTAAAACAAAAGCAATGATACATGTAAATATAAAAAACATTCTTTTTTGAGTCAGTGCTAAAGTAAATATAAAAAAAATTGCAACACGATTTTTTTAGTTAAAATATTAGATGATTAAACATTTAATAATTTCTCTTTACAGAATTTTTATTTCATTAGGTTCAAATTTTAATATAATAAATAACATACATCAAGCTATAAATTTTGTTAAATTTGGACAAAAATTGTTCGCGTAACACCATTTTGAAAATTGCCGAATTTTGGCCAAAAGACGATTTTTTTTCATTAAAAAGATTTTTAGATCTAAGAATTTGTGAAAATTTAATTTTTTTAGTTTAATTGGGACCCTTAGCTATATACAAATGATCCTTGGTTAAAGTATTCAATTAAAAATATATACACAGGGTGTGCCTAGTATCCTGGGTAGCTAAAAGGTCGGTTAAATTAGACAAAAGTTACGTAATTACAAGTCTAATAAAATGAAATTTAGAACTTGGGAAAAAATGGGCGGTTTTCAAATAATTTAGTATTCGTTTAGTTTCGTTATTCCTGGTAATTTTGAAACAAAGATAGTTTTACATGTAAAAATCTACATTTTCATCAATTCAATCACGAAGTTATAACGATATTTAGTTTTGAAATATTTTTAGTTTATTTGAAATATATTGAGAACCGCACGCTTTTTTCCAGTTTATAAATTTTATTTTAATTAATTACGTATTTCTTTAGTTTAACCGACCTTGTAGTTCTTAAAATAAAAACTACCACTAGAAGTATTGCAAAAACAAAAGCTGATTGAGCAAAATGATTTTTGAATTCAGCTCACTTAAATTTCCCTAAAAAAGTAAGTGCAAATCTTATTTTGTCTGCCTGTGTTAATATTGAATATTGTTAAACCTTTAGATGTAGTTGTTATCAAATTTTTTATTTTATCAAATTGTACTTACCATTGTAATGACAATAACCTTGTTCTTTTTATAGACTTTATCCCAAACCTCAATTTTTTACTTAATGTTTTTTATTATATTTACTAGTTGTATTAATTAGTAATAATATTGTAAATTAAAAATACATTTATGTAATTAGCTATGTATGTATGATTATGTACTGCAAATATATTGTTAAATAAAAAATTATGATCCCAGTAATTCTTATAGTTTATTTGTAACGCGTTTGTAAATATATTGTAAGTAATTGAAAGTTGTACATTAAAATGTTTTCTATTAATTTTTATAGGTGCTATTTTAAATCATGTATAAAAAGCTGAATTAATTTTTTAATAGAAAAAGTCATATAAATTTAAAAAGTGTATTTAAATTACTGAGCGTTAACGAATTATTTAAAAAAATTGTAAAATAACGAGAATTGTAAATTAATAATTATAATTATCGTTTCAAGAAATGAATGTAGCATGACGATTTTATCTGTCTTTTTGTACACTGTGCCTAATATGTTAGACTGATGCACTGTTAAAGTGATTGTAATACATGATTCATTGTGTGATCCGAACAGTGGGCATCCTCTGTTGATAGCTACATCAATAAAAACAACAATTATCAACCCTTGTGCTTTTATTCATTAAAAGCTCTTAAAGTTTTGAAGTATGGTAAATGTCTTTGATTTCAGGGGTAAAGGATGTTTTGAGGTCTTTCAATTTTAAATTTTTTATGGGTGATTGCAGCAAAATGTTATCATTGAGTTCTTTTTTCAAAATTATTGTCTAAAAGAAATTTATATGTAAATATTACATTCCGTAGGATTTTCTTAAGCGGGCTTTTAACATTAAATTGTTAAACATAATATAACAAAATACAAAAAATTGGCTTTTAGAAAAAAAAAAATCTTGGCTGACCTCCCTAAACTGAATTATCAAACCAAATTTCCCAATGTTTTAGGAAATTAATAACGAACATTTTGTAAAATTTAGGCTCGAAAAATTGTTTAATATTAATCACGTTCATTTTCGCAGTTACAAGGAAAATTGTCAAAAATTATATTTCTCAATTTTATTTATTTTTACGTATCATTAAGTCGTTTTAAGTTGATCCGTTTTACCGTTCTAAAAAAAAACCCAAAAATTAAATTTTGTGAAAAATGTTTATTTCCAAAGTTATTTAATAAAGTTGAAAACGAACTTTTAACGTATTTTGGTTTCTATCGACTTTTGAAGATGACACTCACCTTCATAACGAAGAACCAAACATTTTCTAAGCGATTTTTTCTAAAAACTTTTGGTTTCAGAATTTTTAAACAAACAGACCTTTTTATGTCAAATTAAAATACACAATATCGTAACTCAAAAAATAAAATGGGGGGTAGATGATAAAATGTCGACAGAAAATATGTATTTTTTAACTGTACTGCCTGAGCCAAAATTTGTTATTTTAAGTAAACCTGAGAAAAAAATGTAATTTAAAAAAATTCTCTTTACTTCTGCTCCCAATATAAAAATGTTCATTTCTTGTAACTAAGAATCTGTATTACCGGCGACAAATGTCAAATTTTTTTATGTAAATCGAAATTTATTTCTTGAAAATGGACTAACAATCGTTTAAATTCGATATAAAAGCAGTTTTTCATGGTGGAAGTAAAGATAATGTTTTATGGGCACTTCACGGTGTAGTCTCCACCCGAATATTAATTAATTTTATTGATTTATATAAAACCTTAGTGCTGGCGAAATCAAAAGGTCACTACAAACTTTTTAAATATTGGCGTTGAGAAACTAATTAATACTTTTGAATTTTTGTATTAAGGTAACACAATATTTTTCACATTAAGTATTATTTCAGAGCAAGGGCACTTTATTTAATGACCCTGGTTAAAATGTCGCATAGAGACCCTGTTCAAACCAATAGGTTTTTGTATATGATTGTATGGTGTTTCTATAGGGTGTATCGGTTTGTATAGGACCCATAGTTGGGATTTATGGTTGTTCTATAGGGATATCCTTCCTTGATTTATTTGCTATCGGTCTCAATACACTCAAAATACACATAAAGGTAGAAATTAGTTTTTCTCCTATACAGAGCTGCAAGCTCTCAGAAAACTTAAATCGTTTTTTTGATTTAAATCGTTTTAATGACTTAAGTCATTTGGTAATAAGTCATTTCTCTAAAACTGACTTAAGACTTAAAATTTAAGTAATTTTCAAAATGATTTGTGACTTGTGACTCAAAATAAAAAAAACTTAAGTCATTTATAAATCAGTACATACGATTTAAGTCAAAGTCAAAGTCAAAGTCTTTTTGAAAAAGATTTAAGTCTTTTTGAAAAAGATTTAAGTCTTTTTAGAAAATATTTAAGTCAGATTTTTCATATATTTTTTATAAATTTTTAACAGCGGCATTTTCTTTTGAACTGCAAGGGGTTCACGCGGCAGCAGATCAAAAACTCCTTTAATTTCCTACCTACAATTTTTACCGCTAGAGGATAAAAAAACCGCCGCGTTAAGGGCCCCACAGACATCGTTCTTTTTGCACGGTTTGGAACGAACAGGTAAAACTGTGCGGTTCAGAACGATGGAACGTTGTCGACACACACAGTGCATTTTTATGTCAGTTTTGAACGTGAAATCATGCAAGAAGAACGTCTTAATTTACTTGAAGTGGCGGCGGTTTTAGCATACAAAAAAAATCGTTCGAAAAATCGCGACCATTGCTTCGTAGGCTTTATCTTTTTTGGTTCTGTCGCTATACTCTTAAGAGTAAATTTACTTTTGACTTTCCAAAGGCACGGTAGACTGCGGTACAGTTCAATAAATTCGGTTAAGAAATCTTTATTCATATGCCGTATATCAGCCATGATTCACGAACATTGGGCACTAAGCCGCCACTGATAATTGCGTTCCCCCACCCACGAGATTTACCAGTTCGTGCAAAATCGCGCAGTTAAAAATCAAGCAACAACTGACTTTTTGGAACGCGGTTAAGTCGGACGGTTTTTCGCCACACACATCAATTTTTGCACGGTTTGACCTGTACAGTTTTACCTGTTCGTTCCAAACCGTGCAAAAAGAACGATGTCTGTGGGGCCTTAAGTGTTCTGAAAATAAATCGTTTTAAATTCTTAACATAGTGGTTTATTATCATCTGTATCTACAATAGATTAATAATATCAGTATCATTAATACCATAAAATTATTATTAACATTTAAAAAATCGTTGTATTGTAATTATTTTGATTTAAATCACAATTTTTGATTCAAGTCATTTTATTGACTTAACTCTTAGATCACGATTTAAATAAAAAATATAGACTTAAGTCATAAAAACGACTTACTAAAGGAATTAAGTCATAAGATGACTTAAATCACTTTATATTGATTTAAGAATTTGCGAAAATGACTTGACTTGAAAGAAAATGATTTAATTCAAAGACTTAATACTTAAATCATTTGAACTTTATCTTATAATTGACTTAAGATTTAAATCATTTTGATTTTAGAATTGACTTAAGACTTAAGATTTAAGTCTTTTTAAAACTGACTTGTTGCAGCTCTGCTCCTATAGGACCCCATAGGTTTTAAAAAAATTTTGTCAAATGTCTCAATAAGGAAAATCTAAAATTTATGATGTGCCTATAGGTAATTTCCTATAAATTTTCTATCGGGCCGTATCCGGAAAAAAACATGGACAAATGCACATATTGAGTCCGTTAGCGCCCGATAGATTATTTTATGGGTCTCTATGGGGTATTTTAAGCAGGGGATTGTATTACATTTGACCAGTGGCGGCTGGAGGATTTTGGGCACACCCATATCTCAGTTATTAGACATGGGACCCACATCAAATTTATGAGTTTATAATGACATCATATAGACAAGTTCTGCGCAAACAGAATTTAAATTAAAGTTTGCGAAAAAAAGTTAGTTTTTAAGTGTGCCCCCCAAAATAAGATAATTCAAATTAAAATGTTACAATATTTAATTCACTGAAGTTTATCAACAAATTTCAAATTTTATTAAAAAAAACAAGAATTACAGGTTTTATACCATTTTAAATTTTTATTATTTCTTTTACTAAATACTTCAGTTTTTTTTATAAAATTTGAAATTTGTCGATAAACTTCAGTGAATTAAATATTGTACCACTTTAATTTGAATTATCTTAATATGGGGGGGCAGGAGGCTGGGGGGCACACTTAAAAACTAACTTTTTTTTGCAAACTTCAATTTAAATTCTGCTTGCGCAGAACTTGTCTATATAGTGTCATTATAAACTCATATAAATTTGATGTAGGTCCCTTGTTTAATAACTGAGATATGGGTGTGCCCAAAATCCATAAGCCACCACTGCATTTGACAACTTCAGCCAGTGACTAAAAACCTGTTGCTAAATTCAGCCCGCGACTAAAGCGCCATAAGCCATAGTTTGTCAATGTGTATTTAAAATTCGATAATAATGGGTGTTTTAGAGTGGAAGTAGAAAAAAAAACATTTAATTTTCTATATGTTCTATATTTATACAGCAACTCAAAGTATATTATAAATTTCAACGATTTTCTAATAATCAGGATTACAAAACTAACAATATCCTTTTTTTATCACAGCATACCCCTCGGTAATTTAATAATAGAACACAATAAGTGTACAAATATTTTACAATAGTACGAGAAATAATTTCTAAAATAAATTAAAAACACGCACACACAAATAATACTTAATGCTAATAATAATACATTTGTAAAATATTTGTATTGATAAAATAAGAATGTATATTTAGTATAGTTTCCAATAATTCTCTTATGTACTATTCTAGTCAGTCTCATCTTTGACTGTAAGTTTGCCAGATAATTTCTATGGCTTTTAAATAAAGAACATTATTTTTGTTCAGTAATTAAATGGGTTTTAAATTATAATTGGCATTAAATTAATTATTTACAATAAAGAAACAGCCCATATTGTTTTTGGTATCAGGCTGTTGTTAGTTAAATATTAAGTCGATATATCTACTAGCTTATAAGCTTTAACGATATCGGGCAATTAAAATACTCTTTTGAAAAGTTTCTTAAACCCCTTCCGCTCTTTTTTGGGCGTATCTTCCGCGCTACTGCCAGTCCCATTTCCGTTAAGAGCAAACAGCAGTTGTTTATTATTACTCTCGTCCAAGCTAATGGATTTCTTGGTAATTTCTTTAACTTTCCCATTGTCGAAGATCACCGGGCTGTTTTGACTAGAACAACGGTTCAACCTGACATTGGTAGCGGTCCGAACAAAATCGGGCACGTCAATTTTAGGCAAATCGACCGGAATCGGGACGGGCAAATCTTCCAACGTAGAGTGCTCCATTTCGTCCAAAGCAAAGGGTACATCTTCTAAATGCTGATTCTGTCCTTCCACCCAATCGCTCTCCTTGCCCTCCTCGCTTAAAGTGTTGATGGAATTCGACCTTTTCAGCACCACTTTCGATTTTCTCTTCCGCTTTTTCTCTTTGCTGTATCTTCTGTCGTTCTCGTTGGCAGACGACGATCTGCAAATCTTCAGAGCCTGGTCGCTTGGCCGCCTCTTTTTGATTGGGGTGCTATGCGTCACAACGTCTATAGACTTGCGACGATGTACCGTGACAGTTTCGTTTGCGTCGGCCGCAGATCGGGCAGACCTCTGGCACAACGTAAAAACAGCAAAGGTAACGGCGAAAACAAAAACCAGCCAAAGAAATGTCGACATCCAGCTGTTCCTATCCGAAACGAGAACTTCCACCGCGGCCGAGAGTTGCTTCAAACTCTCCTCCAGCTGTTTATTCCTCTCATCCTTAATCCTACTCTCTTCGTTTAACGTGTAAATAGTCTTCTCGAGTAGTTTATGCATTTCCTCCACCTGCTTCTTGTACCTCCGGCTCAATTCTTCCAAATATTGACTGGACAGCGACACGTTCCTTTCCAACGCTTTGATTCGGTTGGAGAGCCTCAGAAACACGGATTCCTTTTGACCCGGTTGACCGGCCGGCGCGCTTTGAGGGGCGGCCACGCTGTTCTGATTATTCTCCCCCGTTAAATCGTTCAATAAATGGTCTATGTGTTCGTCGATGCCTTCGATGCCCTCAACTTCTATAGCCTGTTGTTCGATGGCGGGTTCGTTCGCAGCTTCAGCTGCTTTTTCTGCGGTTGGCTGCGTCGCAGTTTCCGAAGGCGTTACAGCATTTTCTTGCACCGTCATGGTGCTAGAATCCGTGTTAACGTGTTCCATATCCACATCCGATGTTAACGCTTTTGTCGGTTTAATTTCTGCTGTGGGTACATCGATTGAAATACTGGCGATTTTATTGTCGGTTTTGTCCAAAATCAAAGGGTCCGTTGGTTTTATAACCTCGACCTCCACATTTTCCTCCGCCTGCACTTCTAGTGTCTCCTGTTTTCGTACGTGCGGTTCCGACGTTATTATATTGACAATTTTTTCCTCCGTTGTAACGTTCTGCGTTATGTTGGGGTATTGCTGGCTGATATTGAGCACGACCTTATTTTCCAGTACAGCCACTGTGTTGCACATGGCGCCCAAAAATTTCGCCGGAAAGAAGGAGTTTACGCAGTCGGTGCAGGTGTTTATGCTTTGGTGAGCCGATTTGTTTCTGAAATCGAATCCGTACGGCAGGCAGGTTTGAGAGTTAACCAGAACTTTTCTTATGAAAGGGATGCCGATTAAGTTATTGATTTGCGTGTTTTTGCAGCTTAATAACTCGTAGATTTGGCCGAAAAGGATGTCGCTGCAGTTGTTGCAGACCACCAGGTGGCTTGGGGACGTGCAGGTGTTTATCAAGGGGGTGTAGGTTAGCGTCGGATTTTTTAGGTCGGTTTGGTTTTTGCCTTTGTTTCCTAGCACTTCGGCGGCTTTTTTCACCATCGATATTACGGCGTCTGTAGCCGAGCTGAAGAGGTTTTTGGGAGAGTCGCCTTTGGCCGCGTCCAGTTCATCGTCATCGTCGTCATCATCTGGCGGGTTCTCGTGAGCAGGGTCTTCTTTTTGTAGCACTTCAAACACGTTTATTCCATATACGCGGAACAGCGATATCGGGCAAAAATGTTCGGAACCGTAATGCGACTTCACCTCAACCTTGATGTATTTACCGAACATTTGCGGATCCAAGTCGAAACTCTGTATATCCCTCTCGTCTTTAGCTTGAAAGTGCCCGGCACTGGACCAGTCCCTAGTGGGAAACCTGTCGCTCACAGACACTGTAAAATCTTTTGGCGACGACGAAAACAGTTCGTAATTGGCCAAATTGATTTTCTTCGCTTGAATCGCCTCGCACAACTCCACAACAAACCAGATACGACTCGTGCACGTGTTCAGCTTGTACTCATCCCTAGACGGCGATAGCACAGCCCACGGACTTATAGCTTCGGGATTCGAAGCTATAACTTTGGCTCCGCAGTCCAAGGAAGCGTAATTCTTCCATCGTAATTTCGCTCCCGAGCCCGGCTTCCCGTTCGCATTCTGACCTTGAACGGAGGAATTGACCTGCTCCTTCTCGGCCTCCTCGATCCTTTTTTGAGCCCACTCCGAGAACGAGGGAATCTCCTCGTTTTTCTTTTCGGTGGTATTCTTCGGGGATTCGTCTTTTAGCGTTTCGGTTTGTTCGACGTTCTTGTCGGCCGGTTCAGATCTGTTCTCTTCGCTGGGGGCGGTTTCCAACACGTCTTGGCTGCTGTTTTTGGGAGGAGCCGCCTCATTTTGACTGGCAACGTTTGGGATTTCGGCTCTTTGTTGCAGTTCGGCCGTGGCCGGGTCGGATAGGGTTAATACCACCGGCGCTCCATTGGTTAGTATTCTGTAACAAAGAAAATAAATATAATAATACAGTTTTTATGTAATTAATGTAATATATTAAAATACTGAATCCCTTTGGGGTCATCCATTAATTACGTGAGGCAATTTTGGCGATTTTTCGACTCTTCCCTCCCCTTGGTGAGATGTGATATTTTGCTCCCTCCCTTAATCTCACGTGAGATTTTTTTAAATTAATGGTTTTAATGTAAATAAGTTAATCTGTGATTGATTCCATTAGATTTATTAAAAAAAATAATTTGCTTATAATTGTTTACTTAATTTAACCCAGTTTTCTTGCAATTTTACACTGTTTCATTCGAGAAGAAAAAATTACGTGATATTTGGCGAGTCCACCCTCCCCCCACGTGAGATTGGGTGAGGTTTGGCTCGCCCCCTTCCCCCCTAAACACGTAATTAAATTGTTACCAAAAATTGTTCTTGGAAAAAATAAATAAATACTCAATAAATACAAAAGTTCAAGCTCTAATACCCTTCTGTATTTATTTACTCATCCAGCTATTAGCTTAAGCAATGATTAAAAAATTTACTACCCATTTTAAAAACTCCATAATCACAAAATTAATTTTTTCATCGTTTTTTTTATTTCTCTTTACTCAGATGAAATTAGGTTCACAGGTTAAACTTTAAACATACATTTTTTGAACATAAATCCAAAAGCACTTCCCTTAGTTAAGATATTTACAATTTGAGCACATAACCTAAAATTATTACATTACAAAAATGACATAATAAACAATTAATAAAAACGCCTAATTAACAATTGACATTGTCGATTTTGTCATTTTTGTAATTAAGCTAAATTTAAACAAAATTTGGCAACTTTTTTGACAGAAACTGGAAACGCTGGTTGTTGTCAACCATAACATAATAAATTAAATTATGTTATTATAAATTATTATTAGTCTATTATTATTATTATTATTAGAATTTAGAAAAAAAATTTAGGGTGTGCTTTTTATTTATTTTTTTTATTAAATTTTACACCAAATTACAGCGATTTGATTCGTATGTTAGAAATCACCACCTAAAAAGGATTTTTTAACCACTATCTCTAAACAATGATGCAATGTAAATTTATAAAACTTGTTATTTATGAAAACGTCAGTACTGATTTCAAAACATAGTGGCATAAATTTTGGAAAAGATTGAGCAAGTCAAAATAAGACGAAATCCAAAATAAACATTTTTCCTAATTACTTTCCAAGAAACAGGGTAGGTAATAAGTGTTACTTATAATATCATTTTTTTAAATTTAACTTCTACTATGGTGATATTTTGAGAACATGCACTCACTACCAATACACATATTCACACATAATTACAATTGTTTGAGTGAACACATTATCGTAGAAACGGGGGTTGCTTTAAGCTTTTTGTCCCATACAAATTTTAGGTTTTTATAACATTTGATGCAATTTTTCGATTAATCAGTTCGGATACTATTAAAAAGGTATCGAATTCACCTTGATTAAATTGAACGTCTCTTTTTCTTAAATTATATATTATATAATATATATTTTTTGATATGCTTCATTTAATTCAAATACTTTAACAACAATTGTTTATAGTGAACAGTACCTATATAATAATCCTTTTAAATTACAAGTGCTAGACTAAAATTTTTTAATTTAATTATTTAATACGAAAAATAATTTTAACTTTTTAAACCACGGTGTCTGACACCGGGGCGATTTAAAATTAAACTAAACTAAGATGGTGGAGATAAAAACTTCACCGCCCAGCTACCTTCCTAAATAGTGTACATGAATGCTCAGTTGCAATTTGGATGCGATTGAACATATTTATTGCGAATTATTGTGACTTCCGGTGTGTGAGTCCGGGGTGACCATTCGTGTTACAAATAACTCTTTGACCGAAATTCCACAAAGTTTGAAATTTTTACTTTAAGAATTTTGTGGAAATCTCAAGAAAATATTACCCCTGGTAGATGTGCCTATTGCAATTGGAAAAAATATAGAAAAACTGGATTTGCGTGTTTTAAACGTAATACCTACATGTGCTTAGAGCACATAATAGGCATTTGCCAATCTTGCAAGCAAAGTCCTTTCGAACCCTAATTTTTCAATTTTTCTTTCACTACCGTATTAAATAAAAACCAAAAAATAATATTTTTTTTTATTTTAACTTTTTTAAGTTGCAATTTTAGTTTTATGTTAAAAGTTTAAAGACCTTTTTTATATGAATTTAATTTTTGTTTTTTGCCTATATTTTCTAAAATATATATTTTTTCTTATCACTTTTTTGTACCTATATGTACATTTTTACCCATAAAACTTCACTGATAGCAAATATTTATAAAAAAAAATCGCAAAACCTATAAAAAAACAACCCGGTGTTACAGACCGGGGCGACTATACTTGAAAAAAAAATAGCGCGACTTCTGAAAGGTTAATCGCAGTAAAATTTTTTTGAAACTTTCAGCAATATATATATACCAAAAAACTTTTGTTTTAGTGTCAAGATATTTGTTTTTATGAACACTAGTAAACTTTATAATAATTTCCCAAATCTAAATTTCTCCAAAATTCAAATGATTCTCAGGAAAATATGAAACGTAAATAATCATGAACGTACCTATTAATATTTCATTTCACTGAATTATAGGAGCAAAAAATTACAATTTAAATAATAAAAAGTATTTGGTTGCCTATAAAAATATCAATTTAATCAATTTTCTGAATGGTTAGTCCAAAAAAATAATCAATAAATATTTTATCAATGTCAATTTAAAACCCGGTTGGTTGAAATCACTGTAGATAATGAAATCGGCCACAACAACGGGGAATATATTCATTTATTATTCACATTGTTGGGCAGGGCGGTTATAATTATTATAACCATTAATGGTTACCATTATACAAAAACTCCAAATAATGTCAATATTATACAATAGGAGCAGAAATAGTACATTATATACCGGGCGAAGAAAGCTTATTATACCCGAGCAAACATTTTTTTCAAGCATTTACCCAATTGAAAATTTCTTAAATTTTTTTTTCACATTATTTTTAGGTTAGGTTTATCTGACTAATGACTAGGGATGGGATTTTAGTTATTTTACCTTTTTTCAACCGATGTAACTATTTGAAAACCAATAATGCCAAAATGTGTTTTAAAAGATTTTCTTTTATATGAACCTAACTTGTTTTCACCTTTTTTACCTTTTTTGGAGGTTTTTGCTTTAAACTACCTTTTTTATAGTTTTGGTACCTATTTTTTAACTTATTTTAACCTTTTTTACATTTTTTGGAGGTTTTTGCTTTAAACTACCTTTTTATACTTTTGTTACATATTTTTTAATTTGTCAGTTTATTTTCACATATTTTTTACCTATTATTACGTATTTTTACTTATTTTATTATTTTGTGTTCTTTTTAAATTTTGCGCCAATATTTTATCCAGGGCGTGCAACTCAACGGTATAGAGTTTTTTCTTATGGTCACAGACTGTAACAGTAACTTTCTTTACAGTTACCTTCTTTGTAGTGAGCTTATGTTCTGTCATAGAACTTCTGTGTAGTGAGTGTCACTCAGTGAAACACAGTTTATTGCATAGAAATAGTTTATTGTGGGTATGTTCTGTGTTTGGGTATGCGGCTAAACAAAATTTTAAACGAAACGTGAACTTTTAATGTTTTTTTTTACCTAAAATGCTGTTTTTTAACCTAAAATGCTTTTTTTTAGTACCTTTTTAGTTACCTATTTTTCAGTTTTTAGTACCTAAATATCCCATCCCTACTAATGACATTTAATGTTAGACATTTTAGCTTCATTTCTGTGCTGAGGTTTAAAATAATTTGACTTTTGAACTAGTATTAAAGCCTGATTTATAGATTGCCTTCCTTCCTTCCTTCCTATTGTTCATCTTTTACGGGAAGGAAGGAAGGCAATCTATAAAGCAGGCTTTATTTTACATTTTCTTTGCTGATTTTTTGATTTCTTATGTAATTTCAATATATTTTCATTACCATTTTGAATGTTATAAAATGAAAATTGTTATACGCTTGTAAAAAATATTTTACGCCTTGAACTTATATATTTATCCGTTATAATGGAACATTAATTTCGAATAAAACTTTAGGGCGAATCCATTTTTATTGCGCTGCAGTAAAGCAAGCAGGTTTACAACCCAGGATTATTCCTATAAAATTTCGATGTTGAAATTTAACATAAAAATTGCAAATTTCCAAGGCAAATTACATAAAAATGACAACAATGGTCTAATTTATTCATAGTATTCAGCTCAAATGAGATTATAATTGTATGCTAACTTTTAAGAATAATAAACTATTAATGCTATTGTCAAAATTGAATAAATAAAAATATGCCTTCTAGAATGCATATGTATGTTCCCACCTACTGATAAGGTACCTATGGAATTTGCTGGAAAACAAATGGCATGGTAAGATATTATCATCAATTAGTATTAATAAACAAAAAAATACTTGAAATATAAAAATAAATACCTACTTAATATTGGCTGTACAGGATGAGTAAATAGTACCTTGCCTGATTTTATCAAATTGAAAACTAAGTAGCATATCATTTCGCAACTAAAGGATATTATGAAAGTATCGGATATAAAAACGCAATTAAAAACAAAACGCAGTATACTGTTTCATTAAATAGATATCGTGTCTTATTTAAAATGAGACCGGAAACACTATAGAAACAAAAATTAAGAAATATAACACACCTAGGTATATAGATATGTTGTAATAAAGGATTCATCTTTCAAAAAGTTAAGCTTACTGAACAACAAGAATGCAAAAAGGAAAAAATTTTTAAAATTTAAAAAACGTGTGAAACACAGCAAAATCTAAAATTAAGCATTGTGTCCCTGACAGTAATTACTTGTAAATATAACTCAATATTTCGTCAATAAATCGTTACGTACCTAAATAATTTATGATATTGGCCATGATTTTTTTTGTTAAGGACAAGTTTATTTTTATTTATG